CTATAATGAAACCCTTAATACAGAATCATGTGGTACTAAACATAAAATTGAAAATACTCACTCAAGTGCATTATGGCACAAGTGCTCGGGTAACATCAAATTCTAACGCTTTGGGCTTGTGTTACACTCTTAAAGATATGGTAGAGAATATGATTTGTCATTCCACCTTCACTGGAATCACTTTGGGGAGAGACACTAAATATGATAGCTTATATTCTAAACGAGTACCAACTAAAGCAATTACCAAAACATCTTATGAGCTTTGGATCGGGCGACGACCTAGTCGAAGCATTTCCATGTGTGGGGATGTCGAAGTGAGGCAAGGCCTTATAAGCCAAATGAAAAGAAATTGGACTCCTGAACGAGTAAGTAGTTATTTTATTGGTTATGCTTGAAAGATCCAGGGGATATAAATTTTATGATCCCACATTAAAGACAATTTTTGATACGGTAACTGCTACGTTCTTTGAGGATATTGAGTTTGAGAGGAAGAATAAAATCAATAACTTTGTCTTGGAGGAAGAATCGGTAACAATTCCGGAACCGATTCAAATAGTTACTTTTGCTAAAGTAAGTTCGGAACCTCCACAAGGCATTATTGATGAACCCTTTACTCAATATGATTTGGTTGTTCATGAAGAACAAACTCAAGATCCTCAAGAACCTGTGCATCATGAGCTAATAACTTTGCTAGAGATCCACTAGAGAAAGAAGAAGTGTTATTTTGGATGATTACATTGTATTTCTTCAGGAACATGAGGAAAATAATGATATAATGGAAGATGACCCAGTTAACTTCCGTCAAGTTATACAAGGTTCTAACTCTCAAAAGTGGATTGAAGCAATGAAGGAGAAGTATAAGTTCATGCAAGACAATAAGGTTTGGGAACTTATCCCATTACCAGAAGGTATGAAACTCATTTGGCTTCAAGATGAATATTGTTGATGATTGTGTGTATCACAAGTTTAAAGGGAGACAAGTTTAGTCTCAATCGGTGTCCAAAGGAGAATTTGGAAATTGAGGAAATGCAAAAGATTCCCTATGCATCAAGCTGTAGGGAGTTTGATGTATGCCCAAGTATGTACGCATCCGGACATAACATACATAGTTGGGGTTCTAGGCGGATATTTAAGCAATCCAAGAATGGACCATTGGAAAGCAGCAAAAATGGTCATAAGATATTTAAAGAGAACAAAAGATTATATGCTCACATATAGGAGGTCGGACCGAGTTGGAGATCGCTAGGTTTTCTGACTCAGATTTTGCAGGATGTCAAGAATTTGTAGCATGCTATGATGCATCAAATTATGGAATATGGCTGAAAAATTTTGTCATAGGGCTGCAAATTGTGAAAGGCATTGAAAGACCACTTAAGTTATATTGTGACAATAAATCAGTTGTATTGTTAAGGAAAGAGTACAAAGTTGACTGATTTCCATAGAACGCTTAAGGACAAACTCCATGATAGCATATCCTCTAACTAAAGGACTTCACCCAAGGTCATTCATGAGCATGTTGCTCACATGGGTGTTTTACGGTTTGAGGAATTTGTGGTTTAGTGGGAGTTAGTCACTTTCATATATTTTATGTTCTATGTTTAATTTCATATATGTATATATTGATTTTTGGACATATTTGGTTATCTATAGATATGCGATTTTTTCGTTCATTCATTACACTTTGTACATTAAGGATATTATATCGATCTCGATAAGTTAAAGTTTGGACCAGTTGAAAATAGACGTGTACAAATCACCTTCACGTAATTTTTCATGCTACACATTTCATGATGAATCCATGTCATTTGGTTATGTTATGATGAGTAATCATTGTTGGTTTTAATTGCGATGATGCAATGAAAAGCTGGTTTGGTTCTATATCCTGATATGATTGATGAACATGACTTTTGAAGTATGCTAAAGGAATATAATGACAATTATGAACTCATAAAGTCTAACACATTTGTAAGGTTGTAAGGACATATATATTTGTGACCGAGTGGGAGATTGTTGGCAAAATTTGAGTCATGTATATATATGATACATAATTTAAATGTGTTAGGGCTATTATTTATTAAGCCAAATAATAAAGTGATCTGACTAAATTAAAGTTTTGGCTAAAAGCATATTTCATGAAAATAAAATTGTGTAGAAACCATTGAGTAATTTCTAATTTGATGAGGAGCCAAATTTGAAATACTAAAACTTAAGTAATTAACCTAATTACGGTTATCTAAAGGGTCATGGTCCCCTTACGGGAGCACGTAGACAGAACGTAAGTTTCATTCCTGTTCCTTTCTTTCTATCCCCATCAAGAGAGAAAATCAAGAGGGAAATACAAGTGCTTTTCGGGTGGAAGACCATAAGATCAATATAGTGCTTCTACAAATACATCATTATTATGACTAATTCAGACTTTTGGCCTAGTGGTAAGCGCTCGATCCTAACAATTGTTATCAATATAGTGCTCTACAAAGACATCATCATTATGACTAATTCAGGTACGCTTTCGCATTCAGTTTACAGCATGTTTATCAGTATGAGATTACGTTTATATTTGATCGTTAGAATCAAAATCAGGATTATTATTATTATTATTATTATTGTTTTTCCAACAAAACTTACCCCATAGAGTCCTATGTTTCTTTCAATTCCTTGTCTCCCTCTCATGCTCTGTATAGTGCATCCCTTATAGACACTACAGAACCTAAGACATTCTCTGAGGCTAGCAAAATAGATCACTGGACAAGGACCATGGAAGATGAACTCTCAGCTCTTGAACTCAATGGTACTTGGAAGATTGTTGATCTCCCTCCTGGAGTTATTTCCATAGGCAATAAATGGGTTTACAAGGTAAAAAGGAGGTATGATGGCACCATAGAAAGGTACAAGGCTTGCTTAGTGGCCAAGGGATATACTCAAATAGAGGGGTTAGACTATTTGGATACTTTTTCTCCTGTGGCCAAACTCACAACAATCAGAGTAATCCTTGCTCGCTTAGTGGCCAAGGGATATACTCAAATAGAGGTTAGACTATTTGGATTCTTTTTCTCATGTGGCCAAACTCACAACAATCGAGTAATCCTTGCTCTTGCGGCTGTTAAGAAGTGGCATCTCCATCAACTTGATGTGAACAATGCTTCCCTACATGGAGATTTGAAGGAAGATATCTACATGAAAATTCCTCAAGGGATGACTGTTGCAGACACCAATCAAGTATGCAAGCTAATGAAGTCTTTGTATGGGCTCAAACAGGCTAGTAGACAATGGTTTGAAAAACTGTCCACTTTTCTTTTGCATCTTGGTTATACTCATTCTTCTGCAGATCATTCCCTTTTCCTCAAGCACACTCCTTCCTCTTTTACTGGCCTTCTAGTCTATGTTGATGATGCTTTACTATTTGGAGATAACCTCACTGAATTTGCTTTTGTCAAGAACAACTTACATATAACTTTTGGCATCAAGGACCTTGGTCTGCTCAAGTACTTCTTGGGGTTGGAAGTAGCTCATTCCTCCTCTGGAATCTCATTGAGCCAAAGGAAATATTGTTTAGAGATGTTCACTGACGCAAGTCTCTTGGATAGCAAACCAACTTCCACACCTCTGGACCCAGAAATCCATTTGCATCAAGACAACAGTGCTATTTACCTAGATGCTCCATCTTATCGCAGATTAGTAGGGAGAGATTACTTTATTTGACAGCTACCAGGCCAGATAAACATTTGTCACTCAACAAGTGAACCAATTTATGAACTTGCCAGCTCAAATGCACTACAAAGCAGCAACTAGAATTTTGAGGTACCTCAAGAGATCACCTGGGCTTGGTCTGTTCTTTCCCAGAAATTCCCATCTACAAATAAAAGGTTTCTCTGATGCAGATTGGGAGGATGCTTAGACACTCGCAAGTCTATCACCGGATATTATTTCTTTATTGGAGATGCTTTGGTCAGTTGGAGGTCCAAGAAACAACCCACAGTTGTCAAGTCCTCTGCTGAAGCAGAGTATAGAGCCTTAGGAGTTGCTACTTGTGAGCTTCAATGACTTCATTTCTTATTGCAAGATCTTAGCATTCAAATGTCAAAATCCCACTTGTTGTTTTGTGATAATCAAAGCGCTTTGCGCTCAAAATCCTGTATTTCACAAACGAATCAAACATCTAAAAATGAATTGCCACTTAGTAAAAGAGAAGCTTTAGACAAGATTGATGCACCTTCTCCCCATCTTTTCCAAAGACCAACTTGCTGACTTCTTCACCAAAGCCTTATTGCCTAAGTGTTTTAGTGTTTTTTTGTCCAAGCTTGGTGTGCTGGACAGCTTGAGGGGGAGTATTACAGCCAATATTCTTACCCATTACATGATAATACATGATCTAAGATGATAATACATGCATGATAGATGCTGACTCATACATCCCACGTTGAGCACTCACTCTCAAGACCTTATTCACACTTTACCTGTGCAACGCGTCTCCACTCTCTCTCCTTTGTTATTTTGTTTTTCCAATTCCAATTCTGTTTCCTTTCTTTTTGGCTTGATTGCTTGGCTATAAAAGCTAACATATTGTATTGAATCGAAAGTAGAAAAATATACAAAGTTTTTAGCTTATAAGCTGTTTCCTTTCTATGGCTTTTTTTAGTTTTAACAGCAGAAGTAACTCCCAATTATTTAATAGAAACATGTCATAATACACACACGTGATATAATGTGCCTAAAAGAAAACGAAGAAAGCAATTAATAGATAACATGCTCATTAAAATATAATCTGTGCCTTTGGAAATCTGCTACATCTTTTGTTATAGGCTTCTAAGCAAAAATTACACGTGGGAGGGAGTAAATATAAGGACAGAATTGTTGTGGCAAGCATGTATGCACCTGTGCTCTATGCATATTATGAACCATGTAAATGGCTTCAGACTCAACAATCTTGAGCAGATAAGTTGTGACTTCAAAAGAGTAGATATCGCCTTTATGTTACCACATATGTAGATTATTCAACATGGTTAACTCAATAACATCACCACACAAGCTATAGTGCCGAAGACTGTACTCAGCAAAGAGAAAACTAGCTTTGAACTTGCATTTGGAAGCCATGGATAGGCGTCAGGAGGTGGCATTACACAGTTATCTCCATTGAAATAAATTCTTCGCGGGAAAGCCCATCCCTTATCAAATGTGAAGGTTGATTTGTCCTTTCGGAATAAGAGCTCAGACTGCACATTCCCAAGGGGTCCTGCTGAAGTAAGTAAATCATTGTAGAACTTGACTCCCCACAGCATACCAGTATCGTCTGCAAAGCCAGACCACAAAACAATCTTACAAGAATTGTAATACTTTGCTCACAAGTTTATCTAAGACTATATGATAGTGCAAGATAGAACTTACTTAAGCCCACATAAGGTGTTAGTGGCTTGTAATTAAAGCTGAAAACCTGCGTTACATTGTCAAAGTTTGGGTGCTGCACAACAAGGTTCCATTGTGAATAGTTCACTCTGTAGTTGAAATTTGTGATCGTGATCTTTATCCTCCAGTACTCTTTATATTGAAGCTTCACGTGCCAATGCACTCGTATAGGACACATGTGATTGGTGCACCGGACCAGAGGTGTATTTATAGCTTTGCCTGGTGGTGATACCACTGAAGCTAAATGCGGGGAATTAGGACTGAGAAACGTTCAGAAAAAATATATCAGAGGACAGTTTTGTATATACTGTTAGAATGATAAATTAATGACTTACTCTACACAGCTGCTAGGTTCTGTTTTGTTTTGGCAACCACAGGTGCAGGTAGGGCAGTTTACTATTGTATTGTTGTAGAAGGATGAAAGAGAAACACAGCATGTTGGGGTCTTCTGAGCTAGGAATTGAGAATACGTGCAGGTAACATTCCAGGTCACTGCCAAAATAATATTCAGATTAGGCTAAACCAAATCTGAGAAACTAAAACTTGGTATTCATAACTCTTCTGAACAATGCATAAAGCATAAGTATTTATGTCTAGTTACCTCACTACTTTTTACTTGTTTGATGAAAAGTTAATAATTTCATTTCATTAATTAAGACAAATATTGCTATCAAGGAAAATTGGAAGTGTTCTCTTGTTGATAATCCGATAAAATTAGCCTAATCAGTGTCTGTTTCTATAAGATACGTGCACTCATATACCTAGACGATTAACCAGATACAGAAGGAACTTCAGTTTTGTAAGAGATAAATTTATAGAATAATGTCTAATGAGTACATATATAACATCTTGAACTACAGTTATATTTTTCAGCAGTTTAGAAAAGTAGATGTATATGTGTGTATAATTACAAGTCAATGCATTTTGCAAGTAACTTACTCAATGCCTGAGTGGTTCTCCTCTTGTCATTGGTAATAAATTTAGTAGGTTTCACAATCTTTGCAGGGCCACAAGTATAACCAGGCCCAGGTGCTTTCAGGGTAAAATTTTTTGGCAGTTTGACCGTTTTGTTAGTGGTTCCTGCAGAACCAACACTGAGTTGAAATGAACTTACTGCATGTTCAGGGTCCTGAGCCCATGAAGTTAGGACTCCCCCTGTGCAACAATTAGCAATCTGCTGGTTGTAAGGAGTTCCAGGCAGTAAGTCCACTACGGTTGGATCCTTCTTACAACAATGAGGGATGTTCCCTTTGAACCTCGAACAGTCCCCTTGTTCTGTGGTTTGGCCTCCCATTACATTCCAAATTACTTCCTTTTTTGCCCATGTCCACCCTAGTATCCATCCAGGAGTCTGAATATGCCGATACTGTTGAAAGTTGTACATTGTGACAACAGCCTGTACAGGCAAGAAGGATTTAGTGTGTTAAAGACACAGAAGACAGGAACTAATATTGATTTGCATATAAATTTAACGGTAATAAAAAATTGGTACAACCTATACACATTTACTGTCTAGCTCCAAGTAATTGTAACTTTCAATATGTCAAAAAATAGTAACCAATTAACCATAAGAAAAAAACTTAGATGCACTTCCTTAAGTGCTATCTGTGTTGTTTATTAATCAGAATTAAAGTTTCACCTTGGTAATCAACATACATGGCTTACTAAAATATAGAGTTATAGGCATTGTGTTAGATTGTTGTTTAGAATCAACCATATTAAAGTTCAATCAATCAGACACCCTTGAGGGCAAGATGAAACATGGCTTATACAACTGAGAAGATCCGCCAAGCCTAATACAAATCTAGTCCTATATAGCTCTAATATCTTACTCCACCAAGATACTTTTCATGTTAATGTCAAAAGTCACAATATGATGTTTTTCCTTTAACTCTCTCACATTAAGAAAGTAGTGATCACTTACAATATAGCCGTCTGGAGTCCAGCTTATGACATCCCATTTGATTGTAATATTGGCAGTTGGATCAAGTGCATCATAGGCTTCTGTATATGAACAACCATGAAAAGTTGAACACTTAAAATTCTCTTTAAGATTACTTAAAGCAAACAATTTTATAGATCAAAGCACCATATGTATTTCTTCTCCAGTGGACAGTAGAGAAGCCCCAAAAAGGGCAATTTGTATCCATCTCAATGACAACACCGCACTTTCTTCAAGCTAGAAAATAAATAAAAAGCTTTTCTTCATTTTCCCCTCATCATCCAAAAGATGCTGAAAAGATACTTATCATGTCACACCCCCATACATATAGTCACCAAAAGAACGTTAATTTTAAAAGTGTGTAACTGGGTTTGTGTATGTAGTTCTACAAAGAGAGCTAGCAGACAAAAATACCCGACATGGTAGCCATTAAAAACAAAGTATATGGCAAATATCAGCCTCGGCAATCTATAAGAGTCAGTGCAAATGTCTAGGAAACTTGAAAGAAAGACTGAACAAGAACCTAAAAAAACACTGAAAACGGTTGAGAGAATCTCAGAAGTCCCAGAAAACGACACTAAATTGTTTGTTTTTGCATTTTTTTATTTTACTGAAAATGGGAATGCTCTTGAATCTTCACGACAACTCTATTGAAAGAAACTGTGAAGTATGATAATATTCCCAAAAGGTAAAGTTGATATCCGTGGACAAATGAGAATGAAAGCACAGCAGTACCGGTAGAAGTGAATGTAGTGCACAAGAGCAGTGACATCAGCAAGATGGCCAAGAAGCCACCACGTTGGGCAGCAGATCCAGTGGTTGATAAGCACACAGACTCCATTTCATGCGGCAGAGAGTTTCTTTCACAATGTAAATGTAGCTAGATATCAAGATAGCCAGCCACCACCACCACTTGACAAGGTAATGTTTTTTGAGTTTTGAGTTCAACAGAAAAACTCTCTTGTACCCGAAACACAGTTTCACTGACCAAATATCAATGATACCGTTGTGAGTGACATTATCATATTCTCTCTGTTTTTCCATAAATAAAACTACCAAAGAGCTCAGCTTTTTGAGTGCTGTCATTATTATTATCACATACTCTTAGTCATTATGATTTTTCATTTTAATATTCATTTTCAAGTTATTAAATTTAATAAACATGAACCTGTTTTAGTTTCTCAATAAAACCAAAAGACTCAATCTTCAGAGTAAAATATATATATAAATTCATTCTGAATACCAATGTTGCGGCCAGAGGAATGTAACAGATGACATGACACTATTATATTTAATTCAATAAAAAGTAATGTAGTGAATGAATGATTTTAAAATTAGGTAGGGATAATGTTGGAAGAACGAAACATAGAGCGAAAGCAGGACCACGCTGAGTGAAGAGTAAAGACGCCACACTTTCCCCTCCCTCAAAGGATGTTTGCCGCGTCTATCAATCTTTTGTCCAAAACCCTCAAAAACGTTAATCACATACGCATCTGCTAAAATATCTGGAAAAAAAAAAATTGGCCACTTAGGAGGAACTTTGCTGAAGAGTTAAGTCATAAGAATCAATTTGCAGCAGATCAGTTAATTAATCATTATGGACTTAAATTCACTGCCACGCAAAAATAATAACATCCCTGGATGAAGAAGAAAAATATAGTTACCTATGTTTTATTCATGTGTTTGATGATGAATAAGGTTTAAGGTTGCTTTAAATTATATGTGACTCTATAATTTCATAGTCCAGTGTATGGTTTATGAATGTTGTTGCTGAAACTAATCAAGCAATGAGAGAGATGTGAGTTTTATGGCGTGTTTTATGAAATTGATTAATGGACCCAAAAAATAGAACTTTTAAGAGATGTAATCACAGTACAAAGCTGTAAAAGTTGCTAAGTGGGCTTCAGCAATGATACCAACACAGATAAAAATTGAAATGTTTTTAAATTATTATTTTTCCTTTAAAAATTCTAAAAAAAAAACAAACGTATCAAAATCATTGTTTTATCTATTTTTTTCTTCGAATACATTAATTAAAATTCAAGTACTAACAAATTAATATTATTTTACTGTTTCGTTATATTTTACTCATAATATAATTATATTTATTAAAATATTATAATAAATTTATATTATAATCTTTAACTATGAAATTATATATTTTTTATGAATATGAGATCAACTTAAAATTATAAACATAAAAATAATCATTAAAAATTCACAAAATTATCTCTAGTTTATGATTTTATTAAAAAATATTTAATCATTTTCATGCTTAATTTAGGTAATTATTTAATGTTGAATTAAATTAAGCGTGAACACCCCTTAATAGTATCTTCAACTGATAATCTAACATTTATCAGGCCTTTTCTTTGTACCAACTTAGATGCACTACTTGAAGGGCCCAGCCCAATACGGAATTTAGCACTAAAGATTGCTATGTACACCCAACCCTTTAACTCTTCACCTAATTTTCGAAACACCAAAACTATTCCCTTTGCCTCCTTCCATGCACCATCTCTTATCATTTTTTTTTTTCTCTTTATAAAAATTAATATATGACTACAATAGCAAAACTAAAATATTAATAAGTATATCATAAATAATAATTATAATATACATATATTATATTAAGGATATGTTCAAGGTATTTTTTTTTAAATATAACATTTTTAAATTGAATATATATTTTTTCTTCTATACTATCATTATTAAGTTTACTATATATATTATTAGGTAAACAGATTAATAAAATAATATTTTTAAAAATATTGGATATATTAAAAGTGTCCAATTATACTTATTAAACTTAATAAAGTAAATTTAAAATTGTATTAAAATGTCTTATAGATCCTTTGACATGTGTTCAATTTTCACTAATAAAAAAAATTATTTGTGACTATAGTAGGAAAACAATTTTGGAAATGTTTTCAATATGTGTAATAGGAATATAATTTCATAATTTTTTTAATGACACTGTGTGCAAAAATTAATCATATTTTGACGTGTTTTAATAAAATTAATGATATGAAATAAAATTATAACAAAAAATGTAAACATAATATAATTAAATGAGTTTATTAACATGTAATTATTATACTAAACTAAAAATAATAAGTTTTTGTAAGAAAATTAATTACAAATTAGGTTATGAAGCAGGTTATGATGCGTAATTAAGCTCTGTGCATGTCACGATCATTGTAGTTGCAGATTCCATTTTGCACTGAGCAAAATCCTAAGACAGTCAAAAGAACTAAAATAATGGCTTTCGCTATATTAAATTAGTGACTGAATTTGAAGCTTTTGCCCTACCCGAGATCGCAACAGTTGTCCCCATTCATACAATTCTTGGTTAGCCAAATTCTTGATGTCATAATAGGATCACCATCATCATTTTTCATTACACTCAAAACCAAACTAATAATTTGTGTGGTCCATAAATTGAGGACACCACATTAGAAAGCAACTTCTTTTCCTCTCCAATAATGTTTCTTTAACATGTTAAAGCATATGTTGGAGAAGCATCCAACAGGCCAGTATGATGGTTATTCAGAATAGCTTCTTTATTCTATTGTGTTATTATATTATTAACATATAATTTCTCCATTGGTGTTCTTTAGGTTCCATTGGTGGTGGAGGATGATGATTCGTTCATATGCTTGAACCAGGGCTTTTAAAAACCCTAGGTTTTTCCTAGTTGAGGAGGCGGCGCAGGGTTTTTAATTCATCTTCTTTTCCAGTTTTTAATTTTTGCTTGATGATAGGAATCATATCACAATTACATACCAATCTGGTTCCAGGATTAAACTTTAATTTTCTATTTAAAGCAGGTTGAGGGGCTTACTAGATTTAGATAATCTTCTTATATAATCTTCATTCTAATTCGATTCACTCAATCTTTCTTTCACACATAGAGATAGATCATGCTTTGAAAGGTAGATCATTTTAAAGATTTCGTTGTGAAACATTATTCTTTGTTGACCATTTATCTTTCTTTGAATGGTGTGTAAAACAACGGAAAATTAAGAATAATAACAACACATATATATATAACTAGTGTTCTAACTTTTTTCTTCTAAACTTCACTAATTAATATTATTGGAGATTAAGAAGAATATTATATATGGAAAGCAAATCACAACCTAGCTTTTTTAATTCAAATTATCCATTATTTTCATGGCACCAGGAATTAAGACAGAATTATGTTTATTTTATAATGTACTCCATTATAAGAAACAAAAACCATGTCAATGATGAGCGAATTTATGTTAGCAATAGAAAGATGGGTCACTAAATCAATACTGATGAAATTAGTCACTAAACTATGTAGTGATCAATTAAGCATATATAATGATTCACTTGTCAGTGTCCCTAATTTGGCTTCTAAGGTAATTAGCAACTGAATTTCTTCCTCTTGCAACCAAAAACTTGGTTCACTAAACAATTTTTAGTTTTACATAACATCTTTAAAAATGGTTTGTCAATATTGGTAGCTTTAACTACACTTTAGTGGTTCTCATGTGTATTCGGATACCTTACTGGTTACACATCTTACATCCCATCGAGACTTTGTTTTGAAGAGGTTAAAAGCATCCTATACGTATAAGAGTTGACATCTTTGAAGAGGAAACAAAATCCTATTTGTCTAGTGTAGTTGGCAATTGATTCGCAGCTGTATGAGTCATAAAATAAAATTTACAGTATAAAACACCAATCTTGATCATCTTCACCAAAATCTTTTATTGTTATCAACTAATTAGAATTGTTAGCAAAGATGGTTTGAATTTTGTTGAATATTAAAAGTACAATTCACAACTAAAAAGAAGGAAAATCACATTGTTAAAATTAACCAATCCACTGCATAAGATTCTTAAGTAATTTCTTCAAGGGTTCCTGAAGAATGGCTAGAAACAGTACAGAAACATAAAGCCAAATAGGAAGTAGAAAAAGAAAAAAACATAATCTAAGATTTTGATTTTAGGACATATCAGCGGGTGGTTTTTGTTCTTGAACCTTTGTAACTTGCAGTAGTAAATTGTATGATCATAACAAGTTATACATCAAGATAGATAGTTATACAAAATTTGCAACTCTTCTTGACATGGTTTTTGCTTCCTTTTTCATCTTTGATTTCGCTACAAAGAAATTCACTTATTAAAGTCACATCAGCATCGACCACGACACCAGTAAAACGCTAAGTGAAGGCTAATTGTTAGGTACTTTGACACTGGACGTGGATGTGACCATCACTCCACAGTTTTGAGTAATTTTCCTAAATCCTACAACATTAATATAAAAAGTATTTCAGTTATTATATCCTGATTTCCTACAATATTTGTAGTACTTACTAAAATGTAATAATTCATAAGCAGATCGTGTATATATATGACTTTAGTGCTTGATTTGTCTACTAAATTTGTATTAATTGAAGATTTATGAGTTGTGAAAAAAAAAATCTTTCTCATACACATGAGTAAGGTATAGGGATTTTCACATGACAAGTAATATTCTTCCTTCTAAAAATCCTCATAATATATATTCTTTATATGGCTTGAAAACTACCCAAATTAACATACTTTTAAAGGAATATATTTTGGTGGATGAGTAATATTGTGTTGATGATGGATGATAGCTGGTTGCGATTTGAGAGGGCAGAAAGGAATATAGAGTACTGACAGTGAGAGAGAATGAGTTAATAAAGAAATGAAGGATGCTGAAATAACAAAAAAAGAAAAAGAAGAAGAAAGGACTAAGGCACTTGCATTTGATGCATATGAAGAGAGATATGATTAATTTGTTCGGATATTCAAATCCTATTTGCATCTTTCTTTATGGGTGGGAAAGGAGCAAAGCTTTCTCAGGCAGAGTTAATATATATTCTGCAGAGGGTTTTGGATCCTTCAAAAGATATAGGTCCATATATATAATTCTTAGCTTCTTATTCCTCAATCATTTTTCAAGCTTCTGCGAGGTCACCATGAACCAGATATGATCATCACGCTAGGTGTTATCCTCACACAATTTATGACCGTTAAAAAAGTGATACTGCGCGCGCAGGAAAAACTGATGCAGCCATGATGATGATGATGAAATACGGAATTGATTGGTTTGATAGCTTAATTATAGAACGTAACATCACGCATGCTAAGTCCCTCACCAACCTTCTTTCTCTCTCTATTATGTTCCTAATTAACTTTTAGAATATGGTCAACTTTATTTTATACAAAGGATAACAACAACAATTTCTACTCATATTTTCAATGTTATATGCTACATATGTTATATATGTATTTTCATATCTTAGTTACTTGAAGATTACAAAATATCCAACAGATATGCATATTTTCTCCAAATCTTTTACCTATCAATATGTTGGAGAAAGAAGATAAAACCTTACTGAAAACATCATGTTAATTAATATAAGAATACTGTGTTTACAAAAATCAATCACTTGCTTTAGAAAAATCTTACTTTATCTTTCAATATTATTTTAGATTTAGATTTTAGTGAGGTTTTTTTATATCTCAGCAAATTTTATCTAAACTCCAAAGCATATATAATTAAATGGACTAAATAAGTTAAATTTTAATTTCAATTATTTATTAAAACATATGATAGGTATACTAGTTTTATCATGTATATGTAATGGTAACACTTTTTTCAATAAATGACAACTATAATAAGAAGATATCAAGCTATCTTAATTTTAAAAGCTTAATTTATATATATATATATATATATATATATATATATATATATAAACACGTCTATTTTATTTTGTTTTATTATTTTTCAAAGTGAAGTTGCAAAATTATCAAAAAAGTTGTTGTTAGTCAATGGTTTTAAGACATTGTCTCCCTTTTTGATTACACAAGAGAAAAACTCAAACGAGGCAAGTTAAAAAATAAGGTAAATAAGTACTTCTTCCGATGTTATTTTTTATTTTTTTTTTTGTCTTTAAAACTTATCTTGAAGGAATTAAAAAATATAATAAATTTTCTTTATTATAGTAAAATAATTATACAATCTTATTTTTGTTATTTTTTCTTCCCACACAATCAATGCATGTAATATTTAGAAATTATAAGGAAAATAAGCATATAACTGATAAAATATAAATAATGTGATTTTTTCAAATGATAAATAAATATAAGCAAAAAACTCCAATATCTGGTAGCATAGATATTTGTTGGTTTTGTTCTTCAATTATATTCAGAATTTCACCAATAATATCCAATGGATTTCATAAGATTTGTCTAATTTAGCCCACGTACACAAGGAACTTCTATTTGTAATGTAAACATGTTTTGACGACCTTTTTTATAAACACATTTAGATCTTCTTCATAAACACTTTTAGTAGAGAAAAAAAAATTATTCATATCTAAAATTAACTTCTACACACAAGTTTAAAAAAAAAAACTATATGAGAAAACTTGTACAATTTTATGCACATGCTACTTTTTAACTTAAGAAAAAACTATTTTTTCTTCTTCTTGTTTTTCTCTCTTTTAATTTTTTTATAAAAAAGTTTGTTTAAACAAGCTCTATATATGACATTCACACACAAAAATATAATATTTTTGATTTTTTCTCAGATAAAAAAATGATGTACATAAAAGATTAGTGCAGTGTAAAAAGAAAATATTATATTGTAAAATTTACTATATAAATAATATAGTTCATAAAATGATCTAACGCTATATATACAAAATGCAATAAAATTAATCGTTGAAGCAAAAAAAAAATTAAATCAGATAAACAAAAATTAAAAGTACTTTCAATTCCCAAACAAAATTAAATTAACCACAAAACATGTAAAAGTGATACATAAGTCAATAGCAACTCCTATTAACAGTTACTTCTATAATTACTTAGAATATAAAACAAAACATTAACGAGCTCTCCAATAATAATACACGGATGAAAGCATAAATAAACTCGATTTATAGTATTTTTTTAAGGCAGCGTTTAAGACAATTCATTGTGTAAAAACCTCAAATATTGTAGATTAATGAAAAACTTGTTATAAATTATGTTTTAATGTAAGTTGATGGTTGCTTGATTTGTTTCTATGGATGCAATGCAAGTGAGAGTTATTCCATGGGAAAGGAAGAATAATATTATTAATAGGAGTAAAACTGAGGATAGTACAACCCTTTAGGTTACAAAAGAAGACTGATGGCTTGATTGATTGATTAAGCAACATGCATGGTTTCAGAAGACATGAGAGGAAGCAGGCCTTGTAAGAACTTTGGTGACAAGAGAGTGTTTCATTTTCATGGAGAGTTTCAAGCATTCAGAAAGGTCCACACCAGAATCACAGGGCATCCATTTCAAGTTCTGTAAGAAGATAGCGAGCCAAAGCTCAACGGTGGCCAGGCCCAAGGCTTTCCCAGGGCACACTCTTCTCCCAGCGCCGAAAGGTGCCAACCTCAGATCAGACCCCATAATTTGCACCTCCTCCTTCACAAAACGCTCCGGTTTGAAGTCTTCTGGATCAGACCACACTTGTTTGTCATGAGTGATGCCCCACATGTTAACCATAGCAGTAGTGCCAGCTGGAACAAAGTGGTTGCCAATTTGTGTGTCATGGATGGAAAGCCTGGCCCATGAAAGAAGGGGACCCGGTGGGTGCATCCTCAAGGTTTCCTTCACTATGCCACGCACGTAAGGAAGGTTGGGAAGGTCTTCATCACTCACACTGCGCCCAGACCCAACAACAGACTCTATTTCAGACTGAGCCTTGCCTTGGATTTCAGGGTGTAAAACCATCCTAGCAAGAATCCATTCCAGGAGGATTGCCACTGTATCAGTTCCCCTAAAGATCATTTCCTGAAATGTATAATTGTATATTGATGAGGTCATTAACAAAGTATATTCAAATTAACAAGTATATATCTAAGAAAAAACCTACCCACAAAACAGCAACCATATCAGAGTGTTGAAGCCTGTTCTCTTTCTCCAAATCCAAAAGCACCTCAACAAAGTCACCAGAGCTGTCAATATCCCTGGCCTTATCCTGATCTTCAGCAGCCCTCTTCTCTCTGTGCTCCAATATGATTTTCCCCACAAAAACATTCACCCTATCCACCAAACTCCTACACCTCTTCCTTACACCTTGTAAATCCAACCTACCCAAAAGTGGAAAGTGGTCACTCCAGTTAAACACCCCAAGCAGTTCGTACCCCTCACTCACCAACTCCTCAAGTTCACACCCATCGCCACCCTCACCAAACACATAACTCTTCCCAAACACGCTCATCATCACGTTATTCAAGGACCCAAAATGCAACACCTTCCTCACCTCCACCTCATCATCTCTCCACATCAGGCCCATGATGTCTTTCACCATCTGGGCCCCAACTTGTGCCCGGAACTGGCCGGAGGCGGCAATTCTCTTTGGAGAGAACATGTGAGTGGCGGAAATCCTCCTCAGGTTCCTCCAGTACTCACCGTACGGGGCAAACCCCATTGCACGGTGGAAGAGGAGCTCATAAGCAGATTCCTTAATAGGACGATCCGCGAAAGCTGAACTGCTCAAGATCTCTTTGGCAGTGTCAGGGTGAGAAGAGATGATGAAACGAGTAAACCCCACGGAGAATGCCATCAAAGGCTTGGCATCAAAGGTGTGAGCAAGCTTAGCAAGGACCCTGTGAGTCAGAGACCCTGTGAAAGCAGGAAGCAGACCCACCACAGGAAAACCGGAAGGTCCGGGAATGGCAGGTTTGTTGATGAGAGGTTTTCCCAGTCTAAACTTGGACAGAGCCCAAGCAAGACCACCGGGAACCAACCAGTAGCCAAAAACGGCGACAAAGAACATAACACCGAACAAGACATCGGAAGTGAGTATGGTTGAGCACGCAGATAGCGGCAAAAGGAAAGAGCAGAGTTCCGACGACATCAAGAAAACAAGACCCTTGCTTACTTCCGAAAGGTTTGTGGTGAACGGGAAAGAAAGGGTTTTGGGGTGAGAGAGAGGAAGGCAAAGAATGAGGCGTTTAAGAAGGGCCTTGAAGTTGTGTTGTGGTGAATGACCAAGAGTGTGAGCCACCTTATATAGATATCATCCACATCCACCCTACTGTGTATCATGCAGATCTTTTCATCAAATATAGTAACTTCTTTATAAAAATAATAATAAAAAGGTATTTGCAATTTTTATAGAAAAAATTAAGTATTTTTGAAAAAAACAATGCCACTTACTATTATGATTTGTTAATTTTTCAAATAAATTAACCACGTGTCCTAAATATTAAAAATATAAATTTTTATGTATATTTGTAACTGTAACTACATAAAAGTTTTAAACCTCAAAAAAAAAAAAAGTTAGATATGTCTTTACTTTTTCGAACGGTCAGTTAATTAATTTTAAAATGAGGTAAAAAAAAACTTTTGCATAAATACTTATGTCCTGAGATATCATAATATTTTATACTAAAATTAACTTTATTGTTATTTTATAACATTGACAACCTGAAATAGTCTCACAAAATATTAATGGTTTTGTAAAAATAATTAAATAACAGTCATTTTCTAAACTGTCACGTACGTTGAAAATAAAGAAAAAGTTTTTGCATATATAAACTGTTCTCGTATACTAAAATACTACATTAAAATTATTTTGTAACCATTTAAAAATGTTTAAAGAAATTATAAAGATTATTTGGAAGAAAATTATACATCGCGTTATTTTTTTTGGACTGTCAATTAATTAATGTAAAATATTTTTGCATAAATATGATATGGCTGAGGTATTCGAAATAATATATGTTAAAATTTGATTTATTGTATATTTACTACAGTATTTATTTTGTTGAAACAAATATAATTTAAACAAAACTTAAATATGCAATTCATGTTTTTAAGTGCTTGTTTATTTGGAAACAAAGTAACAAAAAAATAAAGATGTTTCTAAAGCTAAAGTTCTAGATTCTCTATAGCTCTCGAAATTCGTATGGAAAAGGTATTGTTTGTTGTTTATAATCATACTTTGAAACTATACAATTTTTTTATGTTTTAAATTTCAAAACAAACTAAAACCAAAAAAAATTTATTTATTATAAGTATTTAAATATTAAGTGAAATATCAATTAATGATGTTGTAATTAAGTTTTATGTATATTTCTTTCAATATTATGCTAATCACCTTATATATCAACTTGTATCTTGATGTTGGAATGAAAATAATTAGATATTCATTTTCTGTTCTGTAGGTTATTTGATGTCTTTGAAAATACAATTTTCTGTTTTTTATTTCATTGTATATTTGTAACTGTTTGTAAAAGTTATAAACAATTTGAAGGGTTTAAAAATGTCATTACTAGTCCAAAATGTCAGTTAATTAATTTAAAAAAAATAAAAATTGTTTAACATAAATATCAAAATATCATATATTAGAATCAAAATTATTATATATTTGTAACATTAACTATTATAAATAAAATAGTGTTAAAAAATATTAATAATTTTTTTAAATAAAAAATAAATATACTAGTCAGTTTTTGCAGTTACTTTGAAAATGTTTAAAAGGTTTTTTATAAATATCAAACTAATCTAATTTTATATTATATTTTAATTTGTAACCATTTGCAAAAGTATTTAAAAGATAGAACAAATGTTAATAAGAATAGTAAAACTAACTGATCAGTTTCTGTCAGACAGACATGCTCGTTTTCGGTTTGTAAAAAATAACGTGGAACAGAATCGTTTATCTTTCCGTTTATCCATAAAAAGAGGGTTCATAAATTAATAACTCGATTCTTAATATATATTTTTTATATGATTTTTAAAAAAATATCTGAATAAATTTTAATTTATTATTTTTAATTAATAATTTTATTATATAAATTTAATAAATTATTATATTTTTAAAATATTAATTTTAATAAATATTTTAAATTTAATTATTTAATATTATAATTTAAATTATAATAAATATATTTATATATTTTAAAAATAATATTGTTATTTATTATAATATATAAATATTTGAAAAGTGAGAAAGTAGATAATTTATCTTTCGTTCACAGAATTAACAAATTAAACAAGACGAGATAATCAGATTAATAAATTAAAGTTATTAATTTTGAGAATGATCTATCTTCTAACATAATCACTTTATCATTTTATATTAGAAAAAAATTATCAATTTCATTATTTTTTTATTAATTTAAAAATAAAATATTGTATGTAAATAATAAATATATCAAATATATCAGCTATTCAAAATAATTATATTAAAATTTAAATTATTGTATATTTTTAATAATAAATAATTGCGAATGTTTTGAATAGTATAAATTATACTTCTTATAAAAAAATTCCCATATTCATAATTCAGCCAACATTGATCTCTTCGTACTTTGATTTTTGTACTCGACATTTCTTTTGCTTAATCAACATCGTTGAGTGAAACATTTACATTTTTGTACGAATTTATGTACAGTTTAGGGTTTAGACGAAACAATCAATTATATATATATATATATATATATATATATATATATATATATATATATATATATATATATATATATATATATATTATACTTATACAATAGTAATGAGGAGGTGCAAAAAGTAATTATGGGAGTGTCAAAAGTCATTTTCGGGCTTTCATGGTTACCCAATTGCATTATCCCCTGGCCCGTTTGAGCTCTATAATAAAAAATTTCAAAATGGTAACATGAGAGTGATAATGATTTTAGTTTTTTAGGAATACTTTTGCTGAACAGTTTTTTAGTTTATCCACGTGACAGCACGTGCTCTGACTAAACAAATATTTTCTCCCTGGAGTGTGGGGACCACATTCACGGACTGAACTAGATTCAGATTCAGAATGACGTGGCTGATGACGTTTCCCACTTCTTCACTTTATTTTTTTAAAGAAAAATTGAAAAAGACACTTCAGAAAAACAAACAAACACATATTATATAATATATAATATAGGTAACATCGTCACAGAAAAAGACTAATATTTTTTATATGTTATATATAAATATAAAAGACAAATATTTCTGTCATGAGAACTGGCTAGTGTAAAATAGTGTTCCATTTCTTAAAAAAAGAAAAATAATAAATTCCATGTCAATTGAATTTTCTCAAGTCAAAGTCGTCTCTCTTTGCATTGGTTGATGGTATTTTTTTAATAGGAAAAATACTTTTTTTTTTTTTTACACAAAACCTTGACTGGATCACCAACAATTTTTTCTCCTTAATATTTAATCTAGCTAGTCACATATATATACTTATTTTGGGTTTTATATGACGTTGGTTCCTTGAATACAGGACAAACACACTCTTTGCATGCCTAAACCTCATAGGATTTAGTTACCACGATTATTCATTTTATTTTTTTCTGGGGGGACTAGAAATATGCGTGGAAAAAGAAAATGTGTGAATAGAGTGTCCATGTTCACCAACTCTCTAATAGAACAAATCGATTTTATTTAATTATATGTTTTCAATGGATAGACGGAACCGAGGGTAACGTTTGGGTGTTGGCGTGTTGCTTTGTGCTGCTATCTATACGGAGAGAGTGGAAGTGTGAGAAGCTTTGGTTGAGAGGTTGAGAATGAACGGATTAAGAAATGAACGAGCCCCTCTCTTGCAGTCTGAGCGTGGGGTGAGTCAATATCTCTCCCTCTTCACTATTTTTCTTCGCTTTTCTTCGATTGCTCCTTCTTCCTCACTGCAGTGCCATTTATTGCTTTACTCTTGCTTGTTTCATCAATTCAAAAACACACACTTCTTCGCTGGAATTCACTGCCTCCTCCAAGATAATAATAATAAAATATAATATCTTATTCTACTGTTTTGATTTGAACTTTTTTTTCTAAAAAAAAATATTTTGATAGGTGTTTAAACGTGTTTTTATGTGTATATGAATCAGTTCCTGTTCTGTTGTGTTATGGAAACCATGTTCAGTTGAAAACAGATTTCAAGTCTTTATTCTTTTTGTCATTTTTCGGATTTATTTTTATTTTTATTTTCATTTTGAAGCATGAGTGAGATTAAAATTTACATGAGAGGTCATAGGTTTTGAACAGTTTCACACTGTGGGAACTCGTGCATGGTTTAGTGGCTAAGCTTCCTGAAACTATTAAGTCCCCAATTCTTGGTGCGTTTATGTGTTTTTCTTTGGTGAATTGTATGGGTTTGGATTGGGTACAGTCAAGGTAAAAACCTGCGGAAGGGTTGGGGCAGTTGGACATATTTCTGCACGAGTTTATCGATGTGGTCCTCCATTAATTTTTAAAGCTATACAGGGAGAAGGAAAGAGGGATGGTGACTCGGAAGGGCCAGTCTCAGACCTTGAACATGGTGACGCAGTGCCGGTAATCACTGTCCATACATCATTTCATTCTCTTTGTAAAATCTCATAGCATTAGCATCATTTTAATATTTGCATTTGCTAACTTGATGCGTGGACATTACAGGCGGCAAATGTGGGATTCTGTCGAGTGTTTTCACTTGTAAGTGGGCATTGTTTCTTTGGATGAATTGATGCCATGTTTTTGTGATCATTAAAGTTGCTTATTTTGTTCGTTTGAAATTGATTGCAGGCAAAACCTGAAGCTGGAAAGTTAGTGATCGGTACTGTGGCTCTTTTGATTGCAGCCACATCAAGTATCTTAGTTGTATGCTTCTTTTACTATCTCCCTCTTCGGGTCCCTCTTACACACAGAGATACTAAAAATTCTGTCAGCATGTGTTTATGTTATTCCCTGTCACCATTGCTGGATGTATGGTTCAACCTGCTTTCTAATGAACACGGAAATGTTCCTGCTGCAGCAAAAATTTGGTGGGCAGATAATTGACATTGTCTCAAGGGATATCCGAACTCCAGAGGAGAAAGATGAAGCTTTGGATGCTGTTAAGAACACCATACTAGAAATCTTTCTGATCGTTGTCTTTGGGTATGATCCTTGCTTTAGTAGTTTCCAATTTATCATTGGCATAGTTTTATCTCTGAACTTATGATTTCAGATATGTCACATGAATTTTACGGAATTCAAAGTGGTTCACTGAGTTTTCACGGTTTTCCAGATCAATTTGCACTGCACTTCGAGCTTGGCTTTTTTATACTGCTAGTGAAAGGGTTGTTGCACGGCTTAGAAAGAATTTGTTCAGTCACCTTGTTAGCCAGGTAAAACAGTAATGGCTCTTGCTTTGCTTTTCTATGCGTGTGTTACTTTCTCTGAGCACTGACCAGGCTTGTATATTGTGGATGATGAGTTTTCAGGAGATAGCTTTCTTTGATGTTACTCGAACCGGGGAGCTTTTGAGTAGGCTATCTGAAGATACACAGATCATAAAGAATGCTGCAACTACCAATCTTTCTGAGGCCCTGAGAAACTTTTCAACCGCATTTATTGGTCTGAGCTTCATGTTTGCAACATCATGGAAGTTAACATGTGAGTAATTCAACATTGAAGAAATACAAATATACTAATTTTATGTTTATCCGAACCAATGTTTTTTAAAACTTAAACCGATAATTGAACTAGTGGCAGCTTGAATCACAATGTAGTGGTTCATTCTTGATTCAACTATTGTCAAACCAGTGATAATTAGTTAAATATTTTAATATTGTTTAATATATTAAGCAATGAATTAACATAAAATGATACGAAACCAAATCATACAGAATATATAACATTAGCTTAAAAGGAACATACTGTAAATCCTACGAGACAGAAAAATAATAAATAATAGCAAATAACATGTGGTCAGCGTTCCTTATACATGTATCTTTTGTATCAGAAACACATTGTTGGTTGAATGAAAATATAAAATTAATAAACAAAATAAAAAATTGTCCACTGGTTTGTGTCGTTCTCTAATTGTCTGATCTTTCAAGTTTTCTAGAACGATCAATGGACCACTGAACCTGTTTTCTAGCCAACCTGATTCACCTGGGTTTTCATTTCCATTATCCTAAGTTCTCTCTCATAAACTCTTGTAGTGTTAGCTTTGGCTGTTGTACCTCTTCTTTCTGTTGCTGTTCGCAAGTTTGGCCGTTACCTGCGAGAACTTTCTCATAAAACTCAAGCTGCTGCTGCAGTTGCTTCATCAATTGCCGAGGTATGCCTTTTTCACCAAACAGATATCATAGGAAAGGACAGTTAAACTGACATTAATTTCATCTGTGTTGCACAGGAATCCTTTGGTGCAATAAGAACAGTAAGATCATTTGCCCAAGAAGATTTTGAAATAACACGCTACTCAGAGAAAGTTGATGAAACACTTAATCTTGGACTTAAACAAGCAGTGAGTTAGCCTGTTATAATTTGATACATGTATGTGTGTAACTTTATTTGTTTACCTTTACAACATTTAATCTTATATCTCTTTGGTAATGCAGAAAGTTGTTGGACTCTTTTCTGGAGGCCTGAATGCTGCATCTACGCTTTCAGTTATTGTAGTTGTTATATATGGAGCTAATTTGACAATTAAGGGTTCCATGTCCTCGGGTGATCTTACATCTTTCATTCTTTATAGTCTCTCAGGTAAGTTCATGTTTCTATTTTTTCCTTTTACATTCTAATGAAACATGTAAAACTTTCACAATTGAACGTATGTATGATCCATGGACATCTATTAGTTGGTTAAGATTCTAGTTGTTTTATTCTCTTGATTTATTTCAGTGATAGATTAATCTTTTGTAGAACTACCAGTTTTGTATCGATATTGACTCAGCTCCTTTACCTTGTAGTGGGTTCTTCTATATCTGGTCTGTCAGGACTGTATACAGTAGTTATGAAAGCTGCAGGTGCTAGCAGAAGGGTTTTTCAACTTTTGGATCGTACATCATCCATGCCCAAGTCAGGAAGTAAATGTCCACTGGGGTCAGTTTTATATAATTCCTTAAATATAACTTTGAGAAATTCTAACACAAGACAACACATTTTGTACAGTAGGGTGAAATTAATGTGGTACCCACTAAATAGGAGGCAGGAGGACCCATATCCTTGAGGGAGTCACTCCTGAATTTCACCTAATAGAATGTGTGTCTAGCATAGTTTTATATCTATTGTGCTATCCATTAGAATTTGTCCCTTTTACCAATTTTGACTTTTACTACCCTTGAACGCGGTCCTGATGTGCAGATGAAGGAACTTGCCTTTTGGAATCTTGTACTAAATTTTACAATGTCCTAAGTATGCATTCAAATCCTATATTTCCTATGAAAAAGTGATTAACTCATTACAAAATAGACCTTGCAATGTTTAGACACTTAAGCGTTGTTTGTAATTGTTTTCATAAACTGTTTTCTGTTTTGTAAAATTTTCTTGTCTCCTAAGAACATTTGAAAATGCTTGTCTCCTGAACACATTCATGTTTTTTATAAGTTTTTCTCTTAAGCACTTAAACAAAAGAAATGAGGATGCAAAAACATCTCCCTGCTGTTTATATTTATGGTTTTTAAAACACTTATTTCAGAGGTCATTTCAAAACTTAATAAATTTTGGATCATGAGTTGACAGTACTGGTGTATAGTTAAAATAGTTTTACGATAAACTAAAAAAGTAATAAGAGAATCAAACATGCCTTTCTAGATGTTGCCCCTGTTTTTTTAAATGTTACAGAGAGGTGAAACTTTATAATATAGAGATTGAATACCTAAGACAGGGTGAGAATCGAAGATCCATAGACATCTTTTTTACCCTTTCTATTGTATAATTCAAATTTCAGAACCATTTCATAAATTAAATATATCCCTTTTCAGCTTAATTTTTTTTCTATGAATGAGAAGTGACGCTAAATGTCTTTCACTGTAGTGATCAAGACGGGGAAGTAGAACTAGATGATGTGTGGTTTGCCTATCCATCACGCCCTAGTCATCCAGTGCTCAAGGTAACAGCTTACTTTTAGTTTTATGTTCTGGCATTACAATTTTCCGGCATCCAGTAAATAATTAAGCAAATTATCTGCACTGTGCATCTTTAGGGCATTACATTGAAACTGCATCCAGGATCAAAGGTTGCTCTTGTTGGTCCAAGTGGTGGTGGAAAGGTATACGCTTTTTTATTTTCCCTTTCTTCCTGTTTATTTTTGTGATTCTTCATTCCACAAATTCTTATTTAATGTGCTTGGGTTGGAGAGGCGTGGAGAGGTAAGCAAGGTGGAATGAAAGGAGAAAACATCATTCACACGAACTTGTTTCGTATTTTGTGCAGAGTACAATTGCGAACTTGATTGAAAGATTTTATGACCCAACCAAGGGAAAGATTCTACTGAACGGGGTTCCTTTGGTAGAAATATCGCACAAGCATTTACACAGAAAGGTATCTTGACCATAGCTTTTTTTTTTTTTTTTTTTTTGTTTATTAAATTCCAGGTTAAAATTTATTTATTTATTTCTTGATAGAATCAAGTTTGAATTTAAATACTACAGTTTTCTTTTTGTTATTTCTATTTACTGTTAACACAGGGACCATAGATTTTTAGGTTAGCACTGCAGCAGCTGTTTCAGTATAGGACACAATAAATTTTAACATTTTAGAAAATGAATATCAAAAGTACATTTTATGGAACACAACAAATTTATAACATTTTAGAGCAAATGAATATCACAACTTCACAAGTACATTTCAGTACATATTAACTTTAGATAAGACATTTATACACTACTGACAATGATTCACCCAATTTAGTGTTGTATGTATACTTGTAGTCTCATGTTCTTAAGTTTTAGCACCCTAAATGTCTTGCAGTATTATGAATTGATGAGAATATAATAAATTCCTGATATATTATTAACTTATTAAGAAGGCAAGATGAGAAGCTCCTATTAATTCATGCCGTGTACTTATCATGTTGTTACTTATTACTATTACATTTCTTCTTTGCTTTCTGACTGCCTTGTAATTAAGCTTGATACTGAGGAAGTAAAATTTGGTGCTCGAGAAATCATTTTGGTGAATTGCTGGTTTAATATGATATGCCCTTGTAAACAAGAAATTGTTCTCCTCAAACTCTACATTTCTTTTGTGATTTAGATAACTTGAATTTAATGCAGTTTGCTCGTATATTTGTAGATAAGTATAGTGAGTCAGGAGCCTACACTCTTCAACTGTTCCATAGAAGAGAACATAGCTTATGGATTTGATGGCAAAGTGGACGCTGTTGATTTAGAAAATGCTTCTGTAATATTTTCTATATTCATTCTGCAATAAGACACCTGTCTCCCTAGTCTCGTTTGCTCATTATTTGTATGAATTTGAATGCAGAAAATGGCCAATGCCCATGAATTTATATCAAAATTCCCAGAAAAATACCAGACCTTTGTTGGAGAGCGTGGGGTAAGGCTTTCAGGAGGGCAGAAACAGAGAATAGCAATTGCTAGAGCCCTGCTTATGAACCCAAAAATTCTCCTCTTAGATGAAGCTACCAGTGCCCTAGATGCTGAAAGTGAATACCTAGTACAGGTGAGTTCACATATTATTTTGGAGGAATTCTTTTTACGGTTTCGTGCACATATAAACTTGTTTTTGCTCTTGCACGGTATACTAATGGTAATGGATATGGTCCAGGATGCCATGGAGTCTCTCATGAAAGGAAGAACAGTTCTAGTCATTGCTCATAGGTTATCAACTGTTAAAACTGCTAATACCGTTGCAGTTATATCTGATGGACAAATAGTTGAGAGTGGCACCCATGATGCGCTTCTCAGCAAGAATGGTGTCTATACTGCATTAGTCAAGAGACAACTACAAACAACAACAAAAGTCGAAATCTAGTCTCGGCCTACCAAATTATGAATAAACAATCCTCTCTAATAAAAAAGAGAGTCATATAATACTGAGGCTCAAGTTCCTGGGAAGACCTTCACTTCCACATATGCAAGTTACGGCATTACCTCTGTTTCATCCAGAGGAAAGATCAGATCAGGGAAGAGAGAAAAAAATTGCAAATTAAATCGAAGAGGAAAGAGGAAGAATTAAAATTTTGATTTTCTTTCCCAAAGGTCAACTTTTCTTTCTTTTCCCCTTTAATTTTACTCAGCCAAATAAAAGATGTATCCCTATTTGAATTTCTTTCTTCCGCTTCTCGCTACCCTTCCAGTCTAAGTTCAAAACTTGTTCCTTCGGTTACGTGTTGTGTTTTGCAGCACTTGAAATGGTGTAACTCCCAAGCTTTTGAAACCGAAAGTAATTCCTGTGATCTATGGAGTATTATCAGCATATGCTTTAATTTTACAGAAACACTATTTACGTAGATGTCATCTTAGCATTTGTATGTTTGCAAAAACGATGTTCAGAGGCACAAACATTAAACAATAATAATTCTAAAAAAGTTAATCGACAGCTTATTTTTCAGGCGTTAGTATAAATATATAGTACAATAATCATTTCTAAATTTGAATGACAATAAACTATCATAAAATATAACAAATGAAATTTGTAATAGTATAAAAAAATTTATGTTTACAGTAATTAAAAAAATAAATATAATCTTTTTTCATAAGTAGGGTCTAGCTTTTTTAATATAAAAAATTGAGTTTATTGAGTAAATAATCTAGATATGAATTATGTATAATTCAATTCGACTAATTTATGAACCAAGTCGGTATCTATATATAATAATATATTTTATACCGTTAAATTTGTATGCTTAATCCTTTACTGATTTATTTTTGTAATATAAATAATACAAAATTCTCTTTTACATTAAAGCTGCTTTACCCGGTAAAAATTCCTTATATTATATTTTACTATATTGTTATTTGCAAGTAATTTACAGAGGTGAATTGGATAAAATTACTAGTTAAACTACAACAGCCTCACGCTAACTGATTTATACACTCAATAATAATTTAGATTGTTATTTAATCCAATCACAAATAATTTAGGTTTTATGTGTTTTGCCATCCTATTCATCGTCGTACAAGCTTCTATAAATCTGTTTAATTGCATACTTCTGTGATGATGGTCTTGTAGACTTCAGTTCAAAATGCAAGGCTTGGTTCGCAAACTGGCGGAACACCACCACCCCCATCGTCACGCCAACTCTCACCGTATCTTCCACACCTTCTCTGTTCCCAAACTTTCACGACCTCAACTGCATCTACGCAACCACATTCCCTCTTCCTTCCTCACTCACCCACCTCATCACTTTCACTCATGCCGCTCCATTTCAACCAAACTTCGCGCCTTTCTCTCCCAACCAACGATCTCGCACCGCCTCGCCCTCAACTCTCTCCTCGGAGATCGCGCCAGAAGCCTCCTGCTAGGTTGCAGGCCAAACCTTCATTATTTTCGTAGGCACAACTTCAATTTCAACTACAATCATGAATTTTCCCGGCGTTCCTGGTAATTTTCGCTATCATTATGCGTCGAACTACCGCTTCGTCTTTTCTTGTTCCAATGCCGCCTGGATTTAATTAGGGTTTTTGCTTGTGGTTTTCTTTTTTTCTAAAACAAAGTATACATTCCATGTCTGATTGAACCGCGAGGTTGAATGCTCATTTAGGTGACCATATTAGTTATTCTTTGGATAAACTAAACGGTAAAATTATGAACTGAGCATCTCACGCAAGTTAAAATTAACTTCTACGCTTTAGTTTCTAAATATAAAGTTAATGAGTTGAATTTAGCCATTGAGATAAACTTAATTCATTTGACCTTTTCTGTTTACTTGGAGCCAAAAACTATGTAATTTGTTAAACTTTGATCTCATTTCGAGAACTTGTCATTTTTAGCATATAATGTGCAGCATGAAGGCCAAGCTTCTAAGTGCCAAGTTTGGCAATTCTAAGTCCTGTAAATTAATTTTTGAGTTTTAGCATTTATATGTGCTTTAATGTACTATTTTCAAATCTTTTATCCATTCTAGCCTGTCCTTCCTATCTATATAATTCACACACATGTACAATGAAATCCTTGGTGGTTTACATTTTATAGCTATTTTCAATCCCTTTTTTGGTTGTATGCAAGTTACCATTAGCAGACTTGTAAATTGTACTGCAGTCTCCTTCCAGCCTTTGTGCTTGTAAATCAAACAAATAGGTTGACAAAAAATTTTGCTCTAAAATATTTGTCTGCCATATGTTGGTGAAAGTCTGAATTTTCTTTTCACTTTCTCCTTCATTAGGGGTGTAGAAATAAAATGATTTCCACTAATATTAGTACTAGATCAAAAGTTCAGGGTTTCTAAATTTTAGTACACATGTTTAATTTGTTTACGATTTTACATATAATATGGTAATTTCAATAATATATTTTATCCTGTTTGCAGGAGATCATGGCTCCATGAGCTAACACCTAATGGCGTGGTTTTGGGCTTGATTATAACTAATGTTGCTATTTTCTTATTGTGGAGGATAGCAGATAAAAAGTTTATGATAAAAAATTTTACTGTGAGTTTCTTGATTTATAAATTTTGCAACACTAGAAAGAATTATTTTCCTGACATTCGCTTTGTCCACCTGTGGTTGTGGGTCAATGATTTGTTTCTTAGTCACCCTTCATCATCATAAGATGGTGTTATAGTGGCGTAATATATTACTACTGTTTTCACAGTTGTATTGGTGCAGTTTATATATATATATATATATATATATATATATATATATATATAGAGAGAGAGAGAGAGAGATAGATAGATAGAAAATCCTAGAGTTTTTGAAGCTTTAATTAATTCCTAACAACCATTGACATCCTCCTTTTCAAGTCTAAGTTTATCTTTTAGAGAAATCTGATGCATTAGATTAGTATGGATTTTGTTATAACATGTGAAAATATCTTGTCATATCTTAGACTATTTTCTATGTAAGATTAGTTTCCTTATTAGCTCTTTGAATTGGCTATCATATTTCATCTTTTCATAAATTCTTTCCCTAATTAGTTAGGATTTTGATTAATATAAACTATAAATAAAGTTTAGTTTGTAGGTTTTACAAAATAGAAATCACACCAGTATGTTCATATGCTTTAATACATCTAAATTAAAATCAAGAAGTGTTTTATTCTCTTCTATCTTTCTCCCCTCCCTCTATATTGCTAGGATTTTATCTCGGCAAGTGTATCGAGTCAACTGGAAAACTGTTGTAAAAGGGTCGTTGTATCCATAGGGATTTGGAAGATATTACATAATTCTAGTTTTCATTCAATTAAAACTTTGAGTAGGTAAATGATTGTGTAAGATAGACTAGTAAACAAAGAATTTGGTATATAAAGGAAAACACAAGTGAGATAAATTGTTGAATTGGATTTCACTAATAAACGCTTTGCAACCTATTATCTATACATACATGAATTCAAATCTCAATTTCAACTCCAGCAGATAATTCCAAATCAATTCCTTAATATTGGAAATTCTAAAAATCTTAAATAGTCAATCAATTTCTTAATAAATTGATTAAGACTCTTGCATTAAACATAAGACTTTTGTACATCAATAAACTCAATTTTGTTCCCAACAGTCAAGTTTAAAGTTTGATTTGATTCAAGTCAGAAACAAAAATCACTTTCCAAGTCTATCTCTTAAATCATGAAATTCCTTCAAATCCAAGCATTAAAAACAAAACCAAATTAAGAACAGGACAAAGGAATTCATAGATAAATAGAAATAGAATTATAGAAGATTCAACAGATTACATTCAATTCAACAGAAATGGAGTTTAGCTACACATGATGAGAAGAAGAAGCCCTAATTATACAAGGAGGTGAGCTCTAATCTAGCTAGTCTTCGTTCCTAGACTTTGGTTCTTCAAGTTCCTGCTTTGCTTTCTCCTTCTTATCAATTACCCTTTATTTTTTCAATTTTTTTATTTATACCCAAGGGTACGAGCAACACTTTTAATCATCTGCTCAGTGATGTGAAATTCTCTCAATGGATTGAGACTTTTTCAAACTGAAGTATTTCAAATCGCACGGTGCCTATATTGTCTGTTCAGTGCTTTTGCTCTCCTAGGATTCATATCTTTCTGTTGCAAATTCAGCAATTTTCAAACAGCTCAACGTTCTTCTCCTTTGTTGTGCTTCTGTCTGCCCCGAGTCTGATCAACACTGCCCCAATTCCGCTCGGTGGATTGAAGAGAGTGGCTCCTCCTTCCTCATCTTTTGATTTGTTCGGTGGATTATAAATCGCTCAACGCTTTGACTCTGTGCAATGCTGCAATCAATTGGTTTCTGCCCTTCATTCAACATAAATTGCATTAATTTTTCTATCAACTCTTCAAGACTCATAAAATGTATAATTAAAGAGTTAATGGACATTTTTACAAGTAATTTGTTTCAAACACATGAAATAAGTGCCATAGACAAGGATAAAGCATGTAATTTATGCACTTACATCAACTACCTAAACCTTGGATAGTTTCAACATATATAATCGAACATCAAAGTAATAAGATTTCTGGTATGGCATTTTACCAGCTGTCTAATGATGGAATTGAGAAATGTGTTGTTTCAAACCTCAATGTTATTGTATGTATGGATTTAATTTCATCTAGACTTTTAATTCAAATACTTACTGTGAACAGCTCTCTTTGTACAATTTTAAGAGTGGACGTCTGCACACTTTGATTACCAATGCATTCAGTCACGTACATTCCTGGCATCTTGTTTCCAATATGATTGGACTCTACTTCTTTGGAATGAATGTAAGTTGCCACTTTTGTATTATATTTTTGGTATTATTTCTCGTTAGTTTCTGTCTTCATTTAGTGCTCCTTTAAAGAAATATATATATATATATATATTTATCTTATTAATAGGTGTGTCTCTCCTTTTGTGTTACTAAAATGTGTTAGAAGTTAAATTACTACTATATGTTAGGGCTAGGAATTAAGACCTTTAGAGCAATAAGATTTGAAGGCCGTGAATTCACAACAAAAGAAGAAAAATATTATCGCCATTGGCATAGACTGTAACTTGATTTAATTATTGTTATTAGCATATAACTTGTCTAGTTGGCTTGTTAAAAACATTAATTTAATTTAGATACCATCACTTGGTTGTTAAACTTTTATCCTGCTTTTGTTCAATAAGTCTTGTGTTTTTAGCATATATTATTCTTTAACTATTCTCATTGGGTTTTGGGCAGGTTGCAAGAAATTTTGGACCTGAATTTCTGCTGAAGCTGTATCTTGCAGGGGCAGTTGGTGGCTCTGTTCTTTACTTATTGCATCAGGCCTATAAAGCACAAACATCAAAGGTCCAATGATTAAAATTTGAATGCAATGCCTCTTGAGCAATTCTATAGCTCTCTTGTATTTTTCTTAGAAAAGAAAACCAACAAAAAATTGATTTATGCTTACTTCATAAACTAGAACAAAAATATAAATTAATATGCAATTCTTCAAATCACAACCTTCTCAGATTTAACTTATATATTTTACTTTCATTTTGATTTACCTACAAGTAAGGTTGTTGTCACTTTTGAAACTCATAAAGGTAGACCTTTTCTTGAAATGATTGGTACATTTGATTTAGAACCAAAATCTATAAAATAAATTTTCTGAAAAGATAGAAAAACAATGTTTTATTACAGTATGCAATGGTACATTGATAAACATGTTTTATTACTGGCTAGTAATAAATTTCATTAACATATGAGCAAAAATGAATACTTCTCTCTTGTTGGTTGGAACTTAAACAACTTTGGTTGAAATACTTTACAAACATGTAAAGGTGTATCCAAAAAAAAAGAAAAAAGGTCTTTATTTGCTGTTCTTTTTTCAATGTCAACGTTTCTCTGCTTTCTTTTTGCAACAGGATAGGAGAGGCATACTTACGACATTGGAATTGGCAATGGTAAGCTTTTAGAAACCATTATATAATGGGCTCCTCTTCTGTAAGGAATGTAGGACGTGTTGGCATGTTTTATTTGACTTTCCAGCTATGTTTTTGATGAATATGTTTTCAGGGTTTTTAACTATGTTGATTTCTTGAAAATATTTCTATTCAGAATCAAATAAAGAGGCTATTGCTGCATAAATTTAATTTTTCATTGGTGCTAAGCATCACAGGACAGAAAAATTCTTCCTGGTTACATTCAATGTAGTCAATGATTTCATTCCATTTTGGGTTCTACAGTTGTTTTTACTGCATTATGGCACTCATCAATATGTGTACATGAGTTGGTCATTGCCTACCAGCATTAATCTATTCTGTGCTGTCCATTGCACTCCATTAAGTTTTCTTAGTTGCAGGAATGTCCTCTTTCTTTTGATATTTCTTATCATTGTAGCTAGAATATCAAGTTATTTTACTGTTTTTTTGTATAACTTAAGACATTGGTTAAAATCACTGCCTCCGATTAATTGAACTAGAACTTGGCAATCATTAGGGGGCAAGTGGAGCTGTGAATGCTGTCATGCTACTTGACATATTTCTCTTTCCAAAAGCAACCCTTTACCTTAATTTTTTTATACCAGTTCCTGCTGTCTTGCTGGTATGTTCTTCTCAACCTTGTTATGCTTAAGCCAAAATTGTAAAGTTTGAAATGCAGATTCTCACATATCCTTTTCTTTTGTATTATAATTTCTTTTTAATTAAGGGTGTCTTTTTGATTGGGAAAGATATGCTCAGGATATTAGAGGTATGGTGAACTCTCCAATGCTTACTTGTTTATACTACCTTTCATAATATTTTCCATCTGCGGTAACTTAGTTGTAGAGATTATCAAATGCTAGAATTGTAACTAGTTCAATGACATCAACATATTTTCTGCAAAATAAGCCTCTAGGATTGGGTTAGTGCCCTCCTTAGTTGGGATGGTTTTGGGTAGTATATACGTTATCCATGGTTCCAATCTTATTGCCACTAAAATATACAATATGTTTCAAAGATCTAATAGGTCTTGTCTTGTGTATAGTAATTTCTGTATAAACAAGTAACCTTTTTGTTACAATGTTGATCCCTTAACATAATGGTTATCAAATTGCGATGTAAATCACAAATTGCCAAACCAATTTCATAAATTCTATCCGATTAATAAGTTTTGGAAACAGAAAAAATAGCATTATACATATATCATACAAATGATTTATAATTCCTAACGTGATAGATTTAAACTAGGAATTGGCAAAACAACTCAATCATCAGTCACATGATGGACATTGGGCTGGTCAAAAACCTAATTCTTAGGAGTGTTTATAATGAGATTCCTTTAAATAATTTCCTTTAGTGTCTTTCTTGGTTTTCCTATTCCCCTCATTACAAGACTAGAAAGAAACCATGTGATGTACTCTCCTCAGTGGTGTCTTCAGTTACTTTCTTTGCACACTTGCAAACCATTTTAATCAATTTTCTTTCATCGGTTCCTACCTAAGCAGATGTCATGTTAATATCAATTTGTATTTTGTCCTTTCTTGTATTACCACGCATCTATTTTAACATTATCTAAATTATATAAAAGCTTATACTTTAAAAACCCATCGCACAAAAGTAACCAAATGAACTCATTTCACGAGTCATAATTCTTTGTCTTCCTTCTAAATGGTAGTTCATCCTAAGTGCACTTCCCCACATTATGAACTGTAAAACAATGGACGTTAATTGCATTAAGCATATAACACAGTCTAGAAAAGTACAATTTTCTCAGTTAATGTTCTTCTACTCTGTCTAAGAAACAGTTACCACATCATGTTAACAAAAACAGAACAATGCCAATGATAGAGCTAAAAAGGTGCTTATAGTGAGTGACCGTTGAAGCCATTATTTAAGAAAAAATGAAAACAGAGGAATGGAATAGTCATATAGGGTGCATGCGATGAGCGAATGCCTGTTTGTGAACCTGTTTCACAAAAAAAAAAAAAAATGATAACAGCGCAATGGAGTAATCAAATCAATGAGTTAAGTGTGCCCGTGCAGTTTCTTTGTTCATTTAAGTTTATATAACGTGTCAATGAGAATTGATGAAAGAAAAGTTCAAAAATAAAAAATAGTTGAATCATGTGATTGTAATTGATGGTCTGCTTAGCAAGCTGTCTCTTTAGCATGATACCTGGATATCATTTGAACTACACTTCTCGTCATTCATTCCTTGGCAGAATACTGAAAGGTATTGTTGATTATCAAATTGCAGGGGGACAGGGAAGTATCAGGATCTGCACATTTGGGGGGTGCTGCTGTTGCAGCCATAGCTTGGGCAGCTGTTCGGAAAGGAAGATTCTAAATCCCTCTTCAAAACGGGAAACTGTGTGTATCCCTGTTGAATTTTTTCTGTTCAGGTTTGAATGATATATATTATTAATTTTAAACATTTTAGTCTTCCAAAATAAAATAAAAAAGAGAATATTAGCCCCTTTATCATCTAACTAAGAAATATGTTTCCACTAATATTTTTGCCTACATTAGAAATTTTAATTTACATTCTTGAACCAAAGTCGTTTTAGGGTTTTTTTTTCTTCTTCTCAGGTTGTTGTTTCTCTTATATTTAGTATTTAATTTAACTTTTTTTTATTTCTTTTAAATATTATTCGTACTTCTAATTTCAATTTTATTTAAAAATAAAATGTTGATATTATCAAATTGAAGGAATTTTTCCATTTTGGATGAGCTGAATCATAATCTTAACTAATATTAATTTGAAACCGATTAATTTTGATACATTCTACTAACAAAAAGTATCATGTAATACAATTTTTAAATTTTCACTTTTCTCTTTAAAATATTTTTATTTGGTATTTTAAAGCATTGATTATTCATTAATGAACAAAAACAAAGTTATATTATTTTCAATTTTTGTATAAATTTTATTGAAATTTTAAAATTGTCAAAGGTGACCCAAATTGGTCAATGAATTTGATTTAACTACATGCTAGGTTATAATTTTATGCAGTAACGATTTTTAAGAGTTAAAAAAATAAAAATAAAAATCCATTTTTTTAAGGCAATGTAGGGGCAATATTTATTTATTTTTTGGTTGAATTTCACGGAAATAATTTTACTCCTTTCTCCTCTCAAAACTACTGATAAAAACCTTGATTGTGTATTTATGGCATCTCCTTTTATATTTTCTTCTACTTCTTCCCCTGCTATTACCTCGGGCTTACTAATTATCTTCAGGATAACTCCTACTAACTGATCTCAAAGTTGAGTGGATCGCCACAGTAATTGGGTTGTATGCATTGTATATGTAGGTGGTTCCTAAATATCACACTATATTTACTGTCTTTAAATACTATCAATTTCTCTCATTCTAAAGGGATTAAATAAAAGAACACGATACCTAAAGAGACTAAATAAAAATATTATAGTATTTAAAGCAATGAAACTCAAATTGTAAATCAACATTTCACAAACAAATCAATTTACTCTTACCTCACAAACAACTTAGTTTACAAATTTTGATAAGCGACCTATTTTACACACTCTGCTAAAAAAAATTCTTACAATCACCTTAAACTACTATTTTTTATCTTTATGCATATACTCACTCTTTTTAACTACCTATATATATATATATATATATATATATAGTTGATACTTAAAAACGAATATTATATTACAGATTAAAGTCATAGATCAAAATATTTAATTCATATACTAAAAAAATATTTATTTGTAATAAATTCTAATTAAAATATAACTTATATATTAAACCACTTTTTATACATTTTAATTATGTACATATATATCTTCTTCTGCAATCCATAGTCTAAAATAATATCCCATAAAAAAATACTTGTGTGGAAATAAAGAAATAAGAATTGCAACTAAATAATATATAAAAAAACATTATTTTCCTTACAATATATATATACATACATACCTTGGTGTGTTGTTCTTGGGCGAGCTTAAACCTTATCCCTCAGAAACCCCCATTTTCCTGAGCACCAATCAATTATCTTTCATCTTCAACTTCAGAACGTCAAATTCACTCTCAACTTCTTCTTCTCTTCACTCTACACCTGCATCAATCATACTCACTCTGAGAGCAGCGACATGTTCACTTCATCGACTCCCACTTCACTCCGCACCCCAATCCTTCACCACGCTCTTCCCTCCTCACCCTTCCGTACCAACTTCTCCCCTCTCACCCTTCCACCCTTCCACCGCACTCTCTCCTTCCTCCCCCCTCCGCCGCTCCTCCCGGCGGAACCCTCCCTCTCCGCCGCCGCGAAGGCGGACAAGTCCGGCGAGCAAAAGTGGGTCCACGAGGGCCTTATCATGGAGTCTCTCCCCAACGGCATGTTCCGCGTGCGACTCGACAACGAGGACCTCATCCTTGGCTACATCTCCGGCAAAATCCGAAAAAACTACGTTCGGATCCTCCCGGGCGACAGGGTCAAGGTCGAGGTCAGCCGCTACGACTCCTCCAAAGGACGCATCGTTTATAGGCTCCGCTCAAGCACCCCTTCATAATACACCCACAACCTGTTTGTTAGATTCACCAACGCAACGCATGCATAATCATTGTTGTATAAAAAAATTGCTAAAGAAAAAAAAGTAAAGAAAAGAATGATAGTGCTTCGTTCTGTGATTTGCTGCTTTCAAATTTCGGTTTAGTTTTTTTTAGAGTAACTCTTGTCTTGTCGGTAGTTGTTAGAGTGAGCAGTATTTTCGATTCCCAATCCTTGATGTTGCAGGAAATGACAGATAAGTAGAGACAAATGCGATACCATTGTGGAGACCCCTTAAAATTTGTCATTGTGATAAAAATTGCGGTTGCTGATAGGAATTTTATCCTCCTGTAATGTGTTTATGCAGAAATTAGGTTTCTTTGCATCAACTGAAGCTTCTGTTCTAGTTTTTGAGATTGTGCAGTTTAATCATTTTACTTTTTGATTTCTGACTTTGAAAAACGTCATTGGTTGCTGCAATATGATTATATGATAGGTGAAGATAAAAAAATAGAGGTTGTTCTTTTGCTACTAGTGGTTGAGTTCTCCGTTTATGCTGAATATGAAATTTAAATCTTTAGTAGGTAAATTAGTGAGAGGAGATTTCAGTTCTGAATGGGCATTAATATTAAGAGTAGCCAAGGAATATTTCAATTTTGTCTAGAAAGAACGGAATCAAGTGATAGTCTGTAAAATAATCAAGTAGACAAGCATCTTGTGGCTCCATTGTTGGAAAGACTAAGCAGGAAGGGAGTACGTACTTAGTATGGGTAGTGTGCTTCAATGGAATGAATAAGAATTCTGATGCAGAATTTGGCTTCCCCAGTGTGTAGTAGTATGGTGTGCTGTTATCATAAACTTGGTACCGTTACCTTTTTGTACATATAGTTTTATTTTTTTTACATAAATTATTTGAAATTTGATTACATGTTTAAAACTATCTACATATTCCTTTCTCACTGTGTACTTATTTGATGCATTTAGTGTTAATATATCATTTTTATTTACTTATATTAATTAAATAAAAGTTCAAATCATACATATTATATAAGAAAAAAAGTATGACAATCATAGTGAAAATTTTGAAACAAAGTCCTTTTGTTAGTAGATGTTATTTTGTTCTCCTTTTATTTTACTTTTACTATTCTTTATTACATATTCCACGTAGTTAAATGTTTAATGAATTAATAAAAATGTGTGAAAATTGGAAATTATAATAGTACAATGGATGGTTATAAATAATAAGTAAGATATGGAATGTACAGTATAATTTATTTATATTGCATTCAAATTTTATGTTTGGTTTTTTAAAAATTGATGTGGTATAAAACACTCAAAATTTTAACTATAGATGAGAGATGGAAAATATATAAGAAAAAATAATAAAATATCCACTCCATTAAATAATATAATTTTGATAAAAAATTAGAAATAATATACTAAAGTGAGTTTGTAATTCAATTAGAAAATACGACTTGTACGTAATATAAGAAAATAGATTACAAAATACAACATAAATTAACGATCACTGAAAAATAATATAAAAAGTGAAAGAAATATTTTAATAAAAATAAACTTTAAAATAAGTTTAGGCCGATGATAAAATTAGGATAGATTATGCAAAAAAAAGTATAGTTTAAATAGAATTTGGTAAATTTTAATTTGACCTAGGTTAAAATTAAAAGGACTTAGGTCAGGTTAAATGGATCGGATCTATTTTATAAAATAATAATTATTTTACTAATATACTAAAAATAATATTATTTTATTAAAAATATAAGTATAATAAATTAATTGATATATATAATTCACAAAAAATAATAAACTCTAAATGTTTGTTTGTTTTAGTCATTTTCTTCCTTTTTGTTGTTGTCACATTTGTTCATTAATAATCTAAGATGATATATTTTATGTAGTGTATTTTCAAAGTATAATGACGTAAGAACTATGTTTTATAATAAAATTAGTTTGTTGGAGTAATGAATTTGACTCTAAAATTTATTGAGATGTATTTGCTAAATGCGTTGTTGGGTTGATGAAAATATTAAAGTCTTACATCATATTAAATAAGTAATGAAGCGGGTGATAATAATTATATAATAAGCTTAAATTTCATGAGGTTTCTTACTCCAGTCAAAAACATTTTAAGCTTATATTTGACTTTTCTTATACTCCTGTAGTAAAGTGTTGTAATATTTAGTTTAAATTCTTACTTTGGAGAGTGTGAGTGTAATTGGGGTCAAGGACATGAGAGTTGTTAATGTGTTATAAAATTTTTCACATAGTGTTATTCTCTCATTAGATAACGGTCGTGGTTTTTCTCCGATTTTTTGAGTTTTCACATTATATTTCTTGTGTTGATTGTATTTTCTCTTATTTCTCTATTAGTAGGGTAATTCTCAAGGATAAATGATAATGTTCTTTATGACTCTTTTGTGTTGATTGTGTTTTTTCTCATTTCTCTATTAGTAGGGTAATTCTCAGAAATAAATGATAATGTTCTTTATGACTCTTTTGTGTTGATTGTGTTTTCTCTTATTTCTCTATTAGTAGGGTAATTCTCAAAGATAAATGATAAGGTTCTTTATGACTCTTTTTCCCATTATACATTACTAAACATGAACTTTAATTTAGCTATGTTGAGTAGGAAATAGTTTTAGTAGTAAATAAAGATTTGAATCCTGATTTTAAACCAATTACTATAAACACTTCAATTCTATAGCTTTATAATGTGTATTTAATTGAAAAGAAAAAGCTAAAAGACATGTTATTTAATATTGGTAGGATATGTAGGATGTATAAATAATTATAACTCCTTAAGGCTATATAAATAACTATAACTCTTTAAGGTTACATGAATTTTATACATTTCATTCTATTTTTCTTGCATATGTTATGAGTTAATTTTAAATAAATAAATGAATATGTTTTTTAAAAATTATATAAATAAAAAAAATATTTTAATTATACCAAAAATAACCCATTAACCTATTGGCCTAACATAAGACCAAGTTAGATAAAAATTGGACCCATTTTAACAAGTTAGATAATTAATTTTTTTTTACTTGATTTATAAGATCAGACAAAGGTTGGAGACTCATTTTGACAACCCTAAAAATAAGAAAAAAGAATCATATCTGAATATAAATTTAAAATAATTATTACCGAAATTAATAAGTTTATTAGATATAAATATTTTAGTTAAATAATAATTAATGTATTGTTGCATTTTTTTTGTATTAAGTCAAATAAAAAAATATTATTAATTAAAATTTTGTATAACTTTTGAAATAAAAACTAACAAACTTATCATAATACAAACACACATATATTTGTATTAATAATTAAGATTTATACAAAAGTTAAAACTATAAAATTATATGAAAATCTATCATAATAATAATTAAACGTATCAAACCATGTATTATTAAATTATTATCATATAAAATATAAATATTCAGTTCTTATCCATTCAGATGATTCTCAGCTTGGGAAGAATTGAGAAGAATGTTTGGATCTCACACAAGTTAACCCTTGGATTTACTCAAACCAAAACCTTTTTTAAAAATAAAATTAAACCAAAACCTAAATTGTAAAACTCTTTAACTGCGTTTTTTATTTACTTATTATTTTATTTATTAAAGAAAATTAAGGATGTAACGTAACAAACCAGGAATCAGACGCCTAATGTGCATGCACGCAAAGGCGATCCATCCGACGATCACATATCCTCCACGTGTTACCAAATACCCATTCCTCTTCGGATTCACCCCATCTCTCTCGTTAATTTTTTTTTACTGGCCTGGGCTTTATCGGGCAAAAAAACCAGTTTCAACTCTCTCTCTCTCTGTCTGATTTCTTTGATTTGACACTTTTTTTCTGTTTTTTATTTTTCAAAATTTTCCCCATTCGCATGTACGTCATCTTCCTCTGCTTTGATTTCACCCTCGCTCCCACCCGCTTTCTTCTTCCGCATATTTTCGAATTAAGAAATTCGGAAAAATCTCGTTTTTAAAACTTTATTTTATTGGGGTGGTGAGAAGAAAAATTGATTCCTTGTATTGTCGAAAATGAGGTGGGAAAAGGTTGAGGTGAAGGCGATAGGCACAGAGGGTGGTGGAGGTGGAAATGAGGTGTATGGACCAGGTAAGAGGTGGGGTCATACCTGCAACGCCGTCAAAGGTGGGAGACTTGTCTATGTCTTCGGTGGATACGGCAAAGATAACTGTCAGACCAACCAAGTTCATGTCTTTGACACTAGTAACTGCCTCCACTCTTTTATTTATTCATTTATTTATTTTTCTTCATGTTCCGAGGCCATGATGCGTTTCTTGTTGGAAAATGTTTTTTCGGTTTCTTTTGATAGGTTATGTGGAACTGAAAAAATGGATACTTGTTTTGTATTTGATGTTGGTATAGATTGTATTATTTTATGTTATACTTTTCAGTTTTTTATGTGTTTTTTTGTAGTCCTAGTGCTCTCTCTGGCAGGCAAGATAATGTGAGAATTGTATTGTATTGTTTATTTTCTGATTCCACATTTGTGATTTGCAGTGAAGCAGACTTGGACTCAACCCACTATAAAAGGCTCCCCGCCTACACCCAGGGACAGCCACACTTGCACAGCCATTGGTGATAATCTGTTTGTGTTTGGGGGTACAGATGGGATGAACCCTCTCAAGGATTTGCACATATTAGACACTTGTGAGTCATCTTTCTCATTTCTGAATTATTCACCCTTTTTTGCCTCCAAAAGCCAAAATGTATGTTCTTTAGCTCAGGTTGAAATAGTGGTTTATGTATAAGCCTCGACAGATGTGGTCCCGGACCTTTGATGGACAATGACATTGAAAACTACAGATTATGTTAAAATCTGAGAATGTTATGCCATTATGTCTAATTGACTGTTATATATCTCTTTACTGTTTGACTCACTGATGTTAAATCATTGTTAGCATTGCATACATGGATTTCTCCCACAATAAGAGGAGAAGGGCCACCTGCACGTGAGGGTCATAGTGCAGCAGTTGTTGGAAAACGCCTATTCATCTTTGGTGGTTGTGGAAAATCTACAGATAGTATTAATGAGGTCTACTACAATGATCTTTACATATTAAATACAGGTGATTTTCTCATATCATATTGCCTGTTATAGCGCAAGTTAGTTAGTTCCTTACATGGTTTTTTCACCTTGATATTTAAATAAGACCTCATGTAGGTAATAGTGGCAAAATTGACTGGTGTTTCCAGGTTTGTTGATTATTTTTGAAAGAACATGTCTGAACTTGGCATACTAGTACATTTCCTGGCTTGCTTGTAGAGGCTCATCATAATTTCAGTTGAGTGAAATGAGAGGGCTCTTGTTTGGTTATTCATAGAGAAGTAGGGGTGTGGACTGTGGAGCTTTTGAGCATTTTAGTTGGTTTCCCATTTTTTTTCCTTTCACATTTGCATTTGTATTGAAAATTTGTCTGTCACTTTTGATTAATGATTACATGTAAGTTATGCTAATAATTCCTTTGTAGAGACATTTGTTTGGAAGTGTGCTACAACATCAGGCACTCCACCATCTCCTCGTGATAGCCACTCTTGTTCATCTTGGAAAAATAAAATTATTGTAATAGGAGGTGAAGACGGGCATGATTATTATTTGTCTGATGTCCATATCCTTGACACTGGTATAAATCTGTTTCATCTTTTTCTTTTAATTTTATTGAATTGTAATATTTGTATTACAATTATAAATTTACAATTAATTATAATCAGAGCAAAGTAAAAGATCTTTATTCAGAATATAATGATTTTCTTTGGAATGTCTGTAATTATTAGATACTTTAATTTGGAGGGAGCTGAGTACATCAGGCCAATTGTTGCCTCCTCGAGCTGGTCATTCCACTGTTTCTTTTGGCAAGAACTTGTTTGTTTTTGGTGGATTTACAGATGCCCAAAATCTCTATAATGACCTTTATATGCTTGATATTGGTATGTTTTTTATAACTTATAAGAATATTTTTTTTGCTTTCAAATTTTTGTCTGTGTTTCTGGTTTAATTGTTTAATTAAAACTTATCTCTGCACATTTCATTGGTGCAAAATGCTTTTCACATTTCCTTAGAAGACATTCAATCATTTAGATGATGAGAGGTTCACATTTGCCATTTTAGCTTATAAATTAAAGTAAGGTCGTGCTCCAACTTTTCTCAAACTGACTGTTTTTGTGATTATTGTTATATATACTTGGTAATTTCTTAATTTTTCGAAAGACTTATTGTTAATTTGACTAATCAATTCCTATTTGCTGTTCTGAAAGTGGTAGCATGATAGTTTTTCTCTTTTTGATCAATATTGATTAAGTTGGGATTCCTCATATCATCTTTCATTTCATAACTGTAGACACTGGTGTTTGGACAAATGTTACAACTGCAATCAATGGTCCTTCTGCTAGATTTTCTGTGGCGGGTGACTGTTTAGACCCTTTTAAGGGTGGTGTTCTTGTATTCATTGGTGGTTGTAATAAAAGTCTTGAGGCCCTGGATGATATGTATTACTTATATACAGGTTCAGCAAAGTGTAGTTTATTTGCTAGTATTAAATTTTATAACGTAAACTTTGGTTCTGGTATTTCTCTTGATTATTATCTCTAACCAATTGATATATTTCTGACATATAGGGATTGCTCGGGAAAGTGAACAGAGACCAGAGAAGTTATCTTTAAGGAAGCAATTGAAACTTAAATGCCAAGAACAAAATCCCAATCCTAGCCAAAATCAAGTTTTAGTAAGATATGGAGTGGGTTCTGATATGGGCCAGATAATGTCAGTGTTGAATTATAGCCAGCCAAGTAAGAATTTTTTGTCTTTATACATGCAATTTTTTATTCATGGATAGTAAAGTGTAATTTTTCTCTTAGAGTCCATTTGGTAGAGAGTAATATAAAGAGTGAAGTGAATGGAAATTAAAAAAAAAGTGATTGCAAATATGTAAGAAATAAAGTGAAAATTAAAGGTGATTGGTTAAAAAAGATGTTGAAAACATAGCCAAAAAGATATAGAGATGAAGGAAAATTGGCGAGAAATGTTGGGAAAAGTATTATTGGGTTCCACTTTATTTATATTCAACCAAACAACCAACATTATTTTCACTCTTCCCACCCTACTTCCACGGTACCAAACTGGGCATTAATTTAAACTAAGATACATGGATAGATATATCCATACTGTACATTTATAAGATGCTGATACGTATATTATATGGTTGGTTGCCTTTGCCTGACTATCTCATCTTCAAACCTCTCAGTATAATTTTTTCTTGGGATACTGAAGGGATCATTTTCGTAACTTGAATACTGTCTTTTTTAAATTTAAATTTGATTATAATTATGTTTTAAAATATAATTTTCAAGAGTTTAGATTATGATGATGATGATGATGAGAAACCCAGATAAACATCATTTGCTATGAAAAATAAAGTAATTGATTAAAAATTTAAAATAAAATATAAGCAATCTATAAATATTTTTATATTTTATTTAGTACATAATAGCAGACCTATTTTCCAAAATATTTTAAAATTATCATACTTCGTATCATATTACCATGCTCATTTTCAAATTTTTTAAAAATGATGATATTTCATATCATACTATATCCTATGCTCTACCTGCATCTGCCAACATAAAGTTTTAAATTTTTAGCCTATCAATCTTGGTATGTTGGATTCAAAAAGTTCTTCAAAATTATGTTGGGTCTTACTGTTAAAGATTTGTGCAGTTTGGCTAGTTAAATTTAAGGCAGCAAGAATTGGTGTTCTTTGTTGAACGCTCCGTGAGATTCAATTAGTCAGGTTTGTGATTGTGTAGATCTAGTTCTTGCAACTAGTATGTATCAATCTTTGATATGGATTGTAGTTATGGCAATTGGCAAGTCAGTGATGAATAAAATGATCCCTCTAATAGTTTTGGTTTCGAACATTAATGAGCCAGGACAACAAAAAAATTAAAATGATATATTTGACTATCACATTTTATAGTACTAGTTAGGGACAGCTAAATATCCACTATCATAAATGCAGCTAGGCTAAATATCCCAGTAAACCAATCACTACCTCCTGGAAAGAAAATGTTTGAAGCCAAGGTCACCGAAAACATCTCAGAAGGATATAGTATTGAAACTGTTATTGATGGAAAGCCTCTTCGTGGAATTCTGTTTTTAAACAAGCCAAATTCTCTGTACTCAGCTGCTCATACTCCCAGTAGGTATGTCATCATGAGTTCTTCCCCTCTCCAGTCTCTTTCACTTTTCAGTGTGTTGCTAAATTAAGTACCATTTTGTATGTAAGTTTGCTTCAACTTATGCTTAATTCACAAAGCAGGAAAAGGACTATTGGTGAAATTGATAGTGTTGTCTCGAATGGTATACACTCTAACCAATTAAAGACTCCTAAAGTACTCGAGCAAAATCAAATGGAAAACCCAGAAGCATTTTGTGGAGACGGTTCAGTATCTCATGAACACCACAATGAATCCATTGCAGCGGTAATGTCAAGTAGCCCAATGACTGCCAATGCTTCTGATACCCATAAGGTGAAGTTGTTTTCTCTACTTCTGTTGGTGGGAATTGTAGAAAGACCTGAGTAATGATCTCTATATTTTTTTTTTTTCTAATTACACCTGTCACAGATTGGTCAATAGAACTATTCTCTGTGAAAAAAATTACTGAATGATTCTGTTGAGCTTTGTTACTGAGGGGAAGTTGGTCTTAACATTATAATTCATATTATCAATTATTTATGCGTGTTGAATATTGCTAGAACTGGTGCAAGCTAGAGTATATGCTAGCGGAGGTATTGATTTTCCAAATTTTTATTTTCTTGAGGATACTATATGTTCCTTGAAAATGTTGCTTTACTTCCTATAAATTAGTAGCCCAATCCTGAGATCCATATCTATAACTTGGTCTTAAGTTGTTTCTTTATTATTTTTGAGGATCCCTGTGAAATGAGTTGATGCAATTTATTTTATATTTTCCTGGGACAATTTTACAATGATAATATTTGTCGTTTTTTGACAATTTGCCATGGGTTAAATTAAGTCCAATTTTATGAATAGTATAACTTACGAGTGATAAGACATTGTCAGTTTCTAAATGATGGGTTGGTAGCTTGGATCTAGTTGTGTATATATTTGAAAGATCACCATCTTGTGTTGAGAAATGAGGATATGAATGTCATCAGATGATATGATGTCAAGCTAATAACTTTGTATCCTTAGAACTTTGGGGTGGTTTTTTTTTTTTTTTCTTAAATTTATTTTATATATATAGTTATATCCATGGCTATCCTTCAGGTTCCTGCCAACCCAGAACCAGAAGCTGTTGCTTTGAATCGAAATGATGAAAAACCCATATCCTTAAGTGGAAACTTGGAAAATGATGGAGCAAATGACGTGACAAGTTCCAAAGATGAGGTGCAAACAAATGACCAAACAAATGTGCCAATTTCCAACTTTGAAGTTCCATTACATGATACGAAAACTCCAAATTACAACACTGAATTTTTGAAACCTGCTGCAGCTGAGAGTGCTTTGTGCCTGTCAAATCAAGGTATAAAGTAGTTGGTGCAATTAATCTTTTCATGTGTTTTCATTAAATCACTTTTTTGGGGTTCAATCATAAGCCTACTATTCCAAAAATTAAAACTGCTAGATCTAACATACCACCTCAGGGTAGATGCCTGCGTAGGCCCAATTGTATTAGGCAGATGGGGGACAAGGATTGAACACTAGATTACATGTCAAAGGCTTTTAAACTCTAATACCAATTCATGAACCAATTATCACTAAATATTTAGTTGTTACGTTAAATTTTCAAAGGTAGGTTTTCAAACTGGCTAGGATAGGGAACAAATATTTCTAGCTTGACTCCTGAGACCCTGAATGAATAATTCTATCAATAAACCTTTGGCATGAATAAAGAAGTAAAATGGGGATTCCATCCTCCCTCCACGGGACCAATGACTGAACTTCTAGGCTATTTCAACTCGGTAGTCATCCCTTGCCGTGTTGTTTATGCTTCGAGAACAATCGGCTTGATTTTAAAAGAATAATAGGATGATTAAAGAACTTTCAAAACAGGCCAACTTGATCCACTTGGACTGAGCTGTTTTTAGGCAGCCCAAATTGGTATAGGTATATGTTTTGGACCAGCTCCCTAAAACTCTGTCTGTCTCTGTGCAATAAATCCAAGCCTTAAAAAAATTTAATCAAATGAAAATTAGGAAACTAGAACAAATTGATTTTCGGTGGGCTACATAGGTTTGAATTTATTTGTCCAACATGTACATTTAGTTGGTTTATTCAGTTAGGATTTGTCCATTTTGACAGTATTTTGCCTCAATTCCTAATTGCTGCTGTCAAGTACAACATTTGGAATGATGTTCGTATCATTCCGGAAGATAACCTTTTACTTCATTTCAATTATTTCTGTCAAAACTTAAAGAAAGCATATAGGCATCATTGATTAGATGTGATTACGACTGAAGCTGTATATTGTGCCACCCTTTAGCATAAAGAGATATCATTTTGATGCTGAATGGATTTCTCTTTTTCGCATGTGTTTTTGTATTGCTGCAAACATTGAAAGCTGGATTAAGTTTTCCATTGCTGTATGGGGCATGCCCATTTCCCTGAAAAAAAAAGAAGCTCTTTTCTGTAAACTAGATGTTGAACTTGCCTTTAAGGAATGTGTTATATTGATATGTAATACAAGTTTATCTATATGTTTTTTTGCAATTAAGATTTCAAAACAATTAATGTTAAAAGGGGTATTATGTCAAGAAGAGAAGTAATTTTTAAGAATCTAGTAAAAAATAATAGATTTCTGGAACAGACATTTACTATTATTTATTTATTTTATTTCTTTTCTTTTTTTGTCAATGTATATGATTCTAATTCTTCAACAAGATTAATTTTCCAATTACTGGTAGGTACAGTGGCGGATTCCACAACTCCAACAATAGAATGCAGCGAAGCAGCAAAATTAATATGAACTCAGAAGATAATGGCTGATGGTGATAACTTTGTGCTAGGCATTTGTACATTCCTCTCTCAAGGTGACCATAGAGGTCAATATAACTGGTGATATAGGCTAACGTGCTCTCTACTGATGGATATACAATTACTGACACCCTTTGGTCTGAAATTTTAATTGAACAAAAGATACTTTTAGGTTTAGATAGTGATAGAAGCAGTTCTATTTTACCGAGTCATCCATTTATATTCATGTCTGCCTTCATTTATTGCATGGAAATAAAATTTTGAATTATTGGTGCCTGGGCATCAATATTATTTCCAAACGCAGCTTTACCTATTAAATTCCAAAGCTCTCGAGAGTTACTCTATCTTTCTTTTTCCATCTTGTAGGAGTCTTGTTTTGTCATATATTTTTCTGAAGTTGAATTGAGGCATTCGTGTTTCTCTCTGGGGTGTAATAACGTTAAGGCTAGCACCGTTATTTGCTGGTGTTAATCTGGCGCTATGTCCTTGTGGACCAAGTTCATTACACTGAAGCAGCAAGTGGCGAAGATGGAGATGAGAGGATAATTTTAGTCCTACAAAAAATTATAGTTTATGATGAAAAATTGATGCTCAATTTTAGTAAAATGATAGGGATCATTTTCTGAATTGAACTGTGACTAAAAGTAAGCCTTTTATTTATTTATAAAACAAAAAGGTCATGCCATTGTCACTAATAGCTTCAGATACCTACTCCTACTGTAGATATTTAATTAGGTAATATATACAAATGCAAAGAGCCTCTCAAAAAAGAGTAAACACAACAAGTATTATTATTACTAGCCTGAATTGTTGTTTACTTTAATGAGTTTAGCTTTAGTTGTAAATGAAAAATAGACATCACAATTGGCACTGATACTTTCAGGAACACAATATATCTGTTGGTTTTGCTTGACAGGATCCGAGTTCATTTCTTCTTTAGCCATATTACTTGTTGAAAAGTTAATCTATCGTATACTTATGCTATAAAATGCATAAAGCAAAGCAAGTATGGGTAGTGACACTTTTATGAACCTTTAGATTCTTGATTATATGGTGATAGAAGCTCAACTTTGTGTGTTTGCCTGCATTCAAGTACTTTCTGTATTTTGGTAGCATTCTCATCATTGCTACTGTCATCTTTATGGGGGTAGTTGCAATGACAACGGAGCAGTTCATTAAACCAACCAATCACCATTTTCCTTAAAAATTATTCTGTCTAAGTTCAATTAATTAATTAAAAAAGGTACAATTTGTTGGTGATTTTCTGTCTAAGTTCTTCAACATGACATTTACTACAAATTAAGAACTAATTTGCTCACCTGACATATCATTAAATATTTCACTGAAGAACAGTTCTAAATCGCGTTAACGGTATCCTCTTACTATTGTTGTGTAGTGATCTTATATGTGGAATTATCCTTTTCAGTATTAATTGCGTTGTGAAGAGATCGAAAATGGAAAATACAGAAGAAAAGAAGGGTTCCAAAACAAAAGAATGTGACGGGTAGCATATTGCCATAATCGATTGTCTTTTATTGCCCCCACAGTCAATCCGTGACGTCGTTGTGTATCTTCTACAAATACCACAAACACTGTCAAATCAAGCTGAATATAAAACTTCAATTAAAACAAAAACAACACATTCTTCTACTCACCCTTTAGACTATGATTCATCCTGCAACGGTGACTTTGTATAATTTTGTTTTATCTGAGGAAAAGATAATGTTCCACTCCCGTGGGTGATGAAAAATCGAAGAGATTAATGAAATTTCATCTCAATTAGAAATATAATAATATTAAAGTTTTAATCGGTTATATAGGATTGAACGACGTGTCTTTCTATTTTTAATAATATTCGAATGGAATAATTCCTTCCTCTTTTGAAGGTAAAGGTTCTTACAGCATAACATGGCAAACTAATTAATCAATGTGTGTTGGCTGGATTGGATGGAAAGTTTGGTTAGAATTGTTTCCCTGATTGAAGTGGGTGTAGAGTGTAGAGATGAGTATTACTGATGGAGGAAGGTGTAATTGGGCATGAAAGAGGGTTTGAGATAAGTAATAAATGTTTGCTGGAACATGGGGTAGAGATGAATATGATAGGTTAGTTGGTGTTTATGGATGTGGGGTTCAATTCATCTGCTAAATCTTAATTTTTCTGTCCCCATATTTACAATCACCGTCACTTTCAATTCCTCCACCCTACTCAATCAACTGGCACCGCAGATGAATCAATGAAAATTGTGATCATCTTCATGCCCTGCATGCATATAACATTAACTAATTCAATGTGTGTTTGGAAATGCGATCAACTTGTACAATCACGTCAAATCAACAAAACTCACGTTAAACATGCCTGCAAATGCCACTCTTTCATAGTAAGGGTTCATATTTATTGGTAATCTCTTCTTTCTCATCACAATTTCTTTTCCATAAAACTCGAACTTGTCACCTTATTTAAAGAAACTTAGTTTAAATCACTCGGTTCGGGTATTTGTTGATATTCTAGCCTACTATTTCAATTAAAGAAAACTCGTGATAAGCAAATATACACAAAACAGAGCAATAGATTTATTTTAACATGAAAATTTTCAGTTAAATGTAAATTTATTCTTTTCAACTAGTTTTTTATTATTGCACATTTAAGACAAGCGAAATTAAATATACAATTTGTTTTGAAATATATTTATTATAAAAACTAAAGTCGTTTTATATAATTTTTTAAATGTATTTAATTGAAATTCTTTCAAAAATAGTTTTTTTACGCAAATGGTACCGTAACCTAATTTGTCAGGGTAGATAAATAAAAAGGCTAGTCGTATCTCAGTGTGAAGACAATTGAAGTGACCTACTAAACTTTTCTCAATTTGTTGTCCTTCTTACGAAGAAAAATACTATATATAACCAAAACAAAAAGATATGGACTTTCTGACCCAGTTCTGACCAGATTGGGTGCCCATTTTCATGATTCTCCATTTGTTCTCTGGGGAGAAAATATTAATACAATTCTTCTTGGATCTGTAGAAATTCGTTTGCACTATACATTGGAACTAGTTTCGTTGAGGTGGTGCAAGCCTTAGTGTGTGTATTGTTTTGTGCAAAATTTAAGGAGAATTGGCTCTTGTTTGCATGTTTCTTTTTTTTTTTGTGAACCAATATTCAAATGGTCATAATTGGAAATTTCAGGAAATGCAGTACTGTCGGCAAAATTTCCTCTCTGCAATATTTTGTACGGAACCAATTCTACATTATTTGATAAATTCATCTAGAGAATATTTTGCATGAAATATTTACTGTGGCCCTGTAATTTAGCAATAACATTGTTTATGTGTAACTGAGGATGGAAACTGACCTCTTTGTGGATGCTGCATATGGAACTACATAACATAGACTAGGAAACTTGCTTCATTGACTTGTAGTTGTCTTATGCACTGTGCCTGGACTAAACTTTAAGGAGTAAAGGAGGTTCAAATATAACTTCAAGCACAATGGATTGGTTATTTGGAAGGTAAGTACTAAGGACTCTTTGAGCTGTCTGAGTTACTGGATTCTGTGTTATGTTAATTATTGCTTATTAGAATATGCAAGCTTATTAGAAAGGGTTTGCACTTTGAATTTGTGTAGTGTTGGTAGAGTTGGAGTACAAATGATGAAGCTTTTATGAAGAGGGAGTAATTGTAATTGATTGTGGTAGTTGAGAAGTTGAGTTTAATTCGAGAAGAGGTAGATATGGCAGCAAAGCTCTTGCATTCTTTAGCAGATGACAACCCAGATTTACAAAAGCAGATAGGATGCATGACTGGGATTTTCCAACTTTTTGATCGTCACCACATTATTTCTTCTCCCTGCATTACCCAGAAGAGGCTTCCTCCAGGTAATCCTTTGCTAGTTGTTAGGCATGTGTTCAATAAATTTGGTTAATATCAGCATGATTTTCATAGATTGATTTTTTTTTCTTTTATCTTTCTATATTCCTTTCATCAATCTCAAATGTTTTATCACTAATGCTGTTTAATGGTTGATTTGTCACAAGGATACTAGTTTCATGTCATAGTCTTACGTTTCAACTCCTTTTGTTTGTGTTGGTCCCTTTGAAGTTCATTCATACTTCTCATGAAATAATTAGCTCAGACCTTTGCACCAGTGTCGGTATTTGGCCTTCTCTATCAATTTCATTAGAGAATTCAAATTAACGTTTCTATCTTCATGATAGGTAATTCCCACTTCAATTATGACAGCCTGGAAAGAGATTCTAAAAGCATACACCAGGAACAATCAACAGCAGTAAGAACCTTCCATTACATGTCTCACAAATTATAACTGTTTTACACTTCAAAATTTCTTGAATAATATTTCAATTTGATGAATAGATATTTGGGTTGAGTAAATTTGTCCTATCTACTGTAATCAAATAGTTGTTACACCCTAAAAATCGTTTCAGGATTTGCTGATTTTGTTTGTTTCTTCCTAATTCAGTGGCTTAAATTCATTTTTACCATGATTTCGCAGTGTGCATAAACTACCATCTTGTCTGAACTGCACGTAATTGAATGGAACTAAACTTATGCAATTTGGTGAGTTTGTTGCAGGATATGAGGGGCACGAGTGATAAGCTCAAAATTTCGACAGAATCATCAAGAACTTCATTCTCTTCTTCTTGTTCATTATCAATGTCCTCTTTGGACTACAAAGCTCAAGCAGATGCTCCCCTTGAAAGGATTGGTTTTCCTGAAAATCCTATGAGGGGCCCAGTTGTGTACCAAACATGTACCTCTCCCCATTTAGGATGTCCCTCCCTTGACCTGAGGGATGTGGTGAAGGACTCTATATATAGGGAAGCCAGAGGACTGTCCAAAGAAAGGGATTCCCCAAGACATTCTCAGCTGTCCAAATCTGTTGATAGAAAGCAAACTCCTATTGATCTAAAGGAGTCCTTGCGAGTCCTTGCTAAACTTAGAGAAGCACCTCGGCATTATGTTGAAGCTAAAGAACTTCCAAGATTATCAAATGAAGCAAAAGATGGACATTGGCATTCCATCTCAAAGGATCCTCCTCGGTTTTCTTATGATGGAAGAGAAACAAGTGAGATGTCTTTGGAATCACATGATACTTTGAAATGCCCACCAAAGCTAAAAGAGCTTCCTAGACTTTCATTGGACAGTAGGGAAGGTTCATGGCGCACACACGGCTCTGATTCAAAACCCGGTAACCTTTCAAGTACAAGTGGTGCCTCCACCTCAGTTGACAACGTTTCTAGTCTACATCAGCCTTCAGAAAACCAGAGACGACCACCTAGTATTGTAGCAAAATTAATGGGCTTGGAAGCATTGCCAGAATCCTATACGGCTTGTAATAACAAGTCAAGTTTGAGTGCAGCTGGCTCAACTCAAAGCAATGATCAGTTTTGGAAAAACGGATCTATTAGACCACTTCGAGTTTCGACTTTCCCTGAAATCTCGTTGGCAGAGAAAGAGATGACACCCCCACGGTGGAAGAACCCTGATTTGGTTGTGAAACCAATCTTGAGCACAAAGTTTCCCATTGAACCTGCACCATGGAAGCCGCAGGATGGAAACCAAAGCTCTGAGAAACTAACTTCCAAGGCCATAAAACCTACAGCAAGAACACCAGAATCATTTCCTTCAGTTTATACTGAGATTGAGAAGAGATTGAAGGATCTTGAGTTTAAACAATCTGGAAGGGATCTCAGAGCACTCAAACGGATACTGGAAGCAATGCAAGTAAAAGGTCTGTTAGAGACCAGAGAAGAAGACCAAGCTTCAAATGTTGTTGGAAATGAAGGAGACAGTGAACTAAAACCAACCTTAATTCATCATTCTATGTCTATGAGGCAGCAAACAGCCTGGGAATCTGATTCTGCAATGACTATAGAGTCACCAATAGTAATCATGAAACCAGCAAAACTTGTTGAGAAAACCAGAATTTCTGCTTCTTCAGTCTTTCCAATTGATGAACTTTCTGATTCCAATAAACTTCAGAATAATGGTGTACATGTACATGATAAAAAGGGGACAGCTTCCAGTCAAATAGCAAAAGATCAGTCTGTCAGAAGCAGTTACAAGGATGCTTCTACCAGTTATAGAGAAAAGAAAGCAAATAGTATCAAGACTATAAAATCAGCACAATCCCAACCAAAGTCTACTCTATTTACAAAAGAAAATAGCCCAAGCTCAGTAAAGAATTCAGGATCTGTTAGCCCAAGAATGCAACAGAAGAAGTTAGAATCGGAGAAGCAATCTCGCCTTCGTACCCCACCATCAGATTCGAGTAATCCGAGAAGGCAACCCTGTAAGCAGACAACTGACTCAGATTCTCCCAGTCGAAAACTGAGACTTAAAGTCCCTAATTCACAGTATAGTGATGACAGATTAAGTGAGACTAGCAATGAATGGAGAAGTTTAAGTAGCCAGTGGGATGAAGTATCTCTGCAATCAGACAGTAACACTTTCGACTCAAAGATGGATATTGAAGTTACCAGCAGTTTACAATCTGTTGAAATTATTGATATCCAAAGCCCATCTTGGAAGGCTACTGAGCATTTGGTTTCAGGATCAACGCATAAGGTTGGATCTCCGATTATCTCTTTTCATTCATTCTTTCTGATTAAAACTATGAGAAAATTGAAATTTTTAGTAGTAATATATTCCAATTATCAGTTGATATGTAAATTTTATTTAATTTTGCAGAAATCAATGCTGAGGTGGAACGAGGATGAGTCAATTACAAAACTTGCAACACATCCCTCATATGATCTTGTCGATGTCTCAGTATACAAATTCGATATGTCATCCCCAGCAAAGAGCATATCCAATATTCGTCAAGGTAAAATTTCTGTCTTCCAAATAACAATAAAAAAATGAGTTTTAGAGTCAGATTCAAAAAGAAAAATTCTTGGTTTTGACAATCAGTTCATCCTCAAGATTGATTTAATATACTTAAAAGAAGTCTTAGTCATTTTCTATTTGAACTGGTTCCTCATGTAAGAGATTGAAAATCATTTTTTATGATGGATTGACCACAACTAGAGAGTTGACCATGCTTATATTAAGTCAAAATAGTTTGTTACAAAGATATGATGATGATGCATAATTGTACTCCTTTTAGCCCCTGCTTTTAATGGTTTGTAGCCAGCCTTATTAAGTAACATTCAAATTGTTTGCATGACAAATTTTCTCAAAGGCAACTGTGATGAGTATTACATTTACAATGCTTTAGGCTTTATATTTTCTTCCCAGCATAAACTCTATGCTCTTAAAAATAGAAGCAAGCAGTCACTAGAGAAAGAAATTTTTATTTTTATTTTTCACTTGTAATAGTCTAATATATATGTGCAACATTTTGTTCATTTCTGTACACTATTTAACTATAATCCCAAATTCTGCAGCTGACGGTGGTCAAGAATCTAAAGAAAATTATCATACAGATCATTGGAGCCCTGTAGATGGCCTCTTCGTTAACAACCCAAGATATAGAGAGATTAACCACAGGAAATTGCAAAGCATAGGTCGCCTGATTCAAAAGCTTAGACAACTAAACTCAAGTCATGATGAAACTAGAATCGATTACATAGCTTCCCTTTGTGAAAATACAAATTCAGACCACAGATACATTGCTGAAATACTGTTGGCTTCAGGGCTACTACTGAGAGCTTTGAGTTCTGAGTTGTTGACATTTCAACATCACTCATCAGGTCATCCCATTAACCCTGAGTTATTCCTTGTGTTGGAGCAGACCAAGTTAAGTAGTTTGGTTTCCAAAGAAGAAAGCAGCTTTGGAAAAGTTGCTTACATGAAGCTAAATATAGAGAAGTGGCATAGGAAACTCATCTTTGATACTGTGAATGAGATTCTTGGTACAAAGCTAGGCTCTTCTCTTGAGCCATGGTTGAAGCCTAATGGACTTCCAATGAAATTCGTCACTGCACAAAAGCTTCTTAAAGAACTTTGCTTTGAGATACAAGAACTTCAATATGTGAAGCCAGATTGCGGTATAAAAGATGAAGGGGATGGTCTGAAAAGCATGCTATGGGCAGATGTGATGTGCCACTCAGAAAACTGGAGAGGTTTCCCTGGTCAATTACCTGGGGTTGTGTTGGATGTTGAGAGACAGATATTTAAGGACTTACTTGATGAGTTTGTGATTGGTGAAGTGGCTAGTTTGCGAGTGTAGTCCAGTAGGCACAGCAAGCTATTTGAAAAGTAGTTCAATCCATTTGCTCCATTTTCTGCCAATCTCTAATCCATCATTTTGTTCATTTTACAAATAATTTTTTGTATCATGCCATGAAAGTTTGCAGACTAAGAGCTTTGATTATTTTTGCTAAGTTGTGAAGCCAGTAACTTTACCATGGATTTACATCGTAAGTATTCTAAAAATTCATTGTGGAACATGTGTCTCGGCTATAACTTTGGCTTCTGATATTGAGTTTGTCTTCTGTAAGGCCACCAACTTCCTTGCCATGAAAATATTAGAAGTTGCATACCTAATGAAAGTGGAGCAGACAACTGGGAAATGTCATGCACGTGTCACTTGAAAGAATTCATATTCTAGACCAACAAAAGGGCCTAACGTCCGGCTCCTCTTTTATATAAAATCTGCCACATTCCTGTAGAAAAGCATTGGTAAACCAAATTCCAAACCATGCAAATTAGAATACTGTTCCTGGTTGCACTTGTCACATTCAATAACTTCACTGAATTTTCTACTTGCTGGCTAGAGGAACTTGAAATAACTAATGGTGTATGATAATTAGATAATTGGTGTATCCTGAGAAAGACATAATAAACCAATGTGCTTGCTTCTTTTCAGTTAAAAATTTGATTAAAAGATTATAGTTGGTTTAGAATTAGGAGGTTTGAAATATTGCATCTCTTAAATTTAAACATGTTGCTACTGTACACAAAATTATATTAAATTAAAAACAAAAAGACTAGATGTCTGGTATAAATTTGGCCCAAATTTGTTTTACATATAACTCCCTTCCAAATATTCTGATAATATGCTCCCATAAATGAGCATTTCTGGAATGAGGTCATTTTACTTTGCCAATGTACATATAAAATTTGCACCATGGCAACTGTGTTATCGTCCTTCGCCATAGGATGATAATAAATAAAATGATAAAATAATTACTTAACACACAATGGTCATCTAGCCTCCGTAGCATAGTGGTAGTGCGTTCGCTTCGTAAGCGAAAGGTCGCGAGTTCGATCCTCGCCGGGGGCTTTTTTTTTTCATCAAATTTTCTTACATATTTTTAATTTTTCAAAACAAAAAAATCTCAAAATAATTAACTTTCATTTTGGAATATATTTATTTTATTTTAAAATGACTATTTGGTAATGTTTTAAAAGTGGAATGCATCTATGAGTAAATTAATTAATTCACAAACAACTTATATTATTATTATTATTCTGGAATATGTACGAATTAGACGTTGGATTTTGTAACCCAGAAAGACCAAAAAATAAATAAAAAATAGAAAAAATGAAGGTAATATAATAAACTGATACTTAAAATGTATAAAGAAAAAGTATGGGAAAGTGAAGAGAGGATAGTTAATGGACTGGGCTCCTTGTATCGTTGCCCAATTGAGCCTTTCTCTCAAGAAACACAAATCCTTGAAGTATTCAACATAATTATTTATCTTAGGACAAAACAAAGTAATTAATGATACTCCATTGCAGATTCAAAGGGTTCTTCACATTTCTCTCTCTCTTTCCAATTTGAAGAAGAAAAGAAAGAAGTGGAGGTAGCATAAGTGGTCCCTTATCTAATGCTCATCATAATCATCATCTCATCTGCACGCCTACATACTGCGTGCAACTTCCCTATATACTTTTCTTTTTCTTTCCCTATTTTTCTTTTTTTATAGTTCTTACTGGATTCAATGAGAAAAAAAAAGTACAAAAGAAGAAGATTTTAAAAATAACCTATGATCAATTATTAGAGTTTTAATTCACCACGAATTTAATTTTAAAAGATATTTTAAATATATATAAACTATTTTTACGAGATTTATGAATATAAATTAATCATATAGCTTTTTGAGATGATTGTGAAACTTAATTTTAATGTTTAACCAACAATGTTATTATATATTTTATTAATATAGACTAAAAGTTAATTTTCTCAAACAATGTTTCTTCTTAAACCGATGAAGAACTTCACATTATCTGTTGACTAATAAATGAATTAATGTTGTAATTCTTGATCAAAATACCATGAAAAATATATGAACTTTTTCACAACAAACATTAAACAAATCATACCAATTTGACACAGTAGCCATATCACACCAAATTTTAGTAAGGTAAGTAAATTGTTTTATCATATTAGAAGAAAGTACAATGCATCAAATAGTATTTAATGTTACATCATGATTTTCATTTTCAACACGAGTTTCAGATGAAATATATGTAAACTTGTGCAAGAAACTCCAAACATCTCAGCAACATCTAGTTTTTCTTATGTAGACTATCCTTTTATATATATAAAATTAATAGAGAGGTCTTTTTATGTAAAATTAAATCTGAAACATTTTTTTGAGAAACCTTATAGAGCTTATTTTATATTGGTTTGCTCAGGTGTTGTATACATTAGCCTCTAAATTTTTCTTTATACCTTGGGAGGTGATTTGAGTTTGAAGATTTGTGGTAAACAATACTTGATATTAATTCAATGAATATTTGTATTTATGTTTTATTATTAATTTTTTTTTTCAAATAAATGATATATAAACGACACAGAATATGATGAAAGAAATGCTTTGAGTAGAGATGTTTATTCACCTTCGATGTGTTAAGCCAATAACTATTACATCAAAGCAAAAACAAGATATATTCACTTGAGTATACTAAGTTGAGGGACAATTTTCTAGAGTGACATGAAACTCAAGTCTTCCAAGGAACCATTAGATTCTGATGAACAATTACTTCATAATTTAGGTTTATTTTCTTACTTTATTGCAAGCAGACCTAAACTACACCAAACTTCACATGGCACTGCTAACTGCTGTAAGAAAATAAAATGGTATATCCATAAATGTAACTGCATCGTCTTTATTGCTTCCCATATTTCTTAGTTTTAAAACCTTAGAATTGGGACCACTAGCATGTAAAACTTTTTGGCTTTTTTTCTTTGATGCCATCTTTAAAGGACCTTTAAAACCCCAACTCGCTGCAACAACTGAGTCTCTTTAATTTATCTTGGATCTTGTGATATATTATTGTCTACAGGCAGGAGAGACTGCTTTCAAAATCAGTACTCTGCTTGTGATTTCATGTTGCTTCCTTTTCATGGTCAGAAGAACTGCAGATTCGAACACATTTTCACACTTTTTTCACTTTGTTAGAAGGATGCTTCTATCAGTTCAATGCCTTCATCAATATGCTGTTAAAGAGGGTACAAAGATGAAGGAAGATAGGATTTCCTATTTCCCCCCACTATTTATATACACAAAAGGGACACATAAAGAGCTCAGAGAGATCTTTGCCCTGTAACATCTTTATCCTCCTTTAAACTTTTTAGTGTTCATCATAGATACGTTAATTTCGTTGCTAATTATAACATTTTAAAGAGAGGTCTATGTTCAATGTTGCACCTCCATAACTCTTCATTCATGTGTACTTCTCCCTGTCATGGCTGCCTCTCGCACCATGCACACTTACTTGCATTTCATGTTTTAGCCAGTTTTTATCACTAAGAAATATAAAACATGATTTTTTTATTTATTTTAAATTCAAATATTAAAAAATATATATATAAATAGTTAAATGAAATCAAACACCTTTTTAAAATGTTCAACATCAAACCAACCAACCGTATAATTGAAGGACAAGAACATTATATATATGCAAAATGTGGGAAATTAAATTTGTCATTCTAAATCAGCAGAATGTTTTCAAGGTATATTATTGCCTTAGGAATATAGACAAAACCTGATTTGATTTTAGGTACTCTTAATAGTGTCAGAAATCATGTACAGTTTCCCTACAAACACCGGGATTCATTTTATATAATGCAACCCATGAAATTAAACACATAAACTTAGTGCATATATTCATTAACATAAAATATTAGTCTCTGCATCAGGTATCAACCATATCACACACACATGTACTTGGTTTCACCCTTAACTTAAATATCTGACACTCTGAAAATTACAGTTATGAAAGAGCTTAAATATGAGTGCATTGGGATTGCTTTCCCGTCTCATAGAACATTTCTTTGGTCAAATAGTGCGAAAAAAGCTGCAAATATTAAAAAAAAAAGTTCAAAAGCATCTTCATAAAACAAAACATTGTTCAACAAGACACTTAGAGTCATTTGAAAAATCCTTAGAACTATTTAAAGCTGTAATATATATATAAAATGAGAAGACTGCATGCAAGTGTAAGAGAGAGTAATTTTGCTAATTAAGTTAAAACAGAAAACAACTGAGTATACGTTCGTTGATGAAGTCAATTATATATGTATTGTAGTACAAATTATTCATAAATTATATATTTATTATTGATATTAATTTAATTAAAAATCAATTATAAATATATATATATATATATATATATATATATAATAATTTAGTTATTTTAATGGATTAAAACCAGAATGACACTATTTTTATTTTTATTTTTTCAATCTTATTATATTATTCAAACTTGTGCAATATATCCTTTTCACGTTTGACATGCATTTGTGTTAACTTACTCTTGATTAATCAACTGAACTCTTTTCAAAGAAAAAATTACTTTACACAAATACACAGTTATGTCAAACAAAGTTTAACTTTTCCCCGTTACTACTTACACCTAAAGAAAGCAACATTATCAATTTATTTTTTTTAAATTTGAGAGTCTCAGGTACCTGTTTAAGCTTCTTTTTGTACTCAATGAAAGATGGAGTATTTTTTTCTTACTACACTGGTGGTTTCACTTGTCTATATACATTACACTTTAATCTAAGTAATATATGGGTACTCCTTTTTGAAACCTTACTTTCAACTTAATAATCAATTATTTTTTTGTTAGTTCTAATTAAATCATTAGGTAAAAAAAGTCTTGTGACATAATATCATGTTGAACTTTCTATTATAGATATACATTTTAAGATTAAGTTTTGGATTAGCTTTAAATATTTTTTTTTCAAAATTATTTGTTGTCCAAAATTAAATCATATAGACATGACTCATGGTTGAGTATAGTGTCAGAACAAAAAATAATTTAAACTTAATGAAAAACAAATTAGTAATTTTATAATTTACAACTTAGTACCAAAACATTGGAACTATTTGAACTTGAAGTCTAGATAATAAAAGTCTCCGGGATGAAAAAGGATTTAACTTGTTATAAGCAAATATATAATGTAAGAGTTAAAACTAATAGATAAAAACAGGTTAGCAATTTGTACTAAACCTCTAACCATATAAGCACATAAATTTCAGAACGTATTATTATTACCTTGCATTCATAATGATTAATCAACAAGGTATCTAATAGTTGAAACCACAAAGTTAACTTCAAATATAAATATGATATATGTATAGCTAGCATGGCCATACTTACAAAATTAACATTCATGACTGAGTGAAAATTCAATTCATGTGCTTTAGCATGTTGAATATCCATACGAAGAAGTCCTCGAAACTAATAAGCATTGTTCACATAGTTTGCTTGAGAAGAGGACTATGATGAGGAGCTTTAAGAACGAATACTACCCTTATCTTGTTGGCTGCGATCATCATTATCTGAGTCAAGAAGCTTGGAACTTAGTGATGTTGGGAGGCGTCTAAGAGGTGAACTGGTAGAATGAAGAGATTGGATAAGAGGATGAGGCATCATGACTTGGGAACTTGAGCTAAAGATCTGAACATTGTTGGATTGTCTTGGATCACTTTCCACTGAGTAAAAAGCAGATGATGTAGCAGAAGGTGGACAAAAAAGTAATTGGGGACCAGATGCTCCAGAGAAATTAGAAGATGAGAATTGCATACCGCTGCCACTGCTTGGATGGGAAGGAAATAGTCCATGGCTTCCAAGATGGGATAAAGATAGACTTGAAGGCTCAGAATGGTGATAGGAGTTATGTGTCATGGCATTGTTTAGCAAATCAGGTAAATAAGAGTTATTAATCCCAAGGGGGAAGAGCTTATGATGAGCTGAAGGATCTTCTCTACTTTGAGTACTACCACCAGCTTCTTCATTTGTTTTGATCCAGCACTTGCCCTTTTGGGAGGATGACACACTTTCAGCTAACTCCTTACTGTTTTGTGAATCTATATCCCAATACTTTGTCGACTTGGCCATGATATTTTGATTTCCCCCATCCTTTACATAGGCGGAACTAGCACCATCGTACAAGCTTCCAAGAGAAAACTGAGAGGTACCTAACAGTGGAGTTTGTTGGTGAAACTGAGCAAAACAGTAAGGAAATTGAAGTGGTGGAAGCTTATCAATATCAGATTTGGTGACTTCAAGCAACCAATCTACCACCTTGCTAGGTTGGTTGAGTCCTAGCTTGTCTTGAAGATCATATAACTGAACTGCTGTAGGTACAGACAGTCTAATTCTTCTGTCCCTCAGTCCCCTAATAGTGCAAACCTTGCTGTGCCTATCTTTTCCTCCCAAAGACCGCGAGACTCGAACAATTCTTGGATTTCTGAATGCTGACCATGATCTTGAGACGGAAGGTGCCTTTGAGAGCTTCTCAATTTTAATGTTCTCACCCTGTTGATTGGCTTGGTGAACTTTGCTTGAACTATTCATCTTGTCCCTTATAATCTCATCATTTTCTTGTTGATTATATCATACAATAAAATCAACCTTTTCAATCTCATGCACACAAGTAACTAACCCGATCTGATAAACAATGAGGAAAATGAAGAAGTTATAATATCAGAAAGCTTGTTGGGTTTTTGTTTAAATATTTACAACATATATGCTAAAATTGTTGCTCAGTTGACTGAGAACAGCTCCACAATAAGGAGTACAGGCTGAAAAATTAGAGAGGCAAGTATGGGTGATCAGAAAAAAACAATAAGATGGTGTAAAATTCAACACTGAAATCAGGTTTACCAATTCTACAAGACCACTGAAGTTATGATGCTTCAAAATTAGGGCAAAGACATCTCTACTCACTCAATTGAAAGTGTTATGAAACTGAATCGAGTCAGAAACATGAGTTTGGTGAAAAAATTGAGACATGCATGGTTAGGTTTTCACTGAAAACATTAGAAGCATGAACACAAAGCTTGTGTGAGTAGTGAGATAACAAGATCAACTTACCTGAGAGAGGAAAGTGTGGATGCTATGTCCTAAGCTTTTGAGCAAAGAAGAAATGGAGGAGACAGCAGAAGTAGAAACTTCATACAAGTCTTCAATGTTAATTAGTGGAGCAGATGACCTCAAGTTTCCACTTCAACCTTTTTCCTGCCAAGGGATAATAATGTTGCATCGAATTGAGAATTTATGCAAAGAAAAGTTAACATTTTACAGCATCAGATGGGTGTAAATGTCCAAAATAATAACAATGATGAGTTCACCTTGACCATCTGGCATCCTTGTAAAGTGACACGTACCCTTGCTTGTCTTGACTTCCTTAGTCTGTTAACACCACATGCTGATGAACAAATTAGCACTGACTTGATAATAAAGACCATTAATCAAAGCTAATTTCTAAATTTATTATTCAAAGTTAGTGTCTCATTACATTAGTTTTTGGAAGATGTGTATTGCTATATTACTACCAGATACAAATACTGCAAAATTTATCCTTTCTGTATCATTATTATAATTCTTTTTTGAAGATGATGATGATAAATTTATAATTTTTAAAATTTATTTTGATGGCTATATAATAGTCAATTTAGTAGCCAAATAAAAATTAATTTAATATTTTTAATACATTAAATTAGGAGAGTTTTTAGTTATTAATTATAGAAAGCTTCAGTGTCGGACTAATTTAGGACCGTCTGTGCCAGCTAGCCCAACAAGAGTGACAAATGAAAAATTAGGGAAAATAACACCTTTGATCCATTTATAATGTTTAGTTTCTTTTTAATAGAAATAAAGCAGCAAGAACATATTTTAACCAAAAGTATCTCAAAATGTATTTTATCTTTAGAAAAATTTATTTAATTAAGGTATTAGACACTAAGGATGGAGCTTTTGATTTTTATGGTCAATATTTCATCTGCAATTTACATTTTTGTTAAGAATTAATTCATAATTATTTTTAATATTTTACAATTTTAAAATAATTAATTATTATTTTTATGATAATATTTGTTTATGTTAAAATTTATTTTAATGTAAAAGATTTGAAATTCTTACTCTTAACTTTAGTTCGTTGAGAATAGTGTCTAAATTGTTGTAAACATTATGACATGTGAAGAATCCCTACCCATAAGATTTTTATTTTTTTTAACTTGATTGCTTACATATTATTTTTTTCTATTAAAATTAAAAATATATAAATATTTGAAAGTTAATTAAAATTAATTAAATGGATGAAACTCAAAGTTAATTTCTCCTCTCCTTTTTTTTTAGGTAGCACTTAATTGTCAGTTTTTATTTGCTCATGTATTGGTATATCAAGTTTTAGTTAGGATGGGGAAGAGACTCTGAATGGGATGAAATGTTTTGAATGTATATTGTAATTAATTACTTCTTCCTATTTTTAGTCTTTTTCATGACCAGTAAATATATATATATATATATATATATATATATATATATATATATATATATATTCTCTCCCACTTTTAGTAGTTGTTGCTTTGTTCACATGTCACTTCTTAATTCAAGAAAATGAGATGGGGAAGAATAAAAAGGGATTATATTGATTTATATATATCTAAATAAATCCATCTTATAATGTCATGATTTATTTGCATTTTGTTATGAGTTGCATTATCTTTATTCAACACTTTTTCTTACAATCTTATTCCGTCTGTTTTATCCTTTTTAATTACAACAATATTGTGTCTGTCATTTGACTTTTAAAGAAATGGATTCTGAAAAAATAGGAGACAAAATCTAAGTGTGCAGTTATTAATATAGAAGTATATAAAGAAAGTGAAAATAAAAAATAAACCCACAGAGGTAAACTTCGAAAAGTTATGATGCATACTGTTGGAATCTGATCTGTTGTATTAGATGATATAGATCATAGCTGTGCTATAGATGAGGGACCAACTTAGGCTCATAAAAGCATCCACTCAACTTATAGCTGGAAAAAAAAAGAGAGGGACCACATACATATGCCAGTGAGATTTGCACACAGCACAAATACAAGTTTGTATATATATGTATCACTCACATTCTAATAATTAGTTTCATTAGTTCTCTAATAATTATGCAACTTAGTTTCACAATATACTAGGTACACTGTAAAATCTGTTAGTTTCTTATACCTAATTACTAGTCCAAGTTTCCCTTTACCTGCTATGAACTTGCGTTGTCCTTGCAGCTCAGAATTAGTATATCCCAGATCAACCAAAAAATACATGTATTTGGTCCAGTAAATCAAATAGTCTTGCCAACTATAGTATCTAAACTGTTTCCTAATTAGGTTGTGTCTTGTGTATGTCGTTATATGTATATGAGAGTATTTTTCCCGCCAAACAAGGAAAAGAAAAAGACTAGCATGCAAATAATTGATGTGGCTAATTACTTAGGTTTATAGAGAATATTTTCCTTTTAAAACACAGTGCGTGTGTGTGTATTAAAATGACACAAGAAGAACCCTAGCTAGTTACCTATTCAGTGTTATATATCTAAAGTTGAAAAAGAAAAACCGTAATGAATCTTCTTTCTAACGTTGCGTGCTGGAGTTAGAGACAAAGAGCCTCCAGCTTTTCCCTTTAAAATATCTACAAATAGGAATCTTCACCTAAATTATTGAGACGTTCATCATCAGGACACACTGCAACTGCCATGGTTGAGTACTGGTCAAAAGCTGAACCAATACTTTTAAACTCAAAACCCTAAGTGGGGTTAAAACCTTGTGAACCACATATGTATGAACCTTCCAGTAATAAGTAAGGTGAAAATTTAATATTTCTTCACCCACCTCTCACTGGATATATTAGTTTTAAATCAGATTTGAAAAAAACATGACTATTAGGGCACAAGAAACCCTAAAATTTCAATTCAGTGAGAAATGGAGAGAGAAGTTTGTCATTTGGGTTAAAGATGACCCATTCGAAGCATTCAGTTTTTGTTTGCAGAAACAGAAAATGATGAATTTGACGTACTGTTGTCTATTTGTTTCTCTTTCTCAAGGTTTTTTTAGTTTTATGTGCCCAGCGCTATCCTTATCTCTGCAAGCAACTGCAGAAAAAGTAATGAATTTAACCATAAGAGGAGTTTCTTAATACTCCAATAATATACGGTGGTGATATAATAATTTACCCCTAATTGTCCTAAACCCTGTGTAATTTAGTCACTCTTGGAATATGCAATTCAATTGAGTTCAAATTGTATACCCAACCATATCTCTGCGATTTTACATACATAGGGTATGGCTTACATAACATCTTTCATTCTTTTATATCTTTTCCTTTCAATCATCACATTCTATTATTTTTCTATACCTATATTTTTTTTATTATTAATTTACACTTTTGAGAGTTCTAAAAATTATTTTTGAATTATACAATTGACCAAGTGAAATCAACAAATTTAATATGTTGAAATGAAATCTATAGTTTGTGCTACTTAATAAATATTTAAAGAGTAATATTTCTTTAAATTTTATTTAGTTATTAATAAAAATACATTGCTTACCAAATCATAATAAAGTTTGAGAATCAAACCAAGAAACTAATGTTGAACAAATATCTCAAAACACTCCCTTGTTACCTAGGAGAATCATAGACACGTTTTCTTTTTTTCTAAAATGTCTCTTGCTATTGGTGAAGTTCAAATAATTGAAACTTTAGCTAATGAACCCATTTATCGTCCTTTGTGAGAATATTAAATATTCACAACACCTTCCTTAATTGAGTAAATCATTTTTTTTATTACTTAGACCAAATGCATTATGCCCTAGATAAAATTGCATCTTTATAATGAAATACTAAAGTTATACCATATAATAGATAAGACAGTATTGAGTTTGTAATTAATTTTTTCTAAACTCATAGAAAGTTTAGTGGTTAATTAAGGATTTGACATTTGGTGATGAGAATTTTAATTTTCTTGAAGTTTTTATTAGAAGAAAGTTTCAATAAGAGAGCAACTCTTCTAAGAGTTCATATATATTAACTTTCACCTTAAAAGAAGAGAGAGTTTGTGTACACAGATAAACATTGAAACCATGGAGCTATTTATATATAATTACCAGTATTTGTTGTCCTATTTTAAATTCCTTCTCATAGGTGTAGAGTGTCTACACTGTCATGCATAGTTGCAAACTTTCAAACTACTACTTCTATACATGAAAACTTCCTTCTTCATAACCTATAACTATGTATGACAAGAGTTTAGGAAAGTGGGTGCACATTGATAAAAAGATGTATCTCAGCGTGTAAAGCAATGCTCGCCTTAAATGTTACAGGGAAATTAAAGAGATAATCTTTCCTTTAAGTACGTATATTTCTTTCTTTCACATTGCAGCTGAAAACACTGTTGCATCACCATCAACACTGTCCTCTGAGTAGTAGTGAAGAACTCTCAAATGAATGAATCTATATACTATCACTATCAAGGACTGTGAGATCTCTGCTATTTAGCATCAAGATATGACTCAGTTAATAAATGTGAATTCAGAAATCAGCAGATAATTCAGGAGGATTTGCATGAGTGACAAGTTTCTCATTGTGGATTGGCAATAGAGGAATCTATATTTAATAATCTATGAAATAAAAAAAAAAAAATATGAGTCTGTATAGATAAAGAAAGGTCACAGAATAATTAAATTGAGGTGTTACATGTACACTATAACCATGAAAGACATCACTGTAAATTGTCTTTCGATTTACATAACTACTGATTTTTTGAATTTCCTTGCATCTGATATGAGTAGTTACTGCTCTGTAAAGCAAAACTGCAAAAGCTAGTAACAAAAAATATTTGATGTAATAAAAAGCAAAGGAGATAAATGCATCTTAAGCTAGCCTAATACATCCAAGCGAACCATACTGGCTCTTATGGTAGCAGTGACCGCGTGAATTGCCAACCTCTGTGCGTGAGTCCATGTGAATGAAAGTGACCTAGAAGGAGAGAATGGTTTCGGTCATGGTGTGGCCTATGCCCTTGCTTCTGCTTCTGCTTCATGTACACAAATAACAGCCATATTATTTAATATCATAGGGCTGATTTCGAAGGTCAACTCCAACAAGCTCAATTTTTCATGCTTGATAGCTGTAATTTAATGTCGTCTATTTAATACACCTCGATATATGTCTCTTAGATACTTTAGATATAATTTATTTAATTTTTTATTTTTATTGTTAAATATGTCATTTTTATTGTCATAATGATTATATTAATTATATATATATATATATATATATATATATATATATATAAAATAAGGATATAACTAATGTTATCTTAATTTTTTAAATACCAGAAATAAAATCAAGATTTTTTTTAAATTATCACTCTAAAAAATGAGAATAACTAATTTAATTTATAATATTAAAAATTATATAAGTAGCATGATGTTAGAAACATTCCCAAATGTGCAATCTTTTCAATTAAAGATTTTAAATAAAATCATTATTATCTAAGATAATTTTTGGTAGATGAGTATGGAAAAGAGAAGAGAATAAGTTAGTGTGAGTGAAAATATAAAAGAATATTTAAAAAAGTAACAAGACTGAAACAAAAGCTTTTTGCACACAAATCTACACAAAATTATTTAACTTCAGGTCTTGTATACTCCACTGATGATTTATGTTCGCAATTGTTAACTCTTTCGTTCAATTCTATAATATGTACATAGTTAGGTTATTATTGATTATTCTTTTCCTTTCTATATTTCAGTAAAATAATAATAAAATATTATTAAAAAAATATTATTATTATTATAAAAATAAGAAATATTATTTTTAAAATAAAAAATTTAGGTATATTTTTACTTTATATATATTTTCCTACTACCCATAGAACAAGTAAAAATATTTGTTTTTTATATTTTTTAAAAGAAGTTCAAATATTTACTCCTCCTAATAAAGAATGCTACCAACAATTTTGTTTCATATAAATGAGGTTATCATATTATCAAAAAGTCATTCACTTACTTCTTAGTACAACTTAATTTTATTTCAATCATCAAAATAACTAGATTTTTTATTCATATTTAGACTTAGCCCCAAATTTAATCTTGTTTATTTCTATCCCAGTTTATTTTGTTAAGTTCATGTCATGTTCTATGTAATTTCTGTTTCAAAAATAATCTTAATACTTTTTTTATTGTTCATATAAACACATTTCTAACCAGTTGCACTGCTTTGCTGAAGCAATAAAAAAAATAAAAATTGTTCAAGTGTTAATTTTATATAAAAAAATATAATTAAAAAAAATTATGTTAAATTTATATGATAAAAATAATAAAATGAAAACATGTTTTAGATGAATGTTTGATAAGTCACTTTATAACACAAGAAATATATATTCTTGTCAAAGGTAAAACTTAAATAAAATTTTAAAAAATTAAATTAAGTTTAGAAAGATAAGTGTGATGGTGTTACAAATAAATTTTGAATAAATAAAATTAAAGAATTAAAACCTTTATATTCAAATGTTTGAGTATGAGAATAATTTAGTTACCTCAATATTTATTAGACCCTGACCTTTAGGTTGATGATTTAGTTTGAGATTAGTATAAATGATGTCAGGTTGTTCAAATAAAAAATTTACGAAAACATTATATATTGAAAAGTAAAACACTTATATTCAAATGTTGAACTATCTAAAATAACTAATATTCACAAATAATAATCAACAGTGTTATTAATAGATTGCTTCAATTTAAATTAGTATTTTATATAATTTCAAAAACAATTGTGCAATAATAAAAAATTGTTTAATAGATAAGATTATGTATATAATGTATTTATTATTTCAAAACCTATTATAAAATGAATTTTAATCCAAGTTTTCTATTTTTTATTTACAATTTAATTATACATAATGGTGAGACTTTTGATTATATTACTAATTAATGAAAATGACCAACGCAAAAAAAAATCTGATATCTGTACAGTAGAGTTGCAGGTGTTTGTAAGGTTGGTATACAGTAATTATTTGACTATGAAAAAGGTTATGGAGTTGTTCAAAAATTCAAATTCAATTAAATTATTCTTCATCCGGGCCCAACATCTCTGTGTGGGGAGAAAGATCACGATGTATACTGTTGATTCCTTTCATATATATATATATATATATATATATATATATATATATATATATATTTATTGTACATTTGTGATGTGATGAAGTGAAATAAAATTCTGCTGTATCAGATAAATTTTACAGTATTTTTAATCTTCCAAAACTCTACATTTAAGAGCTTTTGCAAGTAGAACTGAATCAAGAACAGTGAATAATTGGGCAGACAACTCTTCCGCCAAAAAGAATTAGCTCTTTGTTGAAGACTCATGAATAGTTTTATGTCTAAAACCTCCCACGCAAGAGCCCTGGGTCTAGGGCATAGGCCCAGTCCCATCTTAAATTTAACTTATGTTTAGGAAGAATGGAGGCAACAGATACTTTGATTCCATTTTATAAACCAAATTTGTCAAAAGCTAATAGAAGTCTTGGGTGAAGGCTCGATTTTATAGCTATATCAAGAATAAAACTTCAAACAAAATATGGATTCATTTCCAACATATGTGTGCTGCATGCTTCATCCAGTTGCCCGAATAAATTTTGAAATGATATCCAAAAGCTTTTCTCGTAACCAAAATAAACAGGGAAATCATTGAATCGACTTACTTTTTTATCCCACATTCACAAATAAGTAAACGAATAGTTAAACATAACTCCAGCCAGCTACACTTTATTGATATCAAATGTTCTCACACCTTTTTAAAATGGACTGCCATTACAGGTTTGGGCTAAAAGACTATTCAGACCCTTTTTTCTATCGGGAAAAAACAGAAAGTTCACTGGACCAATAATGTCCTCCCACAATAGCACAAACCTGGTGACAAAAGAAAAGCAGTCAAATACAGTTTCAAACAGAATTATGATAGCAGCTGTATACTACTATTAATGCATTATAGTTACAAGATCAAGTAGTAGATTCCAAGCACATCAAGAATGATTTCTTTTCTTTCTTTCCACACTAAAAATATGACATTACAGTAAAGAAGAAATGCCGCAAGTACCACAAAGTAGAAGTAATTTTCATTCTTAATATAACAGCAGGTGCATCACAGCTTTCTTTCTTTCTTTCTTTTGTGTTTGTTTAGACCATTTATTACCCTGGATAGCAGAGCAGAGCTACCAACCCAAAAAACACTCCAGTGGGATAGCAGATAGGAAGATGCTACACTGAGAAAAATGGGGGGAAGATCATTCTACCACACATTAGAAATGCTAAAAAATAAACTAAAGACATCATTATTATTAATCAGAAGTAATCATCTATACACAATCACCATCAACATAAGGCATATTTAACAAGTTTAACAAGTAAATAACAGGAGACTAAAGCAGAGAATCAGGTGCTCCGCTGCACCTGGCCTTGATGTGATTGAGATCATGCCTTGACTGCACCAACGAGGATAAACAGATGTTGTCCCACAGTAAAAGGAAAAAATGAATAAAATCGTCAAAGAATAGTTGCAGCAAAAGTATGAACTATGAACAGAGTCAGGAAGGAGGCATACTAAACAGAAGTTAAGGAGTTGCTTGAAAATATTGAGCTGCTGGAAAAGTAAGGCTTTCACTGCAAGAGGCATGGCGGCCAATTATTGAAGATGCAAAAGGGCAGTACAACCTAGTTACCTAGTGCATCATTTTTCAAAGAATTGAGTGTTTCGAACCTTTTATTCATTCTGATGGGAGGAGATTATGAAATTTCATAAACTCCCTCAATCTGAATAGTAGTTGAACAAAAGGAGTACAAAGTAGGAATTCAATGCAATGTTAGACATAGTGGCTGTGACAGCCACCATACTGGCTGTGACAGCCACCATACAGGCTGTTATCACCACTCCACATAAACATAACGAAAACACCTATTTCATTGTGATCAGGCTGCTCAAAGGACTTTCTCATTTAGTTGAGTACTCCATGTACTCCTCATATCCCCTCCTAAGAAAATATTTCCTATAGTATTTCTCGAACTAAACCTTTCAATCTTCCCAAAACCCGATTGTTGTTGTTCCTCTAGCCCTATTTGGGGAGTAATAGACTTACAAGTGAATATTTGTTGATTAATGACAATTTTAGGATATCATATCTCTCTTTTCTAGCTTCATCTTCACCACTGTGCCGAAGTTACAAACTATAATGTGTCTAATCCCTTAATATTTTCATCAACCCACTGGGTTTCTTGAAGGCACATAGATCATCCTTTCCTCCTAATCATGGTATCAACTACTTCCATAGATCATGCTTTCTTGAAGTATCTATTATTCCCAGCTCTCTGTCTACTCTTTCTTTACTGGTCAACATTTTGTTTATTATAGCTTCTGGGAAACTCCATCAACTGTACCCAAAGCTTGAGTAGACTGACCTAACCAACAATAACTGTAATTTGATTGCTATCTACCTATTGGCCACCAGGGTTAACTTGAATGTAGATGTTCTTTGCTGGTGGATGCCTGTATGGACAGCATGAGCCATAGTCCCCTGTTTTATGCATGCCAAACACCAAGTGGACCAAGGGAAGGGTGTGGACTAACCTGAAGCCTTTCTCCTTGTTTTAGAAATTAGGTGCAAAATCATTAAATAATAATAAATAATAATACCAATACTGAGCCACAATGCTTTAGGGAGAATTCCTTTTAAGGACATCAATAGCAGCCAATCCAAATCAATGATCATATACACGATTAAGTGAACCTAAAATATCATCAAATATAGTGTGACCTGCTGATGGTGCTTACTATTAGCCAGGGAATTGGATACACCTCCTTTCAATGAAAATCATTACTTTTCTTCAATGGTTTGGGTTGGTCCATTAGATCAAAAGCTAACACAATTTCTGTAATTTCAATCATACCCCTCTTTCCTTCCGCTGTTTCTTACAAACTCCTTACAGATTCTTCACATGGCTGCACCAGTAATGGAGGTGAGCTGGCTGGGACTTCCTGAAATTCTCTCCCAAACCAGGAGTTCTGATACTGCTTCATAGATACTGGTGTGGAATGTAGAGATTAACCAAAAGTGAATTTTATTCAACATCCTCCTCCCACTCTGAATCAATGGGATTCAAAGCGAAGAGCAACAATGTCCTACAATAGAAATCTACAGGAAATTGAGAGCCTGGTCACTCCCACTCAACTAATTGGCTATTAACTGAATACACTTACATTCCTTATTCTGTCTATATCCTACCACTGCTGCTACAGTTAAAGAGCAAACTAACTCTGATACCTTGAACTAAGAAAGTCTTGACTAAGAGAGGCCGGCCTATTTGGCTCTTTCGGTGATGACCCTCTACCTGAGCAAGGAATGAAAGACTGAACTTGAAGATAGCACCTACTTCCTCTTTGGCATAAGCAGAATCGGGCAATCCAATGATTTAGCCATTCATAGATTACCATAGAAAATCATTTATTGGTTTTCAACTGCTTCACCTGCATACCTGACTAAGCAAGGAAGGATAGAAGAATTGGAAGACTTTGTCCCAGCGTTAAAAGAAAAGAGGGGATGAATATGCCTTCCATCTTCAATGGTGTCCCCTTCATCAAAGTTAATGGCATTCGAGGTATATACCATCTCTGAGGCTTTCAGAGATTACTCGGGTCTTCCTTCTCCAGCCCCAAACCACAAGAAATTGCAGCAGCAGTAAGGAAAGACAGCAAAATGAAGCGGACAAAAGGAGTTGGGCAGTCAGAAATCTTGCTGCAAGACGCGTTGCAGATATTTCTTCCTGAATTTCATGTATCACACAATACTTACTTTCCTAACTGGAGTCTGTTTCTAAAATAATATATCATTTAAATGTAGAGGACTAGCATTAGCAAAATCATATTGTAACAACCATAAGACTAAGAGGGGAATCATCCCTCAAAAGCTAGCTCAAGAGGTTGGAGAAGCTACTACCTTATAAGGCCTCCCTGGTAAAGAGACCTCCCCCAAGGTGGGACTTGTTACACATATTGGCAATCCATGTCATAAGATTCAGCAAAGTTTTACACAGATTCCAAACTGCCTAATTTAACCTTTTATTTCATTTGTACTTCATTGGCTACATAAGCTTAGGTAAAAAGCACAACGAAACAAAAATAACCAGCTTCGCTAGACCTTCTAAAAAATAAATTGAAATCTAAGAAGAAGAAGAAGAAAAGTTGAAAATTTAAATTGAGTTAAATAACTCCATAATTCAAACACCAGAGAGATCGTGCAAATAACAAAATTCCCGGTTTGCTACTAAACCAAGCAGCTTGTCAAGCGATTTGGAAGTTGACGAATCTAATAGCTTCTTAAGGTTAATTTCGCGAATCCAAACACAACAACACGAAAACCGCTAATTAACAGAAACGGGGAAATGTGACCTGGGCGTCAGCCCGTGTATCCGCCGCCGCGAGCATTGATGTCCTCCTCAACGGTGGAGGTGAGATAAACCGGGGGGAAGTCGGAGACGGCGAAGGTCTGCTCCTTAGCGAGTTTTTCGACATCAGCCTTCTTCAAAATTGTGCGGCGGATGGGAGGGCGGTTGCGGCGTTGGTCGCGCGAAAAGTACTTGATGTCGTAGACGGTCTCGGGGAGGGAGGTGGGGATGCAGGGCTTCTCCTTGGTGGTGGCGGGGCACTGCAGGCGGTACTCGGTGGCCAAGGGCACAGCGGATTTGTACTCGGGGTCGGCACAAGGGCCCGTTATCTCCCATGGCTTCTTTATGAAGCGCCTCAGAGTCTGCACCAGTGAATTCGACGCCGATTTCGCCATTATAGCTACCAAACTAGCAAGAGAAGAAAACTGGGTTTCTCAATCACGAGATCAAAAAACACTCCCTTTTGTTACCCTTCCTTTCAATCCCAATCAGATTCGTCGGATCCGGATTCGGACTCGGATTCAGATTAGTATCCGGTTCCTCTCAACTTCTCCCTATCTTCCCTCCAGATTAAAATAAATCCTATTTTATTTTTATATTTATTTTTGCGTGTTTATTTCTGATTTTTAAATAACGTGGTTATCTAATTTTTAAATCCTAAAGTTTATTTTTTATTTTTAAATAATTGGTTATCTAATATTCAAATCCTAAAGTATTGTTATTTTTTTTTAAATTATTGTTATTATTTTAAGAAACATATAAGAAACACAAACTGATTTTTTAATTTTTACCAAACACTATCTTTGTACATTTTAAAAGGATGAGTCCAAAACAAGATTTTTTTATATGATTTTTTAGAAATATATTTCGGATTGTGAGATCCAAAATAAACATATAGATTATTCAATTTGAAAGTGTAATCCAGATTCATCAATCTAGAATGTGTTTAGAGAAAATCAAATTTGGAAATCTTATTTCGGATCTAGAATATATTTTTAAAAAGTTAAATATGAAAATCTTGTTCCAAACCTACAATTTTAGCATGTGTTTCCAAAAAATTGAATATGAAAACCCTATTGTGGACCCCTCACTATGTAACTGTGTTCGGGAAATAATACAAGATTCTGAATTGATAATTTTTCAACTTATAGTTTACATATGCAAGAAGATTTTTTAAATAATAATATGTCATATGAAGTTGACATGTTAATGAGTTTGAAAAATATTAATATAGTAAAACACATTCTTAATAATTTAGTTGATTGTACTTACATATTCATAACGAATAAGGTAAAATTTTAGTTATATATTAATGTCATATAGAGTGATTTTCTATTTATTGTTGTAGATATTTCTTACATGAGATGATTTGCTGAAATGAGTTTGAGAAGTTGCGTTTAGGTTTTGATTTATGGTTATTATATTAAGGTTGGATATAACAAATGGTCATCAAGGAAAGTGAAATATGTAATATTAGGTTGTGAAAGAGGTGGTAAATATAGAAAATATATAAAAAAAATTGTATCAAATTGTTAAAAGAAGTAGAAAATGTAAGTGTCCCTTTAAACCAACGGAAAATCAGTAAAGAATTGTAACAGGTGGATTCTGAAGTTAGTTTGTGCAAGTCATAATCACCACTTAGTTTATATGTTGGTATGTCTTTCATAGCCTGGTAGATTAATAAGTAATTAAAAGTCCATACTAGTTGATATGACAAAAAGTTTAATCAAACTTATAAATATTCTACTTACCTTCAAGGAAAATAATGGAAAGAATGTTACAAGTATAAAACAAGTGTATAATACAAGATACAAATATCATGGGAATGTATGAGGTCATAAAACTAAAATGCAACAACTAATGAAGTTATTTGAGTGAAACAAATATATTCATTGACATTTGTTTGATGAGAGATGAGAGTACAAATATTTTTCTGGACATACCTGATTCTGCAAATTATTAAATACATTTAACTTAGTATTGATGATTAATAATATTTACAAAACTAACCGGTATAAGTTGTCTTTACTTGAGATTGTTGGTGTAACATGTACAGAGAATGATGTTCTTTGTTGCATCTGTCTTATTGGGTGTTAAACATTGAAAGAACTTTGTTTGGACTCTTTTGAAAGACTTAGAGGATTGTTTTTAAGAGTTTGTTTGCTCTCTCGGGTATTGGTTTGTGACAATGATTTGGTGTTAATGAATGTGATTGCAATTGTGTTTCCTCAAGCAACCAATCTTTTATGTCGCTTTTACATAGAAAAAAAATGTTAAAGCAAAAAGTAAAATGTTAGTGCATCTAGTAAAGGTGTAGGAGCGAGTGATGAATACTTGAAAAGTGTTATAAATTGTAATGAAAAGGATGAATTTCAACATCACGTTACAACCCTTGAAGTTGTTTGTTCACTATAGCCTATGTTTATTCAATATGTGAAAGACATGATTAATTTCACATAAGAAAAAATTTGTTAAGGCATGGACTGACAAGGTGATGCACTTAGGGAACACTATAAGTAATAGGTATAAAGTAGTGTATGAGACTTGTGTTATTGTTAGGATTCAATTAATAATATGATAACATTATAACATAATAAGATTAAAGCTTTATTTCATAAGAGTCTTCATGTGGTAGGTGATATGTTTAACACCACTATAAATAAAAATTGACAAGATTTTGTTTCAAAGTATACATTAAGTCATATTATTAAAGAATATGATCGAGTAAGATATGTTGGGATGGATAATAAATATTGTGGGTGTATACTTAGATCTACCCATGATCTTTCTTGTGTGTGAATTAGCTTCATATGATGTTGGCAGTATGCCACTAGCTTCAAAGCATGTCATATAGACTCAATTAGGCTTTTCTGATATGTTATTAGAAGAATAAGTGATATAGTTGTCTATTTAACAGAATTTGATATTATCTTTAAGAGGTTCCAAGAAATTGACATTACTGATAAGGTTAATATAAAAAGTAAGTTTCACATAATTGCATACCCAGATTTGACATCATTGTGTCCTTATGGAGAAGATGACAACAAAAGGTTGTGGTAATAAATTTGTTAAATCTACTAAGCGGAACCCATCTTATTAGAAGCATGTTGATGCATTGCATTCTTGACATGATAGTTCATCTACTTTGAAGTCAATTAAGAAATATGTCAAGCATGAGTTGACCACCAATTCAATACCAATGTTAGGCCAATTTCTTGTTAAGTTTCATTCATATGTACTTGATATAATTGATGTGAAGGTCAATGAACATTGTTGTTATCATGTTGTTATTGCATTATTTGATATGAATGAATACTCATGCTCTATTATTAGAATGAAATTGTTTAAAGAACTTGTTGATTAACATCATGAATATACACATTTATTTGGAGGTGATAAATGTTTTGAGTACTATAACAAAATCACTCCTTATTGAAGAGATGACAAAGGTAAGACATCTACCAATTTCGTAAATTATAAATGTTCTTTTCTTTTATAAAATATATGACTATATTTATTTTTTTAGGGAAATGTGGGTAAGTGGGTGATAATTATTCTTTATATGGGATGTGTGATTGTGAGTCATTATAATGTCAATGTCATATATTTGTCACTTAATCAATACATTATTATTTTTCCATTAAGAACTCAACCTCCAACGATATGAGGAAGCATCATCATACACTTCTCACAACCAACTAAAAAATGGACATGTCCACCTCTACAATGTTTTTGTAGAAACTATTGTAAAATCAACTCCTAAGAGCTCTCTCTACCAATACCTCTAAAGCTTTATATGCTTCTAAGCGAATATAATCATAAACTTGACTAACAATTAAGTGGTGCAATAATGAGAACATATCATCTAGTGTGATGGTCATCCCACCTATAGATAGATGAAAATCGCTAGTCTCTCTCTATCATCTCTCAATCAAGGTAGATAATATTATCTTACATATCGTGTCATAATTAGCATCTACAAATGCTTCCAACTGAGAAAATTGAATTGTAACCGCAATTCGAGGGTGTGAAACCCCGAACTTATTCATTTTTCTACCATGAAAAACACATTTTAACTAATTACGACCCACGAGAAAAATACTTTTTAAATTTTGTAACATTAACATTTATATGCACAAACTTATATTACCTAAAAGACACCTACCACTCCCTCCCACTAATTATGGGCCACGTGATTTCATATCTGATTAATAATGAAGCATCTATAAGCCCTCCTAAAAAATATTGATTATCTGCTAATGTTTTTTCATGTTACTCGTTTACAACATTCTCCTCCACATTATATTTCTACTCATTAACAACACTTGACACGAGTCCTACACCTTATAGAGGCCAATGGTCGAACACAATTCACAAGTTAAGAACCACCTCCCCTAGTCCTGGTCATACTGCAAATTACACTGCACAAAAAGGAGTTCATCAAAATATTTTCAAATTTTTAGATTAGATTTTCTGAATTTCATGTTAACTATTCTAGAAATGCATTCGAAATTGACTATTCCATAATTCATTTCTAGAATACATAATCCAAAATTCATTTTCAAAACACCTAATTGGAAAATAAGTTTCGGAACAACTAATGTATTTTTAGATTGAGTATTAAAAAAAATGTATCCCAGATTAATTATTACGTAACTCATTTCCAAGTCCAAAAATATATTATGGATTAAGTAATATGAATTCTTATATATAATTTTAATTCAATTTTCATATAAATTAAGAGAAATGTTTTATAAAAGATGCAAAACATTAATCATTTCTAACCTGAAAATGAAGGTGGAATGAAGGACAACAAAATAAATATGAAGAAAAAAAAAGTGAAACAACTTTGTGAGATTTCAAATAAAAATTGATAAAAAAATATTTTAATATTTAAAATGGATTATGAAAGTACAGAAATAAATTACAAGGAAGAAGAAGCCTTCAAATATGTCCTTGTGATATTTTTATTTTGGGTTGTGTACACTTTTATTTTGGGGGCCAATGAGTGAGTAATACAATAATAAGCCTAATCCCATATCATGGAAAGATATGGTGGCACCTCGAAAAACTCATTATTATTTTTATCTCTTTCTTTTATTTTATTTTATTTTATTTTTTTTAATCATGAGGACTATTCATTCATCATTTATTTATTTATACTATTTTATCATTTATTTATGTATACCTATATTTTATTTAATGAAAGAAATTCAAAAGCTATGCAAGCTCAAACAACCAAAGAAACAATTATGATGGTGGCAAAAATAGGAAAGGAACAATTATGGAAAACAAAATGAAATGGATCAAGAAGCTTTGAAAATCAAAACCAGAACAAAGAAATAAAAACAAAGGGTGAAGAAAATTGCACTTAGAAACTAAATTAAATGAAAGAGATAGTTTGAAATGTACTTGATAAGGATTTCAAACACTTAGAAGTTATGAAATGTACTTGAACTTGTTTGTGAGCTTAAATAAAGATGAATTTCTATTTTGGTTTATTTATTTCTACCAGTTTTTCTTCTCATTCCTTTTATCTATATTATAAGAGAGAAAAAAAACAATTTTATTAAAAGTATTTGTGTATTAACTTTTTAATTTATTTATTTTAGTACGTAAAATATAAAAATTAAAAATTTATATCAAATATAAAGAGAGAAATTTATTAAAATATATTTTTTTATATATTTTATTTATTTATTTATTAACTTGGTCTCACTGTTACTTTTGATTTCAATTTAATCTCGTTATTTTGAAAATTAGTCAGAATCATCTCTTTTGTCAATATTTTAAAATCATCTAATGAAATAATGTAACATATTAATGATACGACCGTACTTATTAATGTGACACTAATATGTATGTCACATGTTAACATGACTAATATGTCATAATATATAACATGTACTATATAATAATATATTATTGTTGATAAAAATGTGTCACACGTTAGTGTCGTATTAGCATTACACCAACATTATATTAACATCATTTTGGCAAGGATAGTTAGTTTAGTATTATATTACATTTTTGCTTTGATAAGTTAACAACATTAAGCCTCCATTCATTTTTCGAAAAAGTAAAAAGTGAGAAGTTAGTAATAAAGAAATATGAGTAGAATTTTTTTGGTAATAAAAAAAGCAAAGGAAAAATATATAACTTTTTATTGTCATATTCATGTTTTATTTTTCACTCTTATATAAATATTTTTTCATTCTTAAATTTATAATTTCTTATATATATATATATATATATATATATATATATATCAACTTTTAATTACTATTTTGATGAATGTTGATAAATATGATATGATTATAAAAATAAAATAAATAAATTTATATCATTTTATATTTAATATAATATTATTTTAAATTTGAATATTTAAAAACTATAATTTTATAACTATAAATGAAAGTATACATTATTAAAAAGTAAAATATTAATTTAAATATGTTAATTTAGAAAGTTATTTGTTCGTAACAAAAATAAGTAATAAATAGATAGTTTTTTAATTAAATAATTATTTTTTAAAATTATTTTTTTTAAAGGAACATTTATATTATATTTTAAGACTATGTTTTCTATTTTTGTATTTTTTTTTAATTTGTTTTGATATTTATATTTTAAATTGTTATTTTAGGTTCTCAAACTTCAAAAAAATTCTGTGATTTTATTTTATCTTCATAATTTTACTTAATGATTAATGATGAATTTTTACTTTTTAACGTAATTATAAAATAATTAAATGTAATTTTAAACATTATTTATATCTAAATTTAATATTTAATAACATTTTTTATAATAATAAAATTTATAAAATAATTAAATTCATTTATTATTTTAAAAGTTTAAAGATCAATTATTAATTTAAAAATGAATCCTGAAAATAAAAATAAAATTTATATGAATTTATTTACCCCGTATATTTTACATACTCTCCTATAATTGAATTTTCGTCATGCATCGAGTTTGCTGACGTGTCTTCCACTGTACTTAAACTTTAGTCAAACACTATGTTTTCCTTGTCCACACCTAGGCAAATAACATTTCCAAGGGGTTGAAAAAGTAAAAGATAAGATAACATTCACAAATTAGTAATTTTACTTAGAGGACTTTTAAATTAACATCTTTAAATTAATATTTATTTATTTTAATTATATATATATATTTATTAAATTTATTAACATAATTAAGTTTAAATTAATCAAATAATATTATATTATAAAAAAATATTTGTTTTATTTTTATAATTATTTATTAAAATATAAAAAATATATATATTAAAATTATAAAAATATTTTTTATATTTTTACATTTTTTATTTTTTTATGAATAAAATAAAATATTTTATTAAAGTGTAAAATGAAATATATTTTTATTATTTTTCTTATTATAAACATCTTTTTCTGTCAATTTCTTTATTAGTCACTTTTTATTTATTTGTTTTTTAGGGAAGGGGGCTTTAATTTTGTTTCTAACATGTGACATAAATCAATGATTTTTTCAGAAGAAGATATGTTTTTTTTTTAAGTTAATTATTATTATGATTTTTTTTTCGCGTTGATGAAGACAGTCACGTTTCCCTATTTATATAATTATTATTTGGATAAAATTATTTTTTTTTAACAAAATTTATCTTGAATATAAAATTCAGGAATTTTTATGTGAATTTAATCTGAAAATTAAGAAATAAATAAAAAATTTAAGTAGTATAGATAAAATATTACAAAAAATTCAATTACACCGTTTGCTTTGTCAATCTTTCATGAGTTTTGAATTTTAAATTTGAGAAATAAAATTATATGATAACTTGATTATAAAAATATATTTTAGGTATAAAATTGTATTTGATAAATTATTTAAAAATTTAATTAGTAAAAACTAACTTGTGAATAATAGTTAGACTTCTCCATCTCTTTATGTTAAATGAAATATTAATAAAAATTAATTAAATCTATGATCACAAATTTATCGGAGGAATAAATATTTTAAATTGAAAATCAACGTATAAAAATTAATTATGATATAAAATCGTTAATAATGTGTTAAACATTAATAATTGAATTTAAAATTCAAAAATTTAAATTTATTTATTTATTTATCTATTCTCTTTAAAAATAGTTTATATTTTTTTTACATATATATCTTTAAAATTCTTGATTTTTTTACATTTTAATATCATAATAAAATATTAAAATAACTACCAATTAATAATAAATAAATAAATAAGTTATTATAATAATAAAGAAAATAAAATTATTAAATTTTTTACTTCAACAAAATTATTATAGGTATCACTTTTATTTTTTAACTTATTATGTTATGTCTTCGTTATGAATTAATGATAAATCTATAAAAAAGACAAATTTTTTAAACTAAAAAAATGTACAATTTTTATATTATAAAATAAAATCATATAAGAGAAAAATATGAAAGTGAATAAAAGTAAAAAAAAATTAAGTGAAAATTCAATGGTAAGAGAATAAAAAAATAAAAATAAAAAATAAAAAATTATATATAAAAATAGATATAATAGTTATTATAAATAAAAAATAAATTATATTGATAAAATAAATTATATTATATATATATATATATATATATATATATATATATATCGGTCATATAATATTTTTAAACGATGATAGAATGAGAATAGTTAGGATTTATAAAAAATAGATAAGATTATTAAATATTTATTTTTTTATAACTTTTTAGAGTTCATAGTATAGTATTTCTTTGTAAAGCTAAATCCTATTTAGAGGTATTATAAAGTCTTAAATATGAAAATTACTTTCAAATTTGTATTGATGTTTTTTTAGATTTGAAGATAACTTTTTTTATTTTTTTCTTTGTAAAGAAATTATTCAAGATATCTATTATATATTAAATTCTGTTTAAATAGTTGACACAATGATAATTTATTTATTAATATATATTAGAGATAATATATCATAGTTAATTAATTTCAAATATTATATCAAGATTCTTATTTTAACCATTTAATATGCAAAATCTTTTAAAACAGTTATGTATAAAAGTATTTATACACTTTATCCGCACTAGTAGATCACTATAAATTATTGATATTGATTATATATAATAAACGTGGGAAAGGCATCTTAGAATAAAAGGAAAAAGCAACAGAGGAAGTCATCGTCTCTTGTGATCTCCGAACACAACACATACTAAGCTTCAGAATCTTTACTCTCTCACTCTTCCCACGCCCTTCAAGGACTCTGTCTTGTTCGATCTTTCTTTCTCTCTCCTTCATAACTAGTGTCTTCAACCAACCAGGTACGCACGTGCGTCTCGTATACTTGATTCTCCTAATAATAGTTGTCGGATATGCTCGTTTTCGGTTATCGTTTTCTTTACCAGCTTCCTTCCTACCTGATCTGTCAATACTGCGTCGTTTAGGACCAGTTACACTCCCTTTGAGGATGTATGCTGTTTTTCGTTCAGCCTCTTCCCACTTTTTTTTTCAAAATTCTTAGTTAACTTTTGTTTTACTGTCCACGACTCGAATGGTTCCGATGTAGACTATGATTCTGTTTAGGGTTGTACTAGAATTTTTAACTATCGTGATTTGTGGGTTTCTACTTTTAAATCGTCTAAAATTGCTTAACTGTTCCAATGTTCAGTTATCTAGATTAGGATCGTGAATATACTGTTCTCCTGTGCCTTGATTAGGGTGTTGTATTACGTTAGCACTTAGATACTGTTGCAAGTTTACTACAGTCCTCACAGTTGACCTGGAACCGACACATTGGTTTAAGCATTCTGATAATTGTTCCAGGGAACCTATTTTTGTAGTTTTTCGAACAGCTACCAGCAGTGTTTCACCCTCTCGTGCGTGATTCATAACATTAACCTTCATCATTTGCTTTAGGGATGATTTAATGAAACAACACGTGGTGACACTGGCTAGCAGTCTCGTCAGTTTCTCGTTTAAGGGTTTCGTGCCGTTGATAGTTAGTGAATATGAAGCTTCATACTAGTTTATTTCTTCACCCTACATTTGTGTTTTTCCCTCTATTTGTAGGTCCTGGTCTGATGCTTTGCAATTCTTTTCACCCTAAAATTTGACTTGAGGACACTGATTGTGTTTTTGGATTGTTTTGTGTTTTGCGTTTAGTGTTTTTTTTTTTTTTTTTTTGCGTATTTTAAAGAGTGTTTTTGTACAAAAAGCTATTATTTTTTGAAAGGATTTGTTTTTTATCCTTCTTATAACATACATGTTAAACAAATTCTTTTTGTTAATTTTAGTTGGGGTGGGGCATAGCTGGGTGGCAATGTCTCTTACTTACCCTGACCAAGATTTTTCAATCATTAATGATTTTTTATGCTTTACATTAATGTTGCAGATGGCAATGCCGGAAACAATCCCTATCACTACTCCCAGTGCTCAAGTTGTTGGCAATGCCTTTGTTGAGCAATATTATCACATTCTTCACCAATCCCCAAATTTGGTGCACAGGTTTTATCAGGATTCAAGTTTCTTAACCAGATCAGACAACAATGGTGTGATGACAACTGTGACAACTGTACAAGTAAGTATTTGATGTACCAAGTGATGCATTTATAGTTCACTTCTCTGATGATACAACCATATGTTTACATCCAATGGCATCTACAATAATTATCCAAATATATATTTTAAAAATTGTGAAAGATATAAAGAGGTAGAATACAGTGAAATTGTTATTCTTATGAACTTTTAGAATATTTTTGACCATTTTGAAAATAGTTATTTTTGACATGCCACATATTTCATATTATGCATTTTATCTTAACATTATCTATAAGATAAAGATTATTAAACTGATGTTTCTTTGTTAAACTTTGAACTGAAACTATACAAGGATATGGAAAACAATTGTAATCGAGTTTCTGAGAAACCAGTCTAGTATATGAATCCTGAGGGTTGTTTCTTGCAGTAGTTTAAGATTAAGAGGTAAATTTTCTGGAAATTTATTTAGAAATATTATTATTATTGTTATTATATACTAATAAGGAGAAAGAATTGGTTGTTAGGTTTGTTCTGAAATAAAACTCTTAATTTAATTATACCTCAGATGTCATGCAGAAGTTTTTGCTTAAAAGTATGATAAAGTGCCCTTTTCAAACAAGATGAACTAAGCATTTTCAAAGGAGGGGAAGTGAAGGGAGGAAAGAACACCTTTGCTTGGTTTATGAGTGGAGGGGAATGAAAATAAAATATTTTACTATTATACTCTATACCTATACAATTGATAGTAAAAAGATCAAACTTAGGTATTCAAAATAAGGATAATTTAGTTGGGACAGTTCACAGAGTTTAGGCGTCCCCCATCTCCACATGCCCCAAATATTTGAGGGGCGGCAAAAATGAGAAGGGAAGGATTTTGATCCCTTATTTCTCCTCCCCTCCCCTTCACCTGGCCAACCAAATATTATGCAAGAGATCTGATATGAGAAGTCACCATAGAGGTATGTTTGGAACAAAACTATGGTAAGGCTAAAGAATGAAATGTCACTGATAACTATTTTATTCTCACAAAATTAGTGGCCTTGCAGCACAGGTTAACTTTGGGCCGATTGATGTATGGACCTTTTCAACTTGGCAATATATGCTATCCATAAAAGCAAAGATGATTATATTATTAAGTATGGAACTTAAACCAGAACAGTGTTTTGTATGCAGGACTTGCTTAGCAGCACGACAACTAGTTTTATCATTAAGATATAGTGTATTATCATAGTTAGTAACGATTACTGCCTGCCCTTATATTAGAATGGTTAACTCAAATGATCAATTTTCTTTCTGTCCTAGTATCATGATGTTTAGGCAGGTTATCTATACTTCATGATTCTCTCTGAAAATACAATTTAGTCATTCTCTAGTTTTGCAATATGGATAATTTGTATTTGTCTATGCTAGATGATAACTACCAGCCTGTGTTGAGTCTTTTATCTGTTTCAATCATATTTGTTTTGCCTACAATTTCTGTGTCTCCCTCTACCTCTAGTAATAGTGATAGGACTACCATCCATCTAAGATACTCTATTAATTGGGGCGTGTACCACTTTCTTCACACATGCTCAAACAGCCTAATGCAATATTCATACTTTTTGGTATACTTACCTAAATACTGTTGTTATTAAATACACTTGTCATGTAATATGTCTAGTTTGTGTTTATATTATGTTCATACTCCCTAGGAAGCTGCCTATTAATGGTTTGGTTTCTGAAGAATTTCCTTGCCTAACTGTTGGATCAGGAAATCCATGAAAAGATTATTTCCCTGAATTATGAAGATTATACAGCAGAAATAAAAACTGCAGATGCTCAGGAGTCGCATAAGGGAGGTGTGATAGTTTTAGTAACTGGATGCTTAACTGGGAAGGATAACGTGAGAAGGAAGTTCTCACAGACATTCTTTCTGGCTCCTCAAGAAAAAGGATATTATGTCTTAAATGATGTCTTTAGGTACATTGAGGAGAGTGATGCCCCACAGTTAAATTCTACCTCAGTAAATGTCATCAATGAAACTGCTGAGACAGTGCATGAGCCAGAACCAGGTTTGCATGATTTTTCTCCACACACACACACACACACACACACACACATATATATATATATATATATATATATGTATGTATGTTTACTTAACCCGCCACTCATAATTGCTTCTTCCGTGTTTCTAGAGGAAACAAATGCTCCCAAACATCTCGTGGAAGATACTGCAACTTCAACTTTGGCAGAGGATGAAAACTTTAATAATGGCAGTGAAGTTTATCATCCTCAGGATGAGGAAGAAGGATCAGTTATTGATGAAGAGGTCGCTGAACCCCCTACTGACTTAAGTCAGAATGATACTGTTTCAGTTCATGATTCAACTTCTGCTGTTCAGGATGATGCACCAAGGAGATCATATGCATCCATTGTGAGTTTATACTCATATTTTCTTGCCTTTTGCTACTCTTCTACTCGTTTACATTCATTAAATTAATGATGTTTTTTTACATGAAGGTAATGAAAAGTAATGTAGCAACTGGCCACGTATACGTTCCCAGCAAAGCTGCAAGAGTGGCATATGCTAAATCCAGTGAACAATGGCCTAATACTGCCAAATCAACCCCTGCGTCTGAGTCATTTGTTCCTGTTAGTGATAGTGCACCTGGGAGTAGTGACCTTCAAGAAGAAGGTATACATACATTCATTGACATGGTTGATAGTCATTTTCTTTTTCAGATCAAGTCAACTGTTATTTAGACACATCTTCCTCCTTGGGTTATGTGTCTCATCTAAAAATAACTTGTGAGCAAAAGAGATTAAAACAAATATATTAAAGAAAAGGAGGCAACAGTTGAAGGTCACTCCATATATACTGGTGCATTAAAATGTAACTTGAAAATCAATTGATTTGTTTTGTATTTTTAACAGTTGAAGGTCACTCCATATACATACGGAACTTGCCCTTTAATGCAACAGTTGAGCAACTTGAAGAAGTCTTCAAGAAATTTGGTGCTATTAAGCATGGTGGTATCCAAGTTAGAAGTAGCAAGGTCTGTTGGTCTGCATTCTCAAATTAACTAAGCATTTTTTGAGGCAACCTTATGAGCTATATTATACTTTTTGGTTTTTTGCAGCACGGATTCTGTTTTGGCTTTGTTGAATTTGAGGAATTGAGTTCCATGCAAAGTGCACTTGAGGTACAGATTGTTTATTTTGAACTGTTGATTTTGTAGCTCTGCACTGTTGTTTATTTTTTCCGCCATGGAAATAGTGGATATCCATAAGATTATACATTATTATACTTTTTACTTTATTGATAGTGGTACAAAATAGCATTAGCGTGTATCAATGTTGCCTGTAATTCCCAAACTTGAATTGAGTATTTTCTGCATATTTTGCTCATAAAAGATTGAACATGCCTTCCAGTTTAGAGGTCTTAGTAGAAATCAGATGAACGCAGTTTGGAAATGGAATTATTTTTTGTGTTTAGCATATAGGTGGTATTTTTAGATATTTATTGAGCATGTGTGTATTGTTGTTTTATGAAAGACATCAATGGATCTTATGATTTTGAAGTATTAGGATAATTCAACTTACACATTAACTAAAGATAGAATCTGAAAAGAGTATAAAGTAGAAGACAATCCTAACCACACAAACTGGTTTTGTTCGGTTAAGTTAGTTCAAAATCCAAATTATAAGATAACAGCAGAGTTTATCCTAATCTATTGAAAGGGTTACCTACCATTTTATTTACGCATCAACCCAAGTATTGTTGAGAGAGAAGGGATGTATTGGAAAAAAATTCAAGTCTCACATTAACGAGAGATAAGGCTAAAGTATAAATAGGGGCAACACTCACCTCACAAGCTAGTCTTTGTGGGATTGAACCCAAATTATAAAATGGTGGCGGAGCACATCTTGGATTCATTGAAAATACCACCTGTTATATTATTTATGCACCATGTCCAATGTACTGAGCATGAGGGACTATATTGAGAAAAATCTAAGTCCTCATTGCCTAGAGATAGAGTTTATATCACTAGATGGGGTTGCTTGCGTTGCCTATATGGTTCCGCGGACATCATTGGGCTCTGCAAATAAAAATTTCAATAGGTTTTCGTTTACCCTTTTAATTTAATTGGATACTGTCCCATTTAATCCACTTTTCTAACTAAATCCTATGTTAATTAGTCTTTGTCTCACATGATCGAATTACTTTAGGTGAGAGTTTCAGTCATCTTCTCCTTAGCAAGGGCCATTTCTACTCTTTCTCTGTCTCTCGCATACATTTGATCCTAAACTTATCTTCTCTGGTTGTCTTCTCATCCACCTTGGCATTCCCATCGCAGGTGCACTTTCTAGTGCCCTTGTTGACACTTAATTATCAACGTTCATTACCATAGGAAAAAGCTGGTCTAATCTAATATCTATAACAATTTCTGTTGTGGTCTAGAAGAATCGGAGAATGGGGAACAAGTCAACTTTATAATCAATTTTCCCTCTTCTTTTTTGGTAAGTTGATGCAGATAATTTGTTATAATGAGAAAATTATCTAAATGCTGTCGATGTTCCAGTACATAACATATAAGTTAAACGTTTGGTGATAAGCCCAGATGACTTAAACCTTGGCAAAATGTGTCATACGAAGCCATATATTCCATTGGCTAACTGTTGAGGTTTTGAGGAAGTAGCTTTGTTCTGTGCTGCCGCTTAACTGTATGTAGGCTATTTATATAGATGAGACCAAGTAGGATTAAATCTGTCAAACAGCCGATTCATGGCATCTCTTTTATTGTTTTGATTCTTGCTTCACACATTTTATTTACTTATTGGTGTCCGTTTAATAATCTCATCCGCATGATTTCTATGTTCTATTCTCTCATCATTGTAACACTGTTCTTTTCACCATCACAGAAAAAATCAGTTAACCAACCTTTCTGTTTTTCACACGGGTGCCTATGCCCAGTATCAGTTTTTATTTTTTTCTCTTCTCATTAAAGTATTGGGATTTTTTTTGTTTTTTTTTTCCGACATGATACTGATCTAGCACCTTGCTAAAACTAATTTCAGTCTTCACCTATCACTGTTGGAGAGCGACAAGCTGTTGTAGAGGAAAAGAGAACTACTACACGAGGTACATCGTTTTGTTATCATTTTTACTTTTATGTTGAGTTAAACATGATCCATATTTAGATGTGGATTATGATTTTTTTCTTCTTATTCTAGTCAGCGGTAGCGGGAGAGGGAGATATCCTTCAGGACGAGGAGGTTTCCGAAGCGACAATTTCAGGGCACGTGGGAAATTTGGGGGTGGACGAGGTTATGGCAGAAACGAATTCAGAAACCAAGGAGAATTCTCAGGACAACCTCGGAGTTCTCAACGGCCAAATCAAAATGGAGGTGGGCGTGGTGGTGGACGTCAAGGTGTGGGGAACCGTAATTCTACACCACCTTCTTCAGCAGCATGATCATATTGTCTAATAATAAGAAAAAAGACGAACAAAAACAATACAAAAAGGATCTGGTGGGTTAATTATTTTTTATAGGAAAAGGAAGCCAAACACCTTTTTCTTTTCCCTTTATTAGGCACAACTTGAGGTTTCTGACTATCGTCAGCTCAATCATTCAATGGAAGATTAGTGAATTCATTAGTACTTGCAGAGGTGTTTTGGATAGGTCATGTATTTTTTTCATTACCAATGCACTTTTCTTCCTTCTTCCATTTTGCCAAAGTTATTGGGCAAAATGTGTTGTGCGATTGAGTTGTTACACGGATCTCTGTTGTGGAGGGTTTATATGTAAATTGGTACTATGTGTATTCTTTTCCTTTTTTTCATAAACTTAATGAAAACTGTCTAAGATTTTCACCAATTAGCCAAGGGCGAGTGTAATAGTACATTGTGCCTATTCTCCTTATCGCTATTAGTTGAAATTTTTTACATAATATTTGATCGAGAGAGTCATTTACTTACACGTTCCCTCAGGCAAAATTATTTTTTCTGTTTAGTAAATGGGGTTGCAATATTATGTCAAAACGGCCGGTATGTTCTTGACTTTACCGATTAAATAAAAAAATTATTCATTCCAACCAATAATAATTTTTAATTTAGTTTAATTATATGTAAGTTCAATAAATTAATGGGTCAATTTTCATCATATTAAAAATCTTAAAAAAATTATTAATATATCTATATAAAATATTTAATTAAAAAAATATTTCAATAAAAATTTAAAATATATTTTTAAAAAGTTAAATTATATTAATAAAATTAATTTTATTTTAAATTGTTGAATATAGAGAAAATAAAGTTTGAGATTAATCTTTCTTATGTATAAATCACACATGAGATAATATATTTATAATAGAGAGAGATATTGTTTGATATTGTGGTTAATAATATCAAGCAATATCTAAACAATATCTAACACTGATTATACAAATCATATGTGCTAAGCTTATTACAAATATAGTCAATTCTAGGTCCCAGTAAAAACTTAGTAAAAATATATGCTAACTGATCACTTGAGTTAACAAACTCAGTCTTGATGTTTCCAAACATAATCTTTTCTCGAATGAAATGACAGTCAATCTCAATGTGTTTGGTCCTCTCGTGAAAGACAGAATTAGAGCTAATATGAAGAGTAGTCTAATTGTCACACACAAGTGTCATTTAAGTGACATCTCCAAATTGTAACTCTCCAAGTAATTGTTTGAGCCAAACAAGTTCACAGTAATTGAGGTTGTAATATCCTAAATTTTGTAATCAATTATATAAATAAATTTTGTAAGTTATAAATATGTACCGAATATTATGTAGAGTTATTATAAAAATAAAACATGATTTTTATAGTAATTTTGTCTTAAGAAAATTATAAAATAAAATCCAAGGTTAATATTGTGTCAAATAATAATTTAATAATAATTCTTAATAATAAAAATTAAATAAATGAGTAAATAAATATTTAAAAAAAAAAAGAGAGAAACAGAAGGTCGGTAGTAGCCTAAATACATTTGAATTAAGTCGGTGAAGAATCGGAATTAAATTAAGGCGGTGAAGAATAAAGACAGACGAAGAAAATCCTAGAAAGAATTAAGTCGGTGAGTAAGTTTATAAATAGGAGGAAACTGGAAACATACACCAACACAATTCACGACCAACTTGAAGAATAAACCGAGAGAGAAAGGAGGAAAGGAGGAGCATACAAAATTAGGAGAGTAATAAGATATTGAGGAATCGGGTATGGGTTAGACGTTTAGTTTTATTCATACGAATGTCTCGTAATTGGAGATTACTATTCATCAATTGCAAAGATTGAAATATTGTTGAAATTCTTTCAATTAAGGATGAATTATATAATAAAATTGTTGTTTTTAACTTAAATTAAACATATTTATGGTTTAATTTTGATTTGGAACAAATTTGAGTGATTGAAACCGAGAAATTTGAAACTTGGATTTCGAAAATGGCGAACCGATGAAAATTCGCAAAACTCGCTCAAGCGAAAAATATGTCGCTTGAGCGAGGATACCTGGAAAATTTGGGATTCTCGGGTTCTTTATCGCTCAAGCGATAATTACATCGCTTGAGCGACTAACGGTCATGTCTCGCTCAAGCGATAAGTGTACTCGCTCGAGCGACGAAAGCTTCAAACAAAGGGGACTAAGGGTCATGTCTCGCTCAAGCGACAAGTGTACTCGCTCGAGCGACGAAAGCTTCAAACAAAGGGGACTCTCGGGTCATTACTCGCTCAAGCGACCGATGTACTCGCTTGAGCGACGAAGCCTTCAAAACAAAAGGGGACACTCGGGTTCCATCTCGCTCAAGCGACCGGTGTACTCGCTTGAGCGAGCGAAGGAAGAAGAAAGGACTAGGTGAGAATTTTTGCAAAAGATCAAGGGTAAAATAGTCATTTTACATATTAGGGACATAAATGGAATTTTGAAAAAGGTTAAGGGTATAATCGAAATAAAGTCAAACAGTATATTACCTCCTCTTTGTTTACTAGGAAAACGACTCAATAAACGTTAGAATTTGAGGATAGTGCCTTCATCAAAGTTATAGATTATTATGTTATCTTTCCAACACAATTGGAATCATCTTAAAATGAGGTCTAGAACTCAAGATATGGACAAAACACTGAACCCTATGAAATGAATTATTAATAAAATTTGTCTTGCTTAAAACAACTATGAATTGTAATTAAAATTTTGAATATATGAAGGAGATGTTTTTAAGTATTTAATTGATGATAGATTGTTTTGTTTCATACGAGACATAAACATAGTGCATGAAATGTTTTCCGGAAGTCACGGAAAAGTTTTTACAGAAAAGTATTTGGAAATTTCTCTTAAGTTGCTACCAAGGACGGTTGGTAGGAATAATGATGTGTAAAACAGAATTTTTACATTTTCTCGAGTCAATTTACTATCAAGAGCATCCGGTAGTGAAATATGACTATGAAAATGGCTGGCCAAATGAGACGAGAGAATGAATTATTAAAAATTGAGCTACAAGAATCTCTCGATAGTAAATGGGGGAGTAGAATAGGTAAGACAGGACCTCTCGGTCTATGGGGATGGACCTCTCGGTCTAGGGAGTGTTTGGGCATGGGCAATTCCATAAGTGGCCAGTCTTTATTTGATTCTCGTGCCGTGGTAGCTGCCGGGTGCACCGACACTCGACTACTGTCTACTTGTTCGCGTTTAGTGGGACATTGCCGAATCACCGGACAGGGTGATGTTAAGCTCTGGTTTCACTAGATACTCAAATGAGTCTCTATGGAGCACCGAGTCAAAAATAATTTTTTATTTTGAGTCAAAAGCATGATTTTAAAGTTTTACGTTTGGAGTCACATGTGCATATCATAAACATATTGCATGATAAAATTGTAAATTATTCATGATTTGTACGATATTCTCTATTATGATTCCATGATTTATTTATTTGTTTCTCATAATTAATTTTTAAATTAAATTATATACGGTTGTATATTTATTAGAAGGAATTTTTCATTGGTTGATTTTATCGTATGAATGTTTGCTTTATTTGTTGTGGATAAAATTAAATGTCTAACCCCATAAATATTTCAATTCTAGATGTTGGTGACGTATGATGCAGGAATACATAATTCAAGAGATAGATGTCGGATGCAAAAATCCAGAGCTTAGGATGAGAATTGTATAACATATAAGTATAACTTTATGACTTGTAATATTTTGAAAACTTTGTACTAGAACTTGTTGCTTGATTTAATATAAAACCTTACCTAAATTAATTGTTCACTTAGTATATTTTCTATTAACCTTCTATGAATATTGAAAATATTACTAACTTAGATAATAAATTAGAATTAATAAATGTAATCTGTAAAGGGGGTTACAGAGGTCATAACTCTATATTTTGCTTTTGCGCTGGATCTTGCCACAAAAATTTATTTCTTACTTTTTCATGAGATCAAGTTACCACCAATGGAGGCACAATATCCAGATGTAGATCTTCTATCCGAAGGAGATCTTGCCCAATCAGCATATGAGTAGTAAACAACTCTTGTATGGTTATTAGAACCATATAATAATCCTTTTCCAGGAGATCCTTTAATATACTTCAAGATACGGATGACTGCATTCCAATGATCTTCACATAGAGAATTAAGAAATTGGCTTACCATACTGACTGCAAAGGAAATGTCAGGACGAATAACTGTAAGATAATTCAATTTTCCAACCAATTTTCTATACTGCTCAGGATCAGATATAGGCTCCCCTGATTTGGTAGAAGTTTAGTATTGGGATCCATGGGTGTATCAACAGACTTTGAACTCATCAACCCAGTTTCCTCCAAAATATCCATGGTATACTTCCTCTGAGATATAACAATACCATCATTGGACTGTGTCACCTTAATACCTAAGAAATATCTAAGTTTGCCAAGATATTTGGTCTACAAATGGTGGCAGAGATGTTGTTTCAACTGAGAGATGTCATGGTTGTCACTACTTGTAAGAACGATATCATCAACATATGCTATCAAGTAAACATATCCAGCACTCGAGTGTCGATAAAAGACAGAATGATCTGCTTCACACCGAGTAGTACCAAATTTTTGAACAACCTTGCTAAACTTTCCAAACCAAGTCCTAGGAGACTATTTTAGACCATATAGAGATTTGCGAAAACGACATACCATCCCAGAAGACTCCCCCTGAGTAACAAACCCAGGAGGTTGCTCCATATATATTTCTTCTTGCAAATCACCATTGAGGAAAACATTTTTAACATCTAGTTGATAAAGAGGTCATTGTTAAGAGCAACCATGACAATAAATAAACGAACAGAAGTCATCTTTGCTACGTGGGAAAATGTATCTCCATAATCCAACCCAAAAATTTGAGTATAACCTTTGGCCACAAGACGAGCTTTGAGGCGATCAATAGTACCATCAGGTCCAACTTTGATAGCAAACACCCACCTGTAACCAACAACAAATTTTCCAGACGGTAACGGGACCAATTCCCAAGTTCCACTATTATGAAGAGCACTTAGTTCATCTAACATGGTCTGACCCCAACCAGGATGGGCTAAAGCTTCATAGACAGTTTTTGGAATGATCACATAAGAAATAGAGGAAAGACATGTATAAAAAGGTAATGACAATCAATGATAACTCAAAGCAATATAATGGGGAGAGAGATTACGTGTAGAACATATACCTTTTCGGAGGACAATAGGAAGGTCAGACTCAGGCGTCAGATCCAGAGGAGACAGAGTAGTTGGCATTTGACTGGAGTTACATGGTGGTGGTTGTGATTGGTTTCGGCAACTATAAACCTGAAGAAGCAGTGGAGAAGAAAATGACTGCAGAGTAGGAACTAATGGTGAAGAAGACACAGTTAGAGGGTCACAAATAATAGGAACATTAAATGTGCTAGGAGTGTTGACAGGATTGGATGGAGACAAAGGTGAATATTGACTTTTAAAATAAAGAGAGAATTCATCAAATGTGACATCTACAAACACAAAATAACGGTTAAGAGAAGGAGAAAAACATTTGTATCTTTTTTGTGATCTTGTAATCCTAAGAAAACACATTTATGTGATCTATGAGAAAGCTTGTCAAGACCAAAACTGGAATTATGAACAAAACATGTAGACCTGAAAACGCTTAGAGATAAGGGATGAAGTGGTTCATGAGAGAATAAAATGAATAAGGTATTTTATTATCTTAAACCAAAGAAGGTATGCGATTAATGAGATAACATGAATTAAGAAGAGCATCACCCCAAAAATATTGAGGAACCTCTTCATGAATTAAGAGAGTGCGAGTTGTTTCAATAAGATGTCTATTTTTATGTTCAGCTACACTATTTTGTTGAGGTGTATAAGCACAAACATTTTGATGCAAAATATCGTGAGAAACCATGAATTGTTTAAAAGAATGAGAAAGATATTCACGACCATTATCACTACGCAAAACTTTAATAGAAATACTGAACTAAGTTTGAATTTTATTAAAAAAAGTTTGAAAGATATGAAATAATTCAAAATGATTTTTCATCAAAAATAACCAAGTGCATATGGAATAATCATCAATGAAAGTAACAAAGTATTGAAAACCTAAAGTAGACTTAACATGGCTAGGTCCCAAAATGTCAGAATGAACCACGATAAAAGGAGACGAAATACCACGTGTGATACTACTAGGAGAGGAAGTACGACTATGCTTGCCTAATTTATATGACTCACGTCAAACTAGACAAGTTGGACAAGACATGGACAAACTTCTGTAACTTGGCAAAACTTGGATGACCTAACTGAACATGAAGAAGAAATGGAGACTCCATAATTGCACCAATATGTGTAGAGGGACGAAGATGATAAAGACCATGAGACTTATATCCTGTGTCAATCACCTGTTTTGAACTCCGATTCTGTAAACACACAAAATTGTTGGTAAAAGAAACAACACAATCAAGAAAACGAGTTAGACGACTGATGGAAAATATGTTAAAAGGAGACCTAGGGACATAAAGAACATTGTCAATGATTAAAGAAGGGAAAAGTTTAACGGTTCCTATACCATGAGATGATATTTTAGAAGCATCAACTAGTGTAACAGAAGGTAAAAAATTAGGAGAGGATAAAGAAGAGAATAAAGATTTGTTACCAGTAATATGATCAGTTGCTCCTAAATAAAAAATTTAAGGACCAAGAGAAGAGGATTGGGTCAGACCAGCAAAATATGTACCTGTGTGTGCGACAAACATAGTGGAACTAGAAGACTGTTGATCCTTATACCATTTGAAAAGTTTGTTGAACATAGTAGGTGTGTCAGATGCAACAGAAGGGAGGATCCTCAGTAGACAAAGATGGGGAAATATCAGTCTGAACAACTGCAGCAGATCGAAAAGGATGACCATGTAACGCATAACACTTATTAATCTTGTGACCTAGCTTGCCACAATGTTCACACTTAGGACGTCATTTTCCCTGTTTGCGAGGGCGAGTCCGATCATCACGGTGAGATGCCAACGCAGAAGAATCATTAACAGAATTGGAAGTAGTAGAAGTCATGAAGGGCGGGAGAACAAACCCTAAAAAAAATCCAAAATAATTCAATCAAAACAAGTTCGTTGAGACTAAACGACGTAGAAGACAACGGATAACCAACTCCGATAGTGGTGATCTTAATGGCACGATGGTCGCCTGACTAAGACGAGCAAAACTGTATTTCGCTGGTAAAAAATGAAACTATGGCGGCGACGGCAGTGACAGTGGTGTGAATCAGTACACCAGGTAAGTTTCCAGGAAAGAGAGGTAGATCACTAATAGACACGCTTAAATACCAAGTCTTTCCTTGTCAGAACCTTCCTATATATGCATTTTTGCACTACCAAATAATATCTTGTAACAAAATAACTCTTTTCTGATAACCGACAGCGGCGGCAGTGGTGGCTCGAGCAGTGAACAAAGGTGAAAAATTTTCAAAATAGTCTTAAGCTCTATAGATAACATGTTGAATATAGAGAAAATATAGTTTGAGATTAATCTCCCTTGTGTATACACCACACATAGGGTAATCTATTTATAATAGAGATACAACTAAAAGAGTAACCGAAAATAAACAAAAGATATTGTTTGGTATTGGGGTTAACAAGATCTAATAATATCTTAACAATATCAAACAATATCTAAACAATATTTAAATAATATCTAACATAAATATATTAATTTAATATATAAATTAGAAGAGAAAAGATTTATTTAATCTCAAGAATTAAAAAATTAATTTTTATTATCATAATTTAATTTATTTAGTAATTTATTGATCTAAAATAATAATTTATCTAAGTTTTTACGTGTATCTTAGAATAAGTTATTTTTTAATCAAATTAATTTATAATACATATATTTTTAATAAAATAATATTTTTTTTATTTAAAAAATTATTATTATTTTATAAAATACGCATAAAACTACATATTAATCTAATTTAATAACCAGAAACACTCACTGTATAAATCTTATAATGAAAAACACTCAATGTAAGCTTTTTTACAATGAAACGAAGGGGCTTTTTAAAATGATAGGGTTTTTTAAAAATTAAATGAAAATGGTAGGAATTATTATAATAAAAATAAAGACGATGATTAAAATCATATTTAGTTTATAAAAAAATTATTATAATAAAAAGCGAGAAGATGTTATTACCAACCACGCCCTTAATCCTTTAAAATAAATTTTATTAGTGTTTTAAAAAATATATAAATAATTAAAAATAACTATATTACAATATAAATAATATGTCATAAATTTTAGAAAAAACTTACAGACAAATACTTATTAAAATTTTTGTTACATAAGATATATTATAGGCTAAAATATTAGTAAATGTTAAGTCCCCAATACATAAAAATGATTGATCTTTAGATAAATGTCTTCTCTTATTAATGTTATCCCAAATGTTTTAAACATTCATATAATCCTGAGAGTATATTCAATGCAGAAGTTTTAAAAAGGATATTAAATTTAAAAATTATCTCTTATAATATATTATCGTTCAAACAAATTGATGTGATATGGTGAAAATTTTAAAATTAAAAACTGAGTTTGATAGAGAATTTTGAGTCTTAACAATAAAAAAAAACATTTTAATCTCAATAATTATTTTAAATATTTTAATAATTTTATAAGTTATAAGAAATTGAAATACAAATAAAATTTTATAAAAATATAGATTCTTATAAAATCCACTGCTAAAACAAATCCTACAATTGTAATATAAATTGTTAAAAAAATCCTTTTAATCCGTCAAATTCTTTTAGTTGTTATATTTGAAAGTTAAAAAAAAAGAATTTAACTATATTTTACTAATTAATTATTGTATTTACAGCCAGTGAATGCTATTTAAATTAATTAATATAAGAAATTAATACGTATTTCTAATAAAATTAAATATATTTGTTATATTTTTTAATATTTATGTATGAGTTTTTTTTTACAGGAAAAAAATGAAAGAAGTGTAATGAGTACATTTAATTTAAATTAAATAAAATTTAACATGAGTTTCTTAATTTTTTTTTACAATAAATCAAATTTATAGGAAATATTTATATTTCCCCTGGAATGTACATAAACAAAATAAGAATCAAACCAAAAGAAGCGACTGCGTGTTTTTGGCACGTGCAAGCCAACAAAAAAAAAAAAAAAAGACTTCAAAGCGCAGAACCCTGAACCCTAACACTTCGCCCTAATACCATTCTCTCATTTGTGGTGCTTTGCTTTCATCTTTCCTTTCACATCAATGGCCGACTCTGTAGTTTCGATTCAATACCTCAAAGATTTCGTCAATTCTCAAATCTACGACGATGAGAAATGGGCCTTCAATGTGGTAATCTCTCTCTGTAACGTATTTTTGTATTCGTTTCGCACCCGTTCCGTTCGATCCCTTTCCTTATGCTCCTACATATTTTACAATGTGATTAGTTCCAATATAGCTTGGTTTGATTGCTATGTCATGATATCAAATTGCTAAGGCTGGTGCCCTGTTTATTCTGCGAGATAGGAGATGAGATCAAGCAATGACCCTAAAGTAACTTGAACTTTTACAGTTTTTATATGTGAAATGAGACCCTTTTTACACTTGAGCTTTTCTGTGTGCTTTTGTTTTAAGGTGCTAAGGAAGAAGCTTGATATTTTATTTATTGTTTATTTTTATTGTTATATGAGTTGCCTTTCGCTTGCAAAATGGATGGGTTGTCATTACTAACTTTCCCCCATTTTACTCATAATATGCAACATAGTTCCATGATGAATCCATGATTTTATAGCTTGTGCTGTTGAATCCTTTTCCATTGTCAACTGGTGTGAATGAGGCAACTGTTGATTGCATTTGCATCTGTTCCAATTATATGCCTGAATTTTATTAGCCGTTGTATTGATGATCGTGTGGCTTTTGGAAATTTATTCCTATGGCTAGCTGTTACCCTTGTATGTTATATGATATTACTTTCAAGTTTTGAAAATGTTTGATCCTCTTCTCATTGCCTGCACCTTAGTGACAATGACATTGCCTTCACCCTTTGTTTGTTTGAGAGATAAAATGAAGGGTGAATGAACGTTTTGAAATTTGAACTGAGGAGAAAACGTATGGAAAGAATAATTAGAACTTTTGTTTCTAGCTGTCAACTTTTCTCCTTTTTTTCCCTTTCTATTTACTCTTCTGCTAAACATAAGAAAATACATCATTGTCCGTTTTTCCCCTCCTCTTCTGGTTTCGTTGGAATTCAGGCACACTCGGCTGTGAAACATTATTGTTTATCATCAGTTTTGCCTAGAAGCTCTGAAGACATGATGCACGATTTGTGATTATTGTAGAAAATATAGTATAGGCAGTTGAACCATATAAATTGATTATTCTAGGAGTAATGAATAGCTGTTGTAACTTCACACTAGAATAAGCAACCACCAAACTTTCTGGTAAATTAAGATGCTCATGAGCTTAGTTTTAGAGGAAATGCTGGTACCAAGTGTTGATCGCAGGAACTTGAATGAGATTGTTACACTGGCTATTTAGTGGTTAATGCAGTTTAGTTTTTACTTAATTTTAAAGGTATTTCTTCATGTTTATATCTTGAAGCTTGATTTGGAATGTTGATTCTCTTCTGTTTTTCCTTTGGCCATGTAGAAATTGCTGCGTGCTGCGGGACTATTTGCAGGATCAATAGTACTTATGCGAAATTATGGTGACCTTATGGCAATCTGAAAGTTTAACAAGTTCTCTGCCTTGAGTTCCTATTATCTACTTAAACAGTATTGTGATGTCTAGATTTTGTTTTTACTTTCATTTTTGGGTAATTTGAACACGAAGTGAGCTTCATTGACTTGAAGCTTTTGATGAACGATGACAATGTTTTCCGATTGGGTTATGTTTAGCAAGTACAGTCACATTTCCTTTGGCTAAATATGTTTTGGATATGAAATAACTATTTTCTATGGTCTCGGATTTAACTCAATGTAGTGTATATAATAATAATAGTAGCAATAGTAATCAAGAATTATTATTATATATAGATTGGTCAAATCTGATCTATACAAAAGTTAATAGTATATATATTTTTATTTTTTACACTTAATTATTAAAAATATTGTTAATAAGATTTTAAAAGTGAGCCTTGTGTAGTTGCCTATTTGTCAACAATTTGCTTTATTCTTGTTTTGTATGGCGATTCAGCGTCAATCCAAGATTTCTTCTCAATAATGTTCCACTAAATTTAAAATAAAATAATATCTGTCTGGTCATTGTCCAAGTGTCCTTTTATATAAGGCTATACAAATGTTGGAGGAGAAAAAAATGCAAAAATTATATTTTATGTCAATCAAACATGATCAATTAAGTATAGAAATATATACATAATTGATTTTATATATATATATATATATATATAATTGATTATATTATAATTTTTTTAATTAATCAAATTAATCCTATTTTTTTATTATCTTCGAATTCTTTCTTTTAATTTTTTTCCTTCTTTCTTCAATCCACGTTATTCCGTTTTCTATTCTTTCAAATTCATTATTCAACGCAATTAATTTTTTTCCAGCAACAAAATTATTCTCAGTTCCCTTTCTGATTGTCGCATCGTACACTCTCTTTCATCGTCACGTGACGTGCAATACAAGTTCAAAATTGTGATCAATCAATTTTTAAGGAAATTCCTTTAATGCAACACAAGTTATTGACACACGTCTTCTCATCATATGATTGATTGAAATGTTCTCACTCTTCCTTGTACAAATGTTATCACCAGAGTCTAAAAACAAAAATAAAAGTATTTATAAGGACAAAATAAAATAATAATAATAATAATAATAATAATAATAATAATAATAATAATAATAATAATAATAATAATAATAATTAGCGCTTTGTTTCTGTTCTGTATCTCCTTTCTTGAAGTTTTATGTCTTCTAATTGGTTCTGAGATAGTTCAAATTCTAATATTTTGAATATTATAACATGACCCTAAATTCTAACCCTAAACGTGGAGATTAGGTAAATGAATTTGTGAATGGTATCTATATTTATGTGCTTCGAATCTTCAACAACGTGTACAAAGCAATTAGGGATAGAAATATTTAAATTAGGTTAAATAAATTTTCGTAAGATTTTAAAGTCACATTATATAACTAGACTTTTATTTTCGTATATTTTAATAATAATTATATCATTAATATTATTTTAGTCCTAATAATATTAATAAAAATGATATAATAATTATTAAGTATATTAATAATGTACAGATAATTATTATCATTATTTATTTATTATTAATTATAATGAAAATAATATTAATGAAAATAATAATTAAAAATATTAATAATATAAAATTTATTATTATTAACTATGATAATATTAATACTAATTATTAAAATATAAAAAAATAAAAATTGTATTATATAGCATAAATTCTTTCTAAAACGAAAAAGTAAAAAAATTAAAATTGAAGTCATACCATTTTAACAGTCTTACTTAACTTACTTAAAATTGTATATTTTTTAAATTTACTGATTTCGGTAAATTTTCTATAAAATTTCACCAATTTAATAAAAGACATTGACATGGGAAAAGTTATTTTAGAAAATAGGTGAAATCTGAACTTTGATAAAGTTTTATTTCATTTTAAAAAATATTGTAGGTCAGTTATTTAAGTAAATTTAAATAAATTTTTTTGTTATTATTATATTCAAAATTTAGTTTAAACACGTCATTATTGTTATCATATTTAATGTTGATCCTTATATTTAAAAATATATTAATTATGTGTTTATTTATGTTTTTTTATTAATAATTAACCATGTTGACTTAAAAATCCGACATTAATTAAGATATAACTGAATTGAGTAATATATTTATTTATTTATAGGTGACAGTATAGTATGCTCTTATTTAGAAAAAAATATAAATAAATAAAAATGAAAGTCGGAAATTTTTTTTTCAATTAAGGTAACGTGATACATACCAACAACATAATTTTAATGAAAAGAAAATGACACGTGCACATGTAATAACTTTGGAAAGAAAAGTCGTACTCTTTGGTAGTGCTCTCTTGTTCAACACCACGTTTTTCATTTCATTCCCACGCAGGAGTGTTGGAATAATTCATTTAACCACAACATTCTTTATAAAATAAAGTACATAATATTTTTTTAATATTATCAGAGATTAATGTAATAGATAGGATACAAATTGTGACTTTTCCACAAAGGTTGGTAAGTTCTTGAATCTAACTTGACCATGATGCCCCTAACATATTTTGAGAATTACATAGGAACCTCGTACGAGAGTGAAGTACAAGTGTCGTTGCGTAAGCAAAGACAGTTATGGAATCGATGACAGTGACAGTGACAAAGGATTTGGGTTCATCAGCAGCTTGTGTGACAAGATACGTGAACCTTTATCTCCATTGATTAACACGTGGAAAATTTGAAATGCGTTGTCAAGCTGCACGCTCTACCTATAAGCAGCCTAACAACATGACATGAACTGAGACAGCTCTTTCTGTTCTTCTCACTTCTCACCTCAGGGCCACTCTTTATGCCAAACCAAACCATGTAAGCTTTCCTTAGCTGTCTTCTCTGTGTTTGTTGGATCTTCCTCAAATTAGTAAGTATGCACAAGCGAACATAATTTGGTGTTACAAGTTACATCTTGAAATTCAGCTACTTCTTACCTTCACGTTTTATGATGATTTTAAAGTTTATATCAGTAATTCTTATCAGATTTGTTGGATCGGTCGTGTCAGTTTCATATTGAATGTCACATTTAAGTTTTGAAGGTTCTTTTTTAAGCTTATTATAAGTTTAGTAATTGACAGGCTATGCTAGTAATTATTGTCCACTTCTAAGAGGCGTATTCAAGACATTGTTTGTGTTCGTGGTAAAAGAAATTTTCTCTCCTTGTTACCTTTTTCTGTTTTTACGTCACTTGGTGAGTACAATGCTGACATTGTGTAATCCGTGAGCCATCCCCATCCTCGTGTTTTTAACACTTTTGTTCCCACAGTTCCCACTTGTTTTTGTGGATGTGACATTCAGTCCCTAAAATTAAAAATTAGAGCTTGCGTTTAGATTTTGACTTTCCTGTTTTATTTCATTTGCATTAACTTTTGTGTTACATGTAGTATATAATGGTAACACTTTTTCCCCGGTGTGGAGGAAGTGGATACCCTTTTCATTCGTCCAAATTTTGTGTCTGAAACTTGTGTGTCCTTTTTCATTTAGAGGGAGACGAGCCTTCTTCAAAGGAGTGTTCTGTTCAATGACTTTACCTTGCTCTTGGATTTCAATGGAGGTGACGATAAACCAGAAAATGAATACAAAGCTGATTAAATTGATGTATTCATTCATACTAGATAGTGATTGTGTGTTTTCTTTAGCAGGGACTTTGTTCTGAGAAATCGTACACTAACTCTGAGCAGATAGACCTTACTCTCAAGCTTTCTCCCTGCGGTCAAAACGCAGAAGAAAAGATGGTTCTGACAAGTTCATCATTAGCAATGGTTGGGGAGAAAGCTAGGAGCACTATGATGGAATATGGGGTTCAAGAAGAGAATCCATTTGTTCTATGTCTAGCAGAGGGTGAGAAGGGTCTGGTGAGGTTTGGGGACTTGCAGACAATGAGAAGAGTGAGGACTGGAAAGAGATTATTGATGAAGAAGTTGCAGATGGCTGCGGCTGCAGCGGCAGAGAAGTCTTTTCCGGTGTCTCCTGCCGGTGGTCAGCCCCTACATCCCTCAATTGATGATAATCTCAAGATGTTTGCTCATCCCTCTTGGGATCCATGGCATGAGGGTAACTTTCTTTTACTTTCTTTCTTTGTTGACCATGTCATGAGTACACGTTCTTTAATATAAAACTCGGTTATTTATCCCGTGGAAGTTGGTTGCGACTGTAATAGTTATATGGTACTGGAGACAGTGAAGTGACTAAAAGGAGAATTGAATTGAGAGTGGAGGAAGCATTTGACTTTGAACTGGGATGAGGAATGGTTTGGGGAGGGGCAGAAAATTCTGCTGCATGACAAAACAGGTCCATTAATTTTTTCATTATATGAAAACAGATTATGGTGATACCGCAACCATAATCTAAATTCTTTTCATCTAGATCAACAATACAACTAACGTTTACCAATTCCTCAAATTTTCCATGCTAAATCTGTCTCAATGATATTTCCATTATTTTAGAACATTCGTAGTTTTAGAATCAGGTGGTTGTTCTGTACATGAATTCTCCATAGTATCCACAGGTAATTTTTGCACCTAAATGGAAATGGTTATACAAATTTTCATCTAAATGAACCAATAATTCTTACTTATGAAAAACATTTTGTAAAGGCTTTTCCTTTGGACAACATAAGACTTGATAATTATATATGCATAAATTGTTGGTCAAAGAAAGTGGCTGTCAAATTTTTCAATTCTTACTGCCAAATTTTTTATATGCAAGCACGAGGTGCACGTGGGATATTTTATTGTAATGCACAGTACCAATTTTTGCTATAAATTGGTCTTCTTCCTGCAAGCAAAATCATTCCATTCTACACAAAATATTACTTCTCTTAGAGAAGAAAAGAGTGGCACCAGTGAGAGGGAGAAAAACTAGAGAGTTTTAGTTTAGCTTCTGGGTGTAATTGGGTTGTGAGTTGTGAGTGTTTTGGGAGTGTTTTATAAACACTTGTGTATTTTCTTTTCTCCTAAAAAGAGATCTGTAGTAGTTCGGAGACGTAGGCATTATTGGCCGAACCCCGTTATCAACTTATGTGAGCAATTATTCCGCTTTTATTTCACTTTCACAGATCTGACCATATGAGAAGATTCAGCATATTTTTCCCAACAACTGGTATCAGAGCTGGTTGTTAGTTCTGTAATTTTTGTGGTGTTACTATTCATATGAATAGTAAGTTACTATTCTGTGAATAGTGAAAACGTGAATAGTGCAAATTTTGTCTGCGTTACAAATTTGCCCGCAATCGTGTTCTGAAACACGGTAGCTCACGTAAATTGTCGAAACGATCCAACGAGATAAGTCGGATCGAGTTGGAGTGATGGTCTGCAGACGAAGGAAAAATGAAAATCGAAAGGTTCGACGAGTACGGACTTTGGCTTCCGGAAGATGCGAGATAGAGGATTATCCGTATCGAAGAAGATGCATCAACCACTCACGGGGAGAAGCCGGAAATCATGAAAGAGAAAGAATGGAGTCTCCTTGATAGACAGTGCTCTTGGAGTTATTCGTCTAACATTATCCCGTAATGTTGCTTTTAACATTGTGAAAGAAAAGACGACCTCGGATATCATGAAGGCTCTTTCCAACATGTACGAGAAACCATCGACCTCAAACAAAGTTCACTTGATGAGGCGATTGTTCAACTCGCGGATGTCCGAAGGTGCTTCGGTGGCAAATCATCTCAATGAACTCAACACCGTAACAACCCAATTGAGTTCTATTGACATCAAATTCGATGATGAAGTACAAGCTTTAATACTTTTGTCTTCCCTACCAGAGAGTTGGAATGCTACGGTCACAGCTGTGAGTAGCTCATCGGGAAACAATAAGTTAAGATTTAATGATGTTCAAAATTTGGTTCTCAGCGAAGAGATCCGCGGAGAGAGTCGGGTGAAGCATCAACCTCTTCGATATTGCATACAGAGTCAAGAGGAAGAAGTTCAACCAAAGAAATTAGACATGGAAAATCAAAGGACAGGCGGTCCAAGTCTAGAAATCATCGTAGTTCCCACAACTCAAAGTCGATCGAGTGTTGGAATTGTGGGAAAACCGGACACTTCAGAAACCAGTGCAAGAGTGCACGGAAGAATCAAGGAGCAAAGGACGAAGCAAACGTTGCCTCCACCTCGGGAAAAGATGAGGCATTGATATGCTCCCTTGAAGGCGGGGAGGAGTCTTGGGTGTTAGACTCGGAGCATCTTTTTATGCTACCTCACAGAAGGAACTGTTGGAGAATTATGTTCCCGGAAACCTTGGTAAGGTTTACCTTGGTAATGAACAGTCATGTGAGATTGTAGGCAAAGGTGCAGTAAGGATTAAGCTGAATGGGTCTGTATGGGAATTGAAAAATGTCAGACATATTCCCGACCTGATAAAGAGCTTAATCTCAGTAGGTCAGTTAGCTAGTGAAGGCTATACGACAATCTTCCACGGTGATGAATGGAAGATCTCAAAAGGTGCGATGACGATTGCTCGAGGCAAAAAGAGTGGAACTCTCTACAAGACTCAGAGAGCATGTCATTTGATTGCAGCTTGCAACAAATGAAAATTCCAACATATGGCACCAAAGACTTGGACATATGAGTGAGAAAGGAATGAAGGTCATGCACTCGAGAGGAAAATTACCAGTGTCTTCGACCAGTAGATATTGACATGTGTGAAGATCGCATACTTGGAAAGCGAAGAGAGTCGACTTTCAGACAAGTAAAAGAACCCCAAAGAAAGAGAAGCTTGAGCTCATCCACTCGATGTTTGGGGTCCAACGAATGTTCCATCCGTTGGTGGGAAGCATTACTTCGTGACTTTCATTGATGATCACTCCGTAAAGGTATGGGTTTACTTTCCGAAATATAAGTCGAAGTATTTGAAGCTTTCAAGATTTGGAAAGCTATGGTGGAAAATGAGACAGGATTGAAGATTAAGAAGCTCGGATCCGACAATGGTGGTGAATATGTAGACACCAGATTCAAGAAGTTTTGCTATGAGCACGGAATCGAATGGAGAGAACCGTGTCGGTACGCCTCAACACAATGGTGTAGCTGAGCGTATGAATCGAACGTTGATCGAAAGGGCCGAAGCATGCGTGTGCAACAGGCTTACCAAAGCAGCTTTGGGCGTAAGCAATCAACACAAGCAGCTTACTTGATCAACCGAAGTCCATCGGTACCATTGGAGCACAAGATACCGGAAGAGGTATGGAGCGGAAAAGAGGTAAAACTCTCACATCTTAGAGTTTTTGGTCGTGTAGCATATGTGCATATCAGTGATCAAGACAGAAACAAACTTGATCCAAAATCAAAGAAATGTACTTTCCTTGGTTATGGTGAATATGAGTTTGGCTACCGCATATGGGACGATGAAAACAAAAAGATGATCCGCAGCAGAGACGTAATCTTCAATGAAAGAGTGATGTACAAGGACAGGCATAATACAGGTGCCAGCAACTCGAAGCGAGTGGGCCAGCTTTATGCAGAGGTGGAAGATATCCTAGAAAGTCCTATAATGAGGAGTCCTCAGCCAGAGGAATCAGTTGAAGAACTTGATGTGCAAGCTGAACCTCCTACTCCAACTCCTGTATTGAGAAGGTCTTCTCGGCCTCATGTGCCTAACAGGAGATACATGGACTACATGTTGTTGACTGATGAAGGGGAGCTTGAAGATTATACGGAAGCTTGTCAAGCCACGGATGCTAGCAAGTGGGAGCTTGCCATGAAAGACGAGATGAAGTCTTTAATCTCAAATCAGACATGAGAACTAGTCAAGTTACCTATGGGAAAGAAAGCACTTCACAACAAATGGGTGTATCGAGTGAAGGAAGACCATGATGGTTCTAAGAGATACAAAGCTCGACTGGTCGTCAAAGGATTTCAGCAGAAAGAAGGAGTCGACTACACTGAAATCTTTGCTCCAGTTGTAAAGCTCAATACTATCAGGACTATGTTAAGTATTGTGGCTAGTGAGGAGCTCTACCTAGAGCAATTAGATGTGAAGACCGCATTTCTTCATGAAGATTTAGATGAGGAGATCTACATGCACCAACCTGAAGGTTTTTCAAAAGGAAAGAAGAACTTGGTGTGCAGATTGAAAAAGAGCTTGTATGGCCTGAAACAAGCTCCAAGACAGTGGTATAAGAAGTTCGAAAGCTTCATGCACAAGGAGAGTTTTCGAAGTGCAACGCTGATCACCGTTGTTTCTTCAAGAGGTATAAGTCCAGTTATATCATTTTGCTACTTTATGTTGATGATATGCTAGTAGCGAGGTTCGGATATGAATGAGATCATAAACTTAAAGAAGCAGCTTGTCAAAAGAATTTGATATGAAGGACTTAGGCCCAACAAAGAAGATTCTTGGAATGCAAATCACGAGAGATAAGCAAAAAGGAGTTTTGCAGTTATCTCAAGCGGAGTACATCAACCGTGTTTTGCAGAGATTCAACATGGACAATGCCAAACCAGTCAATACACCTTTGGCTTGCCATTTTCGTCTATCCAAGGATCAGTCTCCTCAAACAAAGGAAGAAGAAGAGTTAATGGCTAAGATTCCGTATGCTTCGACCATTGGAAGTTTGATGTACGCGATGGTCCGTACGAGGCCGGACATTGGCCATGCAATGGGAGTTGTAAGCGATTCATGACAAATCCAGGAAAAGCTCATTGGGAAGCAGTCAAATGGATTCTAAGGTATCTACGAGGCACAACAGAAAAATGTCTCGTATTTTAGAAAAGGAGATCTAAAATTGCAGGGCTACGTAGATGCGGACTTTGGAGGTGAAGTTGATCACCGAAGAAGCACCACCGGGTATGTGTTTACTCGTTGGAACTACAACTGTTAGTTGGATGTCGCGGATACGGAAGATTGTTGCTTTATCCACTACGAGACTGAGTATGTAGCAGTGATGAAGCCGATAAAGAATTGATATGGCTTCAAGGATTGTTGACAGAGTTGGGATTCATTCAAGAAAGGAGTGTTTTGCACGATGATAGTCGAGTGCAATACATCCGGCAAAAAATTTAGCATTTCCCTCCGTAACCAAACACATCGACATACGTTATCATTTCATCAGATCTCTACTTGAGGATGAGATGCTAACATTGAAGAAAATTGTGGGAAGTAAGAACCTAGCAGATATGCTAACAAAGGTGGTGACTATTGACAAACTGAAGTTGTGCTCAACTTCAGTTAGCTTACAAGGATAACAGATAAGAGAAGACTACTATTGATCAAGGTGTGAGGACAGATTGAAATCGGTCCTCAAGTGGGAGATTGTTGGTCAAAGAAAGTGGCTGCCAAATTTTTCAATTCTTACTGCCAAATTTTTTATGCAAGCATGAGGTGCACGAGACATATTTTATTGTAATGCACAGTACCAATTTTTGCTATAAATTGGTCTTCTTCCTGCAAGCAAAATCATCCCATTCTACACAAAATATTACTTCTCTTAGAGAAGAAAAGAGTGGCACCAGTGAGAGGCAGAAAAACTAGAGAGTTTTAGTTTAGCTTCTGGGTGTAATTGGGTTGTGAGTTGTGAGTGTTTTGGGAGTGTTTTGTAAACACTTGTGTATTTTCTTTTCTCCTAAAAAGAGATATGTAGTAGTCCGGAGACGTAGGCATTATTGGCCGAACTCCGTTATCAACTTATGTGAGCAATTATTCCGCTTTTATTTCACTTTCACAGATCTAACCATATGAGAAGATTCAGCATATTTTTCCCAACATAAATTACTTGTATTTGATTTTTATCAGAATTTTCTCATAGTGCATACTGATAAACAATTATTTTCTGTTGTTATCTTGCTTATACTGAAGGAGGAGTTAGTTCGAACTTCCAACCATCACCAAAGCATGAAAATCATTCCATGCTTTCCCCAAAAGCAATGCAGGAAAGGACACTGTGTCCATCTGAGACTATGATTGAGGGGTCATCCAAAAAGCTTAAACATGTGAGCTCCTTTCATGAAATGCCTAGTGTGATTACTACTGGAGATGCCACTACTGGGAAGAGAATAGAAGGGCTTATGTACAAGTATAAGAGAGACCAAGTGTATATTGTATGCGTCTGCCATGGCAGCTTCCTCTCCCCCACAGAATTTGTGATGCATGCTGGTGGCAAGGAAGTGACAGATCCCATGAAACACATCACTGTTTGTTCTGATTCATTTTATATCAATGGAGATGACGCTTGTTTTATCACAAAACCCTTTTAGAATGTGTAGAAGCAGCTAACACCCCTTTTAGAATTTGTAGGAGCAGCTAAGAATCCTTAGTTTTCCCTAATTATCTTGTCCATGGTTCTTGTTATGACAGTGTAAAGGAAGTCTTCATCAAAGACAAAGGTGGTTTTTCTAATTTGCTAACCTTCACATTAGTGTTGAAAACAAATGGAAAAGTAAGAATACAACATATTTTCTAAAAAAGGAAAGATGTTGTTTTGATTATATCATCTTTAAATTAAATAAAAATTACTAAAACACTTGTATGAATTTGTAGAAATTGTGTACATGTATTTCTAGACAAAATTTTAATAAAATATTAAATATTAAGAATATCTCACATATAATAATTTAAATTAAAATAATAATATAATATTTTTTATTATAAAAAATAATAAAAATATCTTAATATTTAATTTAAATAAAAAATAATATTTTTAATAAACACAAATGATTTTTTTTAAGTTGTAGATAATTTAAAAGAAATAAAACTCTTCAATTTATTTATTATATGATCCATTTGTTCATTTATAATATTAAATGTATTAAAAATAGATATCTTATTTATCAATTAGGAGATAAATTATTTGTATGAAGAATATGATAAAACTGTATTCAATTAACAAGCTTTAATAAATGAATTAACAGTGTAATTTTTAATAAATTCCATTAGTAACTATTTAATTGATCATGATATAGATAAATACATACTTGTGTTCAAAAAAATATATTAAAAATTTTAAATATTATATTTGTAATATTTGATTTTATAAAGCATACCCCTATTATTATATTGCAATTATGAACACAGATTCCATTTTTATAAACTTGCTACCTAGTTATTAAGAAAGTTACTTACAAAATCTATTATTTTATTATGATCTTATGTTTGACAAAGTTTATCATAATCTTATATTTAAGAAATGAGAAAGTTAAGATTAGAAATAGTGATTTAAAAAAAAAATTATTAACGTAAAATTTGTAGTAAAATAATTTTTTATTTATAAATACTGAGTATTAACTCTATTTAAAAATAGGTTAAAAAAATTTAATTAAAAAATTATAATATAAATCATTTAAAATATTATTTTAAAACAAGTTATTTAAATAATATCAATTATATTACAATAAAATATAATAGCACAATTTTATTATTATTATTTAAAAAAAATTGTTTATGGAAAGATACAAAATGGTCCAATATACAAATTATATGCATTACAGTTATTATTTTCTTGTTGAAGAGAGTTTGTTATCAATTTGAATATTTTCTTGTTAGTTTAGATATGAATATATGTTTTATTTTTTTTTATTTTATATTTCATCCGATTCGATTTCATTTTTATAATAATAATAATAATAATTTAATATTAAAAATAAGAATTTAAAAAATTTTGTGTATATATTTTTTTATATAATAAATATATTTTATGTGAACATATATTTTTATATAAAATAAACATATAATAAAATATTAAATATTAATAATGTTTTAATTATAATTATTTAAATCAAAATAATAAATGAATATATTTTCTGCTATCTTAAACAATAATAAATCTTTTAATTAATATAACTATTCAATCTATATCGATTTTGGTTTTATTTTTTAATTTAGTATAAAATTTAAATCAAATCAAATTAATGTAATTATTCACTTTATATTGATTTTGGTTTTATTTTTTATAAATTATTAAATATTTTATAATAAAATATTATTAAATAAAAGATATATTATATCATTTTTGTTTATAATCATTATTATATTTATAGTTTTTTTATTTATAAATAAATTACACAATTTTATAATTAAAAATATAATTTATAATTATTATAATATAATTTATAATTATTATAATATATTTTATCATTATAAATAAAATATAATTGAATTATAAAATAATTTTCAATATATAATCTCACATATATATATTAATAATTAATTTTAAATATTTAATATTGTATATAATATGGGATTTGGTTCCATACTATTAAATTAAATATGAAAAGATTTAAAAAAATAATTTTAATCTATTTTAATAATTTAATTCGATTTTGATTATTTTGAATGTATATTTGTTTAACAAATTAAAATAGAATATCAAAAAGTTTGTGAGAAAATTAAAATGAGAAAAAAAAAATTATACTAACTTTAAGAAAGAAGGATACTTTAATAACGTAACAAAGCATATAATAGATAATCCGTTATAATATTATAATAATAAAATCTGTTATTATATTATTATATTAGATTATTAATTAAATATTTTTTAAATGATTATCCATGTATAATCCCTCCCATACAAATTGCGGAGAATATTCGTGGAACCCAGCATTTCGACTCTGTTCATGCGCCACTGACCAATCATTTAACATTATTCATTCTTTTGTAGCTTCAAATCTCAAAAAATAGTTCAAACCATATTGGACTTAACGAGAAGTGAGGAATACAACAAAAGTCACACTCATCTCCATGACTTCCATACCCAGTAAGGCTTTTTCACTCTTCAATCTCCAGCAATTATTATTATTATTTTTTTTTTTCATTTGATTCTGTTTATCTGAATGCGATGCACCGGACAAATTATGAGCTGAAATAGTTGTTGTTTTTTAATTAATCAACTCTCTTTTGCCTTATGTTTACTTTCTGAATGAATTTTGTGTGATTGTAGATTTGAACTCATGAAATATCGTGCCCAAGTCTTATCATCCTTTGAGTGAACATTCTAATTTACCGTATAATTCATACATTGACTTAATTTTCTTTTGTTCGTTTGAGATGCATGTTTTTCATTAATGTATATGAGAATGATTTTTTTTTCCTACAATGTTCCCAGCAAAATCTCTCTTAACTTAGTGTAATGAACCTGAACTTGAAACAGGTTTTGCTCTTTTTGTGTTCCTATTGCTTGTTGTTGGTTGCTCTGCAAGGCCGTTCTATCCACTTCCCAGCAAAGGTGATGGTGGAAGTAGGAAGCCCCTACAAAATTTTCGCCCATATAATATTGCACATCGCGGTTCAAATGGAGAGATTCCTGAAGAAACTCATTGTGCATACACGGTGAAGACTTTTTTATTGTGCAAAACTACTTTCCTTTTTACATTGTTCTGTTTCTGATTGGATATTGGCTATAACTATTAGTAAAGTAAATTAAATATGCACAAACTATTATTTGGTAAATAGATGACATAGTAAACATCATTTCCATCTTTGGCTTATGGTTGCCAAAAACGAATGTTTCTTGCAGAGAGCCATTGAAGAAGGGGCAGACTTTATTGAAACTGATATCCTATCATCCAAAGATGGTGTTCTTGTATGTTTTCATGATGTTACCCTTGATGAAACTACTGACGTTGCAAATTACAAAGAGTTTGCTAATCGTAAAAGAACATATGAAGTCCAAGGGGAAAACATCACTGGGTTCTTTACTGGTAATGTAGCTAAACTTGCTATCCTTTGTTCAGCTTTCTTGTAAATTCTCTTAATAAAATAGTTAGGGTTTATCTGATTTCTTCTGTATATGACATAAGTGCATAAGCTTGAAATTCATCTCTGTTTTCCTTGTTCTTAGTAATTGTGTATCCTGTAAGGGTTGCGCATGTTTCAAGTTATCTACTTAAGTTTGAAATCCTCGTCACTGTCTAAACAGATTTTCTTGTTGTTGGAATAGTCTAACTTTCTAAAATAAGTTTACTTGTTTGTATATTTGCAGTTGATTTCACATTAAAGGAGTTAAAGTCACTCAGGGTGAGACAGAGGTATAAATTCAGGGATCAACAGTTTAATGGTTAGTCACTCCTTTCACATAGTAGTCTTCATTCTATTATTTGTCATTTTCTTTTCTTTGTTTGATTTGTTCATTCATTGGTTTGGAAATATTCTGTTAACACTGACACTGTCTGAAATCATTATAAATAAATTTTTATAATGATGGAACTGAAAGAGGGAATCTCCTCTAAAATGAACAATTAATTCTCAACAAACAGAAACAGAGATGGTGGAATAGGAGAAATGAAGAAAACACAGTAAAGGCAATGCAATCAGAGCTGAAGCACAGACGCTGCCTTCGCTCGTCTAAGCCATCAGATCCTCTCCACCATTTCCCTCCCTCTCCTTATTCAATTTTCCTTTCCTCCCCCATCCTTGTTATATTTTCTCTTCTTCAATGCCGTGCTGCCAGTTGTGCATTATGTTGCATATTCCCCTACTCAGATAAGAGTGCAACTAATTTTCTTTTTCGTTTTTAGGGAAGCTGACTTGTGATGACTTATTTTTCTCTAGTGACTACGACATGAAACTAATAAAACATGTGACTTATACTTTGAATCTATTTCAGGAATGTTTCAAATCATCACTTTTGAAGAGTTCATTACCATAGCACTCGATGCAGAGAGAGTTGTTGGTATATATCCGGAGATAAAAAATCCAGTATTTATCAATCAACATGTGAGTATTTCTTTTAGAATCCTACAAATGCCTAAATGTTAGGAGTGGATTGGGGCCTTTGTAGCGACTGAAAGGCAGAACTTTTGATATATAATTCATCTAACTGAAAAATATTATAGACTCCACTATTTTTAAAATTAAGACTAACGAGTTTTCACTGGAGGTGAGATTATATTGTTGGAAATTTCGAAAAGGAAATTGCATTAAGAATTCTTATACCATGTTAGAATGCTTTAAAAATCTTACAATATCATGCTTGCTTATTTCATCTTAATACTATTATATTTCGGTCAAGTTCTTTTGGAGGTTTTATCTTCTTTCGGTTCATTATGTTCATACAATGAACAGGTTAAATGGTCAAATGGCAAAAGATTTGAGGACAAGTTTGTGGAGACACTTCAGAAATATGGGTTCAAGGGCTCCTACCTCTCAAATAATTGGCTGAGACAACCTGTATTTATTCAGTCATTTGCTCCAACTTCACTGGTTTATATATCAAATAAAACGGACTCGCCCAAAATTTTATTAATTGATGACGTCGATATTCCAACGCAAGACACGAATCAGGTGTGTTTTCTACCCCATATGTTCAACCTGCTTTTAGGATTATTGAATTTCTGTTCCGTGTGCAAGTTCTCAAAAAAAGAAAAAAGTTTTTTTAATGGAGTTTGTTATACTTGTGAAGTTAAATAATTTATATCATAATAGTATATTTTCAGACCTTAAAAAGTTACACTACGAAGAGATAGCAGAGATAGCCCCAAGATTGCAGCTTTGGTTAATATGGAGAACAGTGAATCTTTTTTGTTTGTTCTTGTATAAATGGAGGAATGTAAACCAAAAACGTATTAAGACTACCTTTTCAATTTATTCTCTTCTATTTCAGTTTTTCACTGTCATTCTTGCCGGTACACTCAACGCTAGTTTCCTTACATAAAAATGTTGAAATTAAAACAAAAAAAAGCCCTTTTTTAGGAGATTATCCACTCCTAGTTGACTGAACCTTGGCTATCCCTAGATCTTAACAGCATTTATGTAATTTTTATTTTATAAGCTGCCATTTTCATTAAATATTCCAAAGTGTAACAAAATAGCACTGTGATGATGATGTGCAGTCATATTGGGAGATTACATCTGATGAATACTTCAACTACATAAAGCAATATGTTGTGGGAATTGGACCGTGGAAAGACACGTTGGTACCTGTGGTAAATAATTATATGAAAACTCCTACTCATCTTGTTTCCAGGGCACATGCTCATAACCTGCAGGTACTGTTCTTTAATTGATTTTCTTCCATATGATTTCATGGATTCCATAATATTTGAAAGATTGAGCGGATTAATTCTTGATTTTCTCGTCTTATCTGTTTCGACATTTCCTTTGTGTAATTTGTAATCTTTGTATTGTCTTCCATTAATAGTTTATAGCCAAACAAATGCCATATGAATTGCTAATATCCGTGCAGGTGCATCCATACACTTACCGAAATGAGAACCCGTTTTTGCACTTCAACTTTAGTCAAGATCCGTATATGGAGTACGATTACTGGATCAACAAGATAGGAGTTGATGGTCTGTTTACAGACTTCACTGGTAGTCTTCACCATTTTCAGGAATGGACTTCTAAACGTGGACACCATGAGGAGGAGGATATCAATGACAAGACTGCAGCCAAACTGTTGCATAAAATTGCTTTGTTGCTCTCCTCTTATAAATTATCTTGAGAATTCAAATGCTGAATTAAGTGTTTGGATTATTTATTTTTTGTGCTAAAAACAGCTTATAGCAATATTTACAAGAGACCTTTTGACTAGAAAGTTGTTTGGAAATTAAAAATTAAGCAAAATCAAACGTCATTATGTTGAGTATTTTTAGCATTCTGGGTATATTTATTTCTGATATATCATGTTCTATTCATGTACACTATCTATATATAGAGTAAAAATATTACAAAATATCAAATATCAATAATATCTCACTCATAACTGCCTAAATCAAAATAATAACCTAATATCTTTTTACCTTCACTCTTAAAAGATAATAAAATCTCTTAATACCTAATTTAAATAAAAGATAATAAAGTAATATTTTCAACATTCCTCCTTACTTTAATATCTATTTATTTGAATTTGATATTCTTTCTTTTATTTTGCTTATAATTTTTTTCATTTTTTTTGTTTGTATTTCTTGTCATCTTCTTTCTTATGTGGAATTACATCTTCGTTCAATTTCATTTTCTTAATCAAAGTATTTCTTTCTTTATCAATTTCATCTCCTTTGTTTCTTTCAAACTTCATGGTAGATCTTGTTGACTCTTTGATTCATTTTTTTCATCAAAGTATTTCTTTTTTTAACATCAAGTTCCTTCAAGAAATTTTCTTTATGTTTTTTTTTTAACTTTTCTTTTATATCTTCGTTTGTAATCATCTCTTCTTTCATCAAATCTAAAGTGAAACTTTTTTCTTTCATGTGAACTTTGAATATTTCTAAGTTATTTGTATCTTTAATCACACAAAGTTTGTGTTTAAAAGACACCTTAATAACTTTTCTCCAATAATTGAGCATGATTTGTTGAGCTCTTTGAAAAATTCTCGATCATGAGTCATGTGGTTTGTACAACCACTGCCTATAAGCCAACATGTAGATTTGTTGTTTGTAGAGCATGTTGATGCAAGGAGAAGTACCTCTTGTACTCTATCCTCTATAACTTGAACGACTTCCTCTGGTTGTAATTTGCATATCTTTTCTATATGTCTCAATTGACCACATTTTTGACATCTCACATCAGGTCTCCACCAACACTTATTGGGTGTGTGATTAAGGACAAACAGAAAATACTTGTGATTTTGTACCTTTGTTATTTTTGACTTGTAAAACATGTAGCACTTCTATCAAAGTAATATTAGACAAATCTTTTATGTTTTCCAGTGAAGCAATAGATGTTTCATATCTCTCTGGCATATCTTTCTGGCATAGTTACCAGAATTTTTTCAACTATTCTGGAATCAGGAAATTCCTTGCCTAACAATTTTATTTTGTTAGCAATACTCAACAATTTGTTTGAGTATTCATTAATTGTTTGAGATTCTTGCATCTTTTGTATTTCAAATTCCCTTATCAAGTTTAGAACTTTCATACCTCGAATTTTCTCATCCCCTTCATATTGATCTTTCAAATAATCTTAAATTTCTTTGGGTGACTTTAGCGTCATGATTCTGGTGAGGATCATTTGTGAAACACCAGCAAACAAACATGATTTAGCTTTTGCCTTTCTCATTTTTCTTTCTCTGTGAAATTTCATTTCAGCTATGGTGAAATTTTCTGGTAGTGGATCAACAATATAATCTTCTTCTACAACTTCTCATACATTTATTGAGCTATGGTGAAAGATAGAATTACATTCTCACAGCCCATAAGTCATAACTTTCGTCATCAAAAACTGAAATAACGACTTGTGAAAAAAAAAATTCTCCTTCCATTGTATTGAACTAGGCTATACCAATTTGTTGGGAATTTTTAGGATTTTGTGTATATGTATTTCTGATATATAATGTGAGTATATTTTTATTCATGTACTCTATGTATATATAAAATAAAAATATTACAAAATATCAAATATCAATAATATCTCACTTATACTTGTCTAAATCAAAATAATAACATAATATCTTTTTATCTTCATTTTTAAAAGATAATAAAATTTCTTAATAACTAATTTAATCAAAATATAATAAAGTAATATTTTCTTCAGAAAGAGACAAACAAACAGTATATAAATCAACTGAACAAACTAAAATCTTATTAATTTGTGTTGCATACAAAGAAAAAACATGATGCCGCAGCGGGAATGTATGAGAATTTTCAATAACTCACAACGCAATTTGTCAGAAATACAGATATCACTTCCATTTTAGCTTAATCAAACAGATTCAAACACCACTCAGAAAAAGACAGCAAAATTTTAAGTTTAGACATCTAACACTTGTACTTTTGAGCTAACTGATAATTGAGATTCCCTACTTAATAGGCTATTTCTAATGAGTCAGAAAAAGTCCCCAAATAGACTATTACAGCAAGAGTCTAAGCTATTGTTAAGATAACTGCTAGTAACATAGGAAGAAGAACGTCTATCCATGTTTATCTTAACATTCTTCTGCAGTATAGTGAATGAGGAGGGTCGACCATTCATTAGATCAAGAAACATATATAGAACCTAAACAATATACAATTGATTGAAAATTATAAAATCATGAATCACCAAAATTTGATGGTTTCAAAACAAATTTCAACTAATGACAGATAATGCATTAAAAATATGACACAAAAAGAGTTATCATTTCTGAGTAATCAAAATACCCATTAGACAAAGAAGTATGCTTACTTCAATGGAATCAACAGAACACAAACTTTGCACTTCCCATCACCTCAAATAATTCAATCAGCCAAAGAGCACCATTCATGGTCAAATAGTCCATGGTCAAACCTTTCCTTGTTTTTTTTTTTTTTTTTTTTTAACATTCTTTCCCTATTTCTTCAAGAGTCTTCCGTTGCATACTTCGTGTACGAGATATTTTTAACTTTAAATTCTTTTCACTTCATTTCTTTTTACTTCTCACGTAATCTTACAAATAAAGATGACAATTCAGATAATATAAGATTTTTTACTATACATCTTATAAATAAAGATGACCGTTCAGATGATATTATATTAAATTAATATAAAACAATTATTATTTTTATAAATAAAAGTATAAATCATATTAAATTATTAATCTCTCAATCTATTTTATCTTTACAAATTCATTTTAAAATAGTGATTATCTTTATAAAAAAATTAAAAATATAAATCATACTAAATTATTTATCATCAATAAACTTTAAAATAGAGATTATCTTTATAAATAATAATGATAATATAAATTATACTAAACTATCCATCAATTCATTTTAATATAAAGATGATATTTATAAATAAATAAATAATATAATTATATTAGACTTAACTTTTTAATTTATTATTAATAAAACATTTTCAAAACATGTATTATATAACAAAAATATTATTATCCTAATAATAGCCAATTAATCTACTAATTACTCCATTATAATTCATATTAAATATATATAATTTATTATTTAAAATAACCTATTAAAAAGTTTACAAATAGAAAAATTCTATTATTTACACATCATCTAATTATTAAAAGACTTTTATATTATTATTAGTCTCTTTTTTCTTATATTAACTTAAGTATCACTGTCAAGTGGGTCTCCCTCTTTTTCCAATATTTAACATAACTCATCTTAGTAAAGTAACAACCATTCAGATCTGACTTGTCTGAATTTATTAATTATCGTAATCTTTTTACAAGAGCATTTGGAGACTCTGATTTTTTTTTAAATTATCATATCAATTTTATTGTTAATAATAGTTTTTGTCGGAATATATATATATATATATATATATATATATATATTAATTTATATTTTTAAGTTAATTTCAATTTGGTGATGATTCTTTATATCTTAAATTATTAGAAAGAAAATAATTTTATTTCTTCTTCAATCTTTAAAAATTTTTAATATTATTTTAAAATATGTTATAATGAAAAAATAAGATATAAATGTCAAAATTAAGCAAGGAGATATTATCTCTCAAATAAAGTTAGAAAATGTATATATTATATATGATTGATATCGTAACAACACATAATATGACATTTAATGCTAAAAAGCTCATCCAAATTAAATTATCTACACAAAAATATATTTCTAACAAAATTCAAATTATTGGAGAAGAATATTTGAATCTTATTTGTTTCTATTTTAGTTGTTTTTACCTTAACTTTAATATTTTATCTATTTTTCAAATAAAATTATTTTATCTTATGTGATAATATTTATTATTATACTTAGCCCTAAGCTAACATGATAGAGGTAATGAAACTTACCAAATATTATTTAGCTCGAGCTAAACATGACATAGGTAATTAAATTCACAAATTATAAATTTAGTCTCAAGTTAAACATGGAGAGGTAATGAAGCTCCTCAAATATTATTTTAACCCCGAGCTAAACATGACAAAGATAATAAAATTCATCAAATATTATTTTAACTCGCTAGACGTAGTTACTGCAAAACGTTATTATTAAACGTAACTATCACAACATTTCAATATTTTCACCTAGCGTCTCATCTAGTGTGAAAGGATGAAGTTACAACAACTCATCAAATTTATAGGCAAAAGCTAATGGCATGTAGTCTCTCTAAATCACCTTAAACAAGTAAAGAGTAAATTAAACTCTATCTCAAATAATCTGAGTTATACATTACCGAACTAGGTTTGATCCGAGTTATATTCATCCTAATTATATATTAAAAAAACACCGAGTTAAATTTATCTAAGATATATTCATCCAAATTGTACAATTAGTTAGACATGTTATTATATCATAACAATTATTTGAGAATGTCATTTGAGCATGCCATTATGTCATAATAATAATACGCCATAACACTTAATATCGTCAAATTATAAATATAAAACAATCATCAAGTTTTATGTTATTATAAAAAAAAAATACCTGCATTAATTTAACTGCTCTTGCATGTTTCAAAAATATTATACTTTAGATAGTTTTATAAAAACTCTAAATTAAGTACATTTCGGACATTACTCTACATTAAACACACCTCGCTCATAAAATCGAGCATACAGTAGTC